GGATTCCATTGGAAATATTTCAGCTACCCATTCTGAATGTGAACGTAAGAAAATCGTCGATGCATAACACGCTACTAAACCCCTTAAAGAGTTTACTTGTAAAATATAATGTTGTATACATAAGTCTCACAACAAACAACAACAACCTGAATTTATATATCTGTCCCAAAGCAATCATGCATTCTGGTAAAAATTGTACATTAATATTATTAAAATATTTTTAACTAAACCCGCCTGGGTTTCCAAAATAGTGTGGGCAGTGGCAGTCCAATTTAAATTTCGTGAGTTGCGCGATTAGCGTTATGTTGTCCACGCTCTGATAGCATCTAAACTAGAGATGGGTCCTGAGCGCCTTCACCCATATAGTCCGATAAAAAATCTCGCCTAGATATATTCTGGCTGTAACTGACCTACAGTACGCCGGCCAGTGGTAACCAAACCAGGAGCTTGGATCTGAGTTTCTCGCCGGATCTTCTCAGTGGGTCACGTCTAAGGTCAGTGTTAGAAACACTCCGGTTTGAGCCCCGTGAGCTCACCTACACACGTTAGGGTGAAAGCTGAAATAACCTCTCAAGGCTATCAGCATAGGGAGGGGAAAAAAAGTGCTGATACATATTATGTTTTTTTTATTGTGTCTTCAGTGTGTTGGATGAAATGAGCTCTGGAATGATAAATTTGTATTATTGAAGTGTTTTTCCATTACAGCAAACCTCTCTCAAAATAATGAAGTTTCAATTACAAGTAGTAATAGTAAAAAGAAAAAGAACAAAAATCTAAATAGTTCTCAGGATCTAACACAAAGCTGTATCACTGGTGAGTGTCTGTTCATTTAATTTTCCTTAAAAATGTATTTATTCTAAAATAGTACATCCGTCATCATGAACATAAATATTAATTATTGCAGGTGAATCTCCAGAGGAATTGGTCCAAAGCAACGGAAATGACAAGAAACGTTCGTCCCTTAATAAATTACAAAACACAAGCGAAGGTAAAATTTAAAAAAGTTTTAGACTGTTTGTTGAATAAGAAGTCGTAGAGATTAGTTCTTTCTTTAAATAGCTACTGAGCATCGAAATGATTGGAAAATAAAATAAAATATCAAATTTGAAATTTAGATTTAAAATTCATTCTTTTTTTTTCTGGAATAAACGAGTACAGGTTTGTTTTTTTGAGGCCGTTCTCAGTGGGAGTAGCTCAGCGTGTAGTGGAGGATTAGGGACCCACTTAAAACTTGGCGCAGTTAGCCTTGGCGTTATAACTCTATTGGTCAGAAGTTACGGCAGTCTCGGACCTAATCTTCCGCAACGGTGGAATAGCAACCCTGCTTCATAACTAGAATGCTAAAAGTAAATGCTTATTTATTTCAGTAAATGAGAACATCGAAGATAATCCAGCTAAATCCAGTGGCGGTAAAAATAAAAATAAACCAGTTCATGATTTATCTGGTACCCAAATTGAAGAAAGTAAGTGATATTTTTTTTAAATAATTTCATTTAAATTCTCTTTAAATCACGGAATATGATCAAAAATATTTAGTTGTTTACTAATACTTTTCGCACTAAATAAAATGTCTATATAATCTTAATGTTAATGTTCGGCTCTGCTATTACTCATATGACCCTAGCCTCTTCCTACTTTCCGGTTTACGTCTATGGTGGCACTATCCTCACGTATTTTCCTAGATAAATCCCAAATTTCTTACTATACTCCCTCGGTACGAGAATTATTGCTCTCACTGATCCTGTCCATAATCCTGTTTTTCCTTCCGAGACCCCCACCTATGAATCGTAAGTCTCAAGTGGGCAGCATTATACATTTCTGAGTGTTCATAGACTCCAATAAACGCTCAAAATCAGATCACTCTTGAGAATATCGGCTTATATTAGCTAGTAGGATAAAATCATGTGGTTAAGGATTTATCTTTAAGGATTCTGATTAAATTGATATCGTTGTAACCTTTCAGATTCAGTTCTACATCAATATGTCTTGAAAACGTTGACTTTTAAGTAGAAAATACAATATATACATCATGATATTTGGGTGGATATTGTTCTGAAGGGCTTTTTGTGGTTTTTTTTAATATTTTATTTGCACCTTTTCGTTTCAGTTGATGCTAATTCTGATGACGATGCACCTTTGGAGATTTCATTTAAATTTAACAAAAACGATAACCAGGAGCCACAGTGTCAAGAAATCGGTATGTACAGATTAATTCAAAACTATAAGTAAGTATGTTAAAAAACATTATTGTGAATCACACTCTTCAATTGTCTATTTTTCAGATGAAAATACCATTCAAGGAAATGAAGGTAAAAAATCGAAAAAGCGCGAACGTAAACCCTCCAAAAATGATCAAGAAGCTGTACATGGTTAGTTTTTGTTGATGAAAACTTTTACTGTTGAACCAGCTGATTTTAGACAAACGGATCTCTGTAAATCGAGGATATGGAGTCTTGCGCGTGTTCTGAGAAATACCACCGGCATCATTCCGGCTTATCTAGTTTATTCTAATTGAAACTGCTTTTACGGTTTAATCTCGTATATTTTTTTTGTCTTTATATTAATTCTGACATTCGAATGCTTCACAGCTTTCGTGATGATGAACGAGGTGGTCAGTAGGAGAAAATATAATGACAATGATACAATGACGAGATTAAACCATAAAATAAGTTTTGTATTTATTATAGAAGTTTTATGGTCTAGAGTAGATGGTAGTAGATCAAGCAGCGACTAATATGATGATTTTACTGGGCGTTGAAGATTGCAAGTTTTTATAGATGATAGTAGAGGCTTTGAATTTTACATACAGAAATCACATTACTACTCCGATATCAATTATTTGCATCAGTTTGACTAAAAGGACTGAATGGCGCTATGTTATGAGAAGATGCGCTTGTGTGTCACCGACACGCACATTTTTATCTCGAAACGGTTAAGTTTTCCAGTTTGATGTATCCGTTTTACAATATAATTCTAATTTCAACCTCACGTCTCAAGTAGCGGCATTCATGACGTAATAAATATATACATACATATATATATAAACTTCGAATAGCTGGAGGCAGGTGGGTAATGAGCTCATCTGCTGTGAGATACGCCAATTATAAGCATTATGTAAAACGGCATTGTCTAAAATGTCTTGATTTTACCAATATGATATTAAGAATAACGAACGAATAACAGTTAGTCTCATATCTCAGTTTGTTTATTTTATAGAAATCGAAAAAGATGTAAACGAAAAGCCAACATCAGAACACTTTACACTAGAGGAGAACAAAAAGAAAAAACGTAAATTAGCACAAGAAAATCGAAATGTGCCTGAAAACAAAGGTAAATGAAGGTTACAAAGAAACTTATAAAATATTTAATACAATAATTGATTTCTTTAAACTATTATTTATAATTGAAATACTTCACTACTCGCAAAAAATCACACATGTGAACTGACATTAAACAAATATCTAAAACAAAATAGGTAACTAATAGACAGTTTTTTTTTTTTTCAAAGTCTACATTTCTTTAATGTATAGTACATTACATTACACTAGGAAACATAATTATTGGTTTATTGTATTTGTAGATGAATCTGAAAAGAAAATGAACAAGAAGCGGAAAGCAAGAGATGATGATATTGCAGATTACAAAGCAAAGGTTTGAATAAAATAATTGATTTGAAATTATTTCGATCCTTGAGTGCACAAAATACTTTTCACAAACTATTAACAGATAAGTAGATTTATATTTAAATTGTGGTATTAAATTCTCTGTTTTAGGTTTTTAAAGGAAACTGTTTCGATAAAGTTACTGTAACGCGCTTACCTACGCACATCCTCGCTCAATTAGGAGATAAACCGAATAAAGAGAACTGTACAAAAGTGAAGAAACCAAACTTAATATCAACTACAAATTTTGTTGTCGAAGAACGTAAAGTTAGAAGAAATAAACCGTCAAATTATTTAGAAGAAAGTGTCTATCTCAACGACTCGCAAGTAACACAAAAATCTAAAGGGAAGCTGAAGAAACCAAAAGTATTACCATTTATACCTACAGCCTCAACCTCGGATGCTGGATTCACAACGAGCTTTAAAATAAATGTTTTGCCGCAAGACACAAAATTCGTGGCACAGACCAACAACATTACCAATTTTAAAGACCAGATTTTGGCAAAGCATAAACTTAAAAAATTCCATACTTTTGAAACATACAAAAATCAACGGAATCGTAAAGTTGCTAATTATTTTTGAACTAATTTAAAAGTAACGTAATTCACATAACATGACTGCCGCCTGTTAAACGATTCCAAGTATAATGTGTACATGTTTGTTGTAAGATACAAGCTAAGGCTATTTAAGAAACTTGCAATTTATTGTTAAATGATCCTTCTGTTTGTTTTGTTAAAGCATAACTCTTTACAGTGTCTACGTGATAAACATAAAAAGTGTCATTATTACCGTTTTAAAACCAACATGAATTTGATTTTACCCGCCATATTGCATATTTCGTCACTAGGGGCGCTGACCAAAATCAAAATGGTATCGCCCATGTGTATTTCTGTGTTTCATGTGTTTTTCTTTACTGGATACTTTTTCATTCTCGTTTAATAATAAAATAATCCCAAATATTTTATTTATTTTTGTAAGCGTTCTTTTTATTTTAATTATAGACACCTAGTAAAAATCCTTCCCGCCTTCTCATGCCGGTGTAAACAAATCGCCATGTTTGTAAAATGTGTAGTGCTCCAAACATTGGTAAGTTTATATAGTAAGTATTATAATTGTTTAACTACAAATAAAGTTTAAAAGGGACCATGAAAACTTAAAATAACGGTTGTTTTCTAAAATAATTCATTTAGAATTATTTTAACGGGCTCTTAATGTTCTGTAGTAGTTTATTATCAACCAATGATGAAGTTGCATGCGGTCACGTGGACAAAAACGTCCAATAGAAAGAGACGCCATTCTTTGTGTACCTTTTGACGAAATAGTAAAACAGATTGTGGGTTTATGTGGAGTGAGTGGTGTTATATCTGTCAATTTTATAATGTTTTTAGCGTAAATGTGCGAAATTCAGGATTTTTCTATTGAGCAAAAGGATATTTACTCTAATAAATATTCGGTGAGTGCTAATATACCATGGANACAAAAACGTCCAATAGAAAGAGACGCCATTCTTTGTGTACCTTTTGACGAAATAGTAAAACAGATTGTGGGTTTATGTGGAGTGAGTGGTGTTATATCTGTCAATTTTATAATGTTTTTAGCGTAAATGTGCGAAATTCAGGATTTTTCTATTGAGCAAAAGGATATTTACTCTAATAAATATTCGGTGAGTGCTAATATACCATGGAAAATATACTATATTTACCAATGTTATGAAAACAAGAAATTGACCATGGGAAAGTCCAATTAGTTAACACGTCCCGCTCTTTTTACTGTCATACAATGGTTGATGTATTATTTTAGATTATACTTAACTTATTAACATTTTCTATTTTGTTCTTGGGTGTAAAGTCGCCGAGACCTTGAAAAAATTACCGCCTAAAGAAAAATATCAGTATAAAACTAAAATGGCGGGAAATCGTTACAAAACATAATTCCGAAATCTAAAATGAAAGACCTACCTAGATTCTTATTTTATAATATGTGGCACTTATGGAATAGGTATAGTTACTTAGTTATTCGAGAAAAAAAGTTAAATTCAATTTTTAATTAACTGCTCTGTTCTAATATCCCACGAAAACGTTGCGACCTGTGTTGTCTCTTTCGCTCTTGAAGCCATCAACGTTACTAGAAAAGGAAGGACGATATCCCACAAAATCAACATACATAATTTCAACTGCACATCAGTCATATTTCATTCAAACTCAACGAAACCAATATAAAATGTTATTTTTATGTAATAAAATAATAAAAAGTAAATGATTAAGAAGAAATACGAATTGTGTAGATGATGCTTATTATTAACGAATAGATGCCATTAAAACTCATCAATGAATGAATGTGTGTATTGGTTGTAACTGTGTGTTACGTTTGTAGTAAATTGTCAACGTACGAGTTTTCAAGTTTGTTGCAATTCGTACTAAAATTTGTTTTATTCATAAAATGAGGTTTTTGAAATGACAGACAGTAAATTTGAAATAAATTTTGGAATCATGATGTAAGTTATAAGGTACTCATAACTTTTTCTGGATTTTGAATAATTTTGATGCACGAATTCTACGGTTCACACGGTTGACCGTTCCGAACAGGGAAATAGACGTTAAACAATGAGAACACCGTAAATAGGCGTAAATGCAGTCTTTGTTGATACACACATCAATATATAATTTACGAAAAAGTACCTACCAAGTAGGAAAACAGATTTAGGGTCGATTGCTGATATGAGGTATGGCCCTCGGACAATATATGATCAATTACTTACATATATTTTATTCAAGGAACCAAAAATGTAAAAAAATATTAGGCTCCTATGCTAACCCAGTTATGCCAAAGTACTACAATTTTTGTCCCTTTAAACAGCATATCATTCTAAAGGAACCGATTCTACTGTATTTTGTTAACTATAGAAAACCCTTTGTTTATTGTTCGCACACACGTGCAATACTGAATACATCGCCAGGATAGTAGGTTATTCACATCCATCAACAGTAAGCCTCTTCACAAAAGAGCTGTAAAAAAAAAGAGGATACAGTCCAAGCATGTAGATGTAGACTATGTAGATGTTTTTGACTAAATCACAGGTAAAAATGAAATCGAATTCATTTCCTCATCGCCCACTCCCAGATGCTTTCCCTGACATCTTCGAAGTTCCTAGCTCTGCATTGTGCTCACGTGAACGTGACGTATGTACATATATAATTTTTACCACTGTTAGGAAGAGTGAATATCCATCGCTCCCCCTACCTTATCTGAAATGAAGAACACACTGCAGAACCACTTTAAAAATTTTGAACAGATCTATACATATACAACCTATATCAAATAGCATATTGCTCCAATCAATGGTTTTGTTTTCTAGAAACTGTTTTTCTCCAGTCTTTTGATTACTATTTTAATAAAAAAGCAATAGGTTTTTATGTTTAATTAAATTACATCGACGATAGGCAAACCTACGACATGTGAATGCCAAGTTTGTCTACCGTAGTAACATTGTTTTTTTAAAATTGTTGATAGGTACCTTCATACTTGTTAAATGATAACATTTTTTTTTAAAAAGCTGCAGTTCATTTTGAATATCATGTTCACTTTTTGTGAAACCCACACCTGTTCATAATGTTCGACAAAGATGCGGGGCAGGTGGCGAAGTCGTTTTGGAGTAGGTACCTGGCAAAGTAATTCGATCGCAATAAAATGCATCATGACATTTATTAACCTTGCCGAAGAAGTTACGTTTTATTATAATAAAAACGAACAACTAATAGAAACAATTTCGTCTACCAACAATCACAGGTTCCTCCTATTCATAGACCGTTGAGTCAGTAATTTACACAAGGTTATTGACCTGAGTACCATCTGTATTTTCAAGAAAACTTTACGACGTTACTGTAAGAACGATTTTTACGATTGAAATAAAATACTCATTTGAAGAAAACGCCGAATAGCTCATTGATGAATTTTTGAAAATCATTTTTATAGATAATTATTATTAGTAATGGTAATTGAAAAATGTTCTACGATAATTTCACAGCATTCCATATTCTAAACTGTAGAAAAGTTATACTCTGTTTCATTTTCTATGAAAAGTACAAGGTAAGAGGGGAATTGAAACGAGGGGAACTATGCGCATAAAATCAATACGGTAGGCCTCTTAGTTCCCGCCTACAAAAGCTGACGATGCTGCGTGCGCAACAACATTAGAATCAATTTCGACTAGGTATTAAAACGTGAGATAAATTATGAATAAAGAAAGGATTAATAAATATTTTTTTCTGAATAAATCAGACTAAACCCTGTTCTTAGACATTTTCATGATCGTGTGCGGACGTAGTCTGCGCCGCCGAAGCCGACTGCCAGAGTTCAAGGCAAGCGCGCGCGGTCAGGTTCGAGGACACAACGCCAACCGCGCGGCCCCTCGCAGTGCCTCCTTCACAGAAACCACTTCATAATAGTTTTTGAAATATACATCTCCCTTCTTCAATGCCTGTCTAATTCAGATATGATTTATATTACTGAAAAAATGGACGGCTAAAGTTTTCAGGCTACTTTTCTATTTACATACAGACCAAAGCTTAAAATTACAGTGATTGGAGAAAACCTAAATTTTAACTAAAACCTTATCACACAGCAGGTATAAAAGCAATGGGAAATATTTAAAAAATCTCTGGCCCAACTTCGTGGCACGTAGGTATCACATTTAAAAATATTAAACGTGAGTTCATGGCCCTCTAACAGACGACGACGTACGTACCTGACGTCTGTACGTTTTATTTATCAATGTAAATTATCAAATTAACTTGGATGAAATATTGGCAGAATTTTCGTAAAAACTGATTTGAAATTGTTAATCTAGAACATTTTAGAGTGGTGAAATTTTATTAAACAATAATCTATTTTAGATGCTACCACAAAACAAGAGAGAAAATCATATCTAATATGACATATAAACTCATCATAATTTCATGAATATTCAGATATTTTGTGTTTAACATTTAGCTCGTTCCATTTGCTGCAGCCATTTTATTCGTAAACTATATAATAAAGTACTGAACTGAACTGAAATTCCACCGCCTAGTGGAAAAGTCTGAATCTTAAATGGATCTTAAAAAAAAACTTTCAATAAAATTATTTTACTATGCTCACACAGGACAATTTATGCTATAGGAATATTACTTGAAATGTTAACTAATTAGCTTTATTCCAACTATATTTTCGTGTGTACAGAGTATTTATTACGTACTAAAATGCCATGTGTTTTCTGTTTCTGTTAACGTTCTGAAATGTACCCTGGTTTTAGTTACATTTGAAATTTTGACATTATTTATCTTAAAAACTGGTTTTCCGTGGATCAATAAAATATGACCATGTGAAATAATATAATCTATTCAAACATTTTCTCTCTTCTTTTATTGCTTATATGAGTGGACGAGATCACGGCCCGCCTGGCGTCAAGTAGTTAGATATGAATAAGGTTTGTATAGTAGAACCGCTGTCCGACCTTTTAATCCAAATGCATTACTGATTCACGGTAGGTATAGGTAGAATGGTGATACCTACTCGTAGGGGCTCAAAAGACTCCCTATCATCTCCATTTCAGATGGTTGCTTATAAACATTTCAGTTCATTGCTGATATACCTAATTTCTACTTTTTAAGTTCGGTTTGGTCTGGTTGTTGAAGAATTATTTGGCATGTTAAGCCAAGTAGGCAAGTTAAAAGATTTGAGTACATAGTACATACCATAGTGTGAATAAATTTAAAAATACCCTTTAATATCCAATTTAATGAAACCTTTTCGTAAATAGTAAAGTATTGAACAAAAAACGTGCACGAATTAAATAAGTTATAAGAACAGGCCTGGTGTGGCGGTTGCAAAGTCAGTAGGTAGGGGTTGATCCACACATTTTTATCAAATATATCCATCCCTTACTGCCACCCTATACAAGACCTCTCTTTCATTACGTCGATTTTTGTTCCCGCCGAACGCCACTACGAAGTTTTAGGGGCAAGTATTTTGGAGGGAACTTATTCGCATTGACAAAATGATAACATAAAATAAAAACAAACAGCAAATAGTATAGTGTTTATGTTATGAGTATTAAGATTACGTCTGTAGGTACCACACATGTCCCTTATCTGTCAGTGCACTCACAAGCACATTTCGGTGCCCAAAGAAGTGATAAGTGTAAGTTGACTTCACAAACATTTTATATCCAATAGTTATTCTTCTAAAAACAGCTATGTATTTTATGGTAATATTTTTTATTTAAAATAAAAAAGTTGAACGTAGAACAATATCGTATTAAACTCTAACAAAAAAACTAACTCTAATCTAAAACTAAAATCGTGAAAAGCATTTATATTTTAATTATGTATTACGTACAAAATACACTTATGACAAAACAATTGTGACTTTGACGGCATATGTGCAAGTTGGCGCGAAAATTTATGTTGTTGCTATTCATGGGTTCGGACACCACTCAACACTAGGAAGACCGTGAGCTTCGTTTATTCTATCTAAGGCAAAAGAAAACAGTCGAAGTCTTCCAAAGTTCTTACAACATATCAATCGAGTTTTATTAAAAAAATTATATTAATCTTTATTAAAAGATAACGATAATAATATGAACGATAAGCGTTCATTAACTTTCATAATATTAATGTGTCCAAAAATACCAGAGCAAGGCTGCTGCTGTTAGTGATGTAAAATGGCTTTCTTATCTCAAACAATAAATCTGGCACGATCAAAGTGATAGCGTTTATAAGGAACGTCGTATCTTTACTCAAGAACAAGTTTTAAAAGAAAATACAAGTAATATTAATTAGATAATCCTGTACCGTTTGAAAAAAGCGAACATGTAAGATAAATTGAAGTCCTATGAATTCAGTCTTAGATAACGATTCGACTGTACTTTTTGCATTGCGCTCTTCATCGATGACAATAAAGTAAAATATTTAAATTCGTTGTTTACTAGCATAAGAATACTAAACGAATATCGAAAAAACTACGAATACCTTTATTTTTCTTAGTTCCACGTTAGTCCGAAACTTACAAAAAAAAGCTATTCCCAAGCGCGTCCTTGGGAGCAGTCTGTTCTGTTCATTGGCGTTTTTTGTTAACATTTGTAAACTACCTCGCTAGAAACCTTTATAAAGCGATGGGGGAATCTTGAAACGAACTACAGAAGATTGCCATAGGCTCTCGTAATAAAAATGATAAAAGTGAAATGATATTACGGGTGACAGGTGAAAAACTGCTAAGGTTATTTAAAGCCTAACACAGCTTATTACCTTCGATTTTCGATTTTGTTAGATTATCAGTAAATATGCTAAATAAATAAATACTAAGCGAATATACAATTGGTATTTTGAGTCGCGCTAAAATTTTCGGGGAATATTACTGTTATTGGTATTCTTCAAACTTTTAAGCAGTTTTTTCCTTAAATACGAAACTAAGAAAACTGTCGCGAAACGGATATATTACATACCTACCTACTAAAGGGAATTGAAATAAATAAATTGTTAACTTATCAGTCATCAATTCCATTCAATGAGATGAAATGGTGTTACAGTTTCGCTGTTAGGGTAGAACATGCTACATACCAAAAACAGGTTTGTGGTACTACGTAGTGGTTTCATTGTATCGCCCTCCTACCGGCCAACTGTCTCGGCTCACTGGACTTGTTTGCGTTGAGAATGACTAGAATTACTGATAACCTTTGTTTTTATTAACTCTGAGAATATTTGATGAAAAAATGGAAAATTGGAAGGAATTAAAATAAATTGTTTAGTACCATTAAAATTGTCGTATGAACTCACACAAACTTGCGGTTTAAGCTACATTGGTATGCGTTTGTGAATCTGTAAAAAATAGTAGCAATTCCCGCCTTTTTTTAATTCCTGTAGGCGGGCAGATGAGGTTATGACCCATCTGCTATGAAATGGTTACTAACGCCCATGCTCCATGATGTAAAAGAGCCGCCCACATTTTTAACAACAGGTCGAAATTACAATTGTACTGTAATTATACCTATATTTTTAATTTATTTATTGTGTAAGAGGGCAAGCGCACGGTCGCCTTCTGTTAAGTGGTAACTGGCGCCCATTTACATTACAACATTTATTGCAGATAATTTCGAATGAGTTTTATATTTTTAAAAGGCTATTAAGTAAAAATTAAGTTATTAGAGTAAAAAAATTGTTAGACACGCTGCAGTATTAAACGATTCATGTAGTTGAACAAAACATAGTATTTATATTTATTTCTCTTTTAACATTATATATAGACTGAGTATTTCAGTTTTGATTGAAATGTGGATTTTATTCTATTGCACGATACTATTCCATCGCCTTGGAAGTCGCTAACGAACACTTCTTATGTGTTACAATAATTTAATTGATAATTAAATATTAAGTATTACAATAACTATAAAAAATAAATATATATTTCCGAAACATATACGAACAGAAGTACACCGAGCGTTTGTGTTTTTTACTATTTGTTTTTCCTCCTCTGAAAACAACTGAAGGTTTCTCTCATTTTTAATCTAATTTTGTTCAGATATCACGGGACGCTATTTCTTATCCATATATCTCGTTACAATATCGAACAATTAAAAACCAAATCAAAGAGATCATTTATAAGGGACAACTTACTTACTTACCATGTTTTGCAAAGGGATTGTAAATTGTGAAATAATTTGTTACAGTGGTGCTCAGACATGGATTTGTATATCACCGACTCACTCCAAGACATGCTAGACATCGACATCAAGAATGAAATAGCCACAGATCTTAGTAGTATATCAGATTTTCAAGTTAGTATCCAAATAAATTAATCATAAGTTATTTATAGCTACTTAAACGCTAAAATTAAATTCCACTTTTATTCCAGGATTCGTTTGGTACAAATTTTTCCGACATGCCACCGTTACTCGACATGGACACTGATAATTGCTCTACGTGGCTAAATAACAGTTCCAGTTTTGTTCATAATTTAGATTTATATGGATCTGAAGCCAATGCCGTTATGGTGAATCCAAACTCTGTGATGCCTTCAAACTTTGCCGAAACACCAGTAAAAAGTGTAGTTAAAGAAGAAGCGTCAAATGTCCTTCTCTCATCGGTGGCTAACAGAGATTCCGAATCGAAACACAATTCAACGCTAGCCAGTCCAAAAGAAGAAAAAAGTCACTTAACATTTTCTCCAAACACAATAAAAGTCTCTAAAGTTCACGAAACAGAGGAAATAAAAATAAAAAAGGAACCAGAAGAAGCGAGGCAGATGGTTATTTACGTAAGAAAAAATGACAAGACTGTAGTCAAAGATTTACTAAAAGATTTGGATAAATCTAAAGTATCCGCAGTGTCGAACACTCAGTCTACTGTTCGAATAAAAGCTCAACCGGAGTTGATAAAGGTCAATGGTAAAAGTTGTTCAATTTTAAACACAAACCAAAAAATAACACAACAGATAGGAACTAAAACAATTATATCGGGCAACATCCACATATTAGATGCTCAATCGATTGGTCAATCTAGAACAATTTTAGCGAATGGTAATAAGAATCAAGCGACAATACTAATTGATAATTCTTCGTTAAGTAATGGTAGACAGTTAATGAAGACTTCCATTAGTAATACTTATACAGTAGACAATAGTCAAACAAAGTATTTAAGTGCACATGGGAAGACTGTAGGCGAATTTCCTAAACCAGCATACTCGTATTCGTGTTTAATAGCTATGGCATTAAAGAATTCAAGAACAGGAAGTTTACCAGTGTCTGAAATATACAACTTCATGTGGTAAGTGTGATAGCTGGATCTTTAATAATTATTACAATGCAAAGAAAGAAAATGTATATAAAGTTTCTCTAAATTTTCAGCCAGCATTTTCCGTATTTCAAAACAGCTCCTAATGGCTGGAAAAATTCAGTGAGGCACAACCTCAGCCTAAACAAATGTTTTGAAAAAATTGAGAAGCCCTCTACAAATGGAAGCCAAAGAAAAGGTTAATAATTTATTACTAGGTATCAATTACATAATTAAAAATTGCTTTAAATTGTAAATAGAATGAAAATGAAAAGTAAATTATTGTAGGTTGTTTGTGGGCGATGAATCCCTCGAAAGTTGGGAAAATGGATGAAGAAGTTCAAAAATGGTCAAGGAAAGATCCACAAGCTATAAAAAAGGCTATGGTTTATCCAGGTAAATTCCAAATATAATTAGTATAAACGAATAATAATAATGAGCAGTATTTGTGAAATGGAGTCAAAGTACAGAATGTTTTAAAGGCCTTTGTTGCAATTCCAGAAAGTTTAGAAGCTCTAGAGCGCGGCGAAATGAAGTACAGTGCGGTGGGCGGCGACACCGATATCGAAGATGATGCAGATGTTGATGGTGATACTGAAATGGACGCGGACGTAGAGATCGACCCTGAGGTCAAAGAAGAAGTAGAAGAAGAAGAAACCGTTGAACAGGTATAAGTCACAACGGACTATAAACTAGATCAAGTTTATTTTTCTTGATCATACTGTTTTCTTACCAATTTTTTATTGGTAGAAAATCATTTTAACAATTGTGATAAGTGAGTGTTGCTGTTAAAATTCTCAAATTGCTTGCTATGGGTGAAGTTGACCTAAGATGTAACCATGTTATAAATTGATATGGTTTTATTTATATTACCTTTGGTTTACTGTATGAGATATTTTTGCTGTAAGAGCAAGACGTGATAAGAATTAGTGAAAAAGACAAGCGAAATATATGTATCCACTGCAGGTGGAATGTAGGCAGTGTACCATACATCAGCAAACACTCATCATCTTCTATTCTTATAAACCTTTTAAAAAATCCATTTTATTTTGTGTAGACTAGCATATTTTTTAAATAACTTGACCTTACAATGTTTTGCTCAGTTCGAAAAAATAAATTATCTAATACCACAAACCTATATNAAAAAGACAAGCGAAATATATGTATCCACTGCAGGTGGAATGTAGGCAGTGTACCATACATCAGCAAACACTCATCATCTTCTATTCTTATAAACCTTTTAAAAAATCCATTTTATTTTGTGTAGACTAGCATATTTTTTAAATAACTTGACCTTACAATGTTTTGCTCAGTTCGAAAAAATAAATTATCTAATACCACAAACCTATATATCTACTAAACATATCCTCAATGAAACACATAATATAAACAATGAAAACATTAAATTGAATATAATACGGTTTGGAATCATGTTGCCTTTTATAATACCTAGTAAAGTAAAGTTTTGCATTTTTAGACACGAAATGAAAATACCCTATTGCCACATCAAAAGTGGGTAGCCACTAATTAAATTGTATTCACTGTGTTTTTTCTTCTCATCAGGAAGTATCAGATCAAGAGTTAGAAGTAGATGAAGTTGTGGAAGGTACGGGCATGGTGGGCGGCACGTACCGTCTGTTGGCGACGGGTCCGTCATCATTAACGTCATACATTACAGATGTTGAGTCCGGTGAAGAAGTTAGCGACGTCGAGGTGAGAATTTTAATTTAAAAAAATTGTCTGTTAACTATAAATGCATTTTTTTGTCTACATTAGTCGCCATGTTTCAGTGCGAAAACTGTGTTACATGCCCAGCTTGGAACCTTTTTCATAAAACTTAACCTAATACTGTTGTACCATTAAACCGATAATTTAGTAATGCCCGGTTCCGAAGCAATCTAATTATATTTCCAATTTGACGTATAGTTCCCGCAATAGATTGAAACTCGTTTCATTAGTCACTTTAGTTAGGTGTTGTTGGTATTCCGTTAGCACTAATTGATACAACATAACACTTTTTTTTACAGGTTCTCGATAATTCGTATGAGGAGGTCGATTTTGGAAAGCCTATAAAGTTTGACTTGATGACCGAAAACTATACAAGTAAGTATACAATTTTCTGGTATTCCGACTTGTAATGCATTACAATGAGTTAAATATTCTCTCTCTACCTTCTATACCGAAAGTCCTGATGAGCTCGTCATACGAGATGGTAAGTCTCAGGAAAACTATGGAAAGGTCCCCACCGCCCAGCACGGATCAGTACCCGGATGGCATTTATAAATAGGATCCACAAGCTCTCTTGTCCACTGGAAAAAAATCCAGCCGAGTCGTAGTGAGCAGCCGAAGTAAGAGACTCGTCTGTCTTACGCGGCGGTTGAACTCACCAGCTCTTTCCGTGAGCTGTGCCAACTAATTGCACAACCTGTACATATTTTAGTTTTTACATTTACAATCCTAGCCCTACCCTCATCTTGATTACATTCTGTATCATGTTAACAAAAATTTAAAAAATCACGTTTAAGGCAAATTTTATTTATATACTAGCGACCCGCCCTCGCTTCGCTTCGGAAACATTAAAACACACATGAAACCAAAAAAAATAATTAAAAAAGTAGCCTATGTTCATCAGGGACAATGTCGGCTTCTTATGGAAAAAGAATTTTTCAAATCGGTCCAGTAGTTTCGGAGCCTATTCGAAACAAACAAACAAACAAATATTTCCTCTTTATAATATTAGTATAGATTTCATATGGAATTCGGCAAAGTCCGAGCATTGGCACGATCTGCCTTGCTCTTTTAACAGAGTAGCGTTTTGGATATGCCTGCTATGTTTTCCTAGACAAGGCTGTATTGTCTGTACGGGTCCTATTTGTTACGTAGGTAGCTGGGTAGAGGTTATGGCTAACATGCTCAAGTCTACGCTTCCCTATACAAATTTCACAACAGGGCACATGGGAATTAACTCGATTTGAGCATGTTCAAGAAGGGACTGACCTCGTGGTCTAGAAGTACCCATCTGCAGAGGTGGTGATTTTTAGAAAATTTTGAGGATACCATCGCGAACAATCAAGAACCCAGAACCACCGTCCTTACATGCCTTTGATTTCATCTTGGAATATTGCCTGCAGCTAGTGACACAACTCACCTATGATTCTGATAGGCCACGATTTTTGTTTGTCCTTTTGCTGACCATGCTTAACATATACCCAAGTCTTGTGGTAAACGTTCCACTTTGATCGTTTGATCATTTACTACAAGACCATACCGTTCTCTCGCCCTGGTTACCTAGCGATGACGTAGTATTCCAAATATTCGTCCATGTAAGTCAACAGATTGGAATATTCTTGGAGAGTGGCACTCACATATTTTAAGCTTTCTAATATCTGACAGTAATCTTATGCATAATCGGCATAAATCACATATATCAAAGTTACAGACTGTAGAATCGAAGAAAGAGTTTTTTGTATGTATCAAATCGATGCTATTGATGGTGACCTTTCAAGTTGTTCTTTCCCCACACGCTTTTCATTTTGCTCACCTATACTTGTAACCGTACTGTCTATTGATGGCATGCATTTCAATAAAAGACTATAAAAATATATTACGTTGAAAAATTGGCTCTTTAAATAAATTTCAATTATGTGTTAATTTTGACGCTTGTTTGACAAGATTGTCGTCCGCTTATCTAGTACAAGAAAATGCTTCAATGGAGCGAAATTTTACGCCTGGACAAAAATCTGCTTTAAAGCTTAAAGTACTGCTCCTATTATAAACCCAAATATTAGCTATTTCCATTGTACTCTATACTGAAGAAGGCCGTTTGGTTTGTCGATAATACTAATCTTATGGGGCCTCTGGATAAACGGGGGACTTCAGTTCTCTTTCTGTCAGAGTGGTATTCATCCTTATATCATGGAAACACTGCATTCATCAGGGAGATAACGTTATCAGAAATATTTTCACCACATACTATTGAAGTCTTACCGGATGGAATAAATTTCTCTCTATGGTCATTCCTTAATTTCATACTCTATCATATCATAAAATAAGAAAGGTAGGTACAGATTATAATAAAATTAAAATGTCAATTTTTCTTCCAGTACATCCAGCGAAACGTTCAAGAAGCAGCTTCATATACCAACCAGTATCAACACAATCTCATACAAGCAGACGAAAAACTCCGCTCGTCAATAGAGTCGCTCTTATTTAAGCATATCCCATTCAAGACTTGAAATATATGATCTAAGAAAATTAATTGGGTCAACAAAACTACAATTAACATAAAATCTCCAGTGATTTTTCAATTACTATTAATATGATTAAGATAAAATTATTCGAATTGTAATAATAGCTGTGAATTGTGTGACTGCATTTTTATGTTGTAATTAAATATAGTTTCGTAGTATCTAAGTTTATTTTAAGTTTTACTTTAAGTGGACATGTGTCACTTGTTACATATCCTACACCGTACCTACAATTTGAGTGATATCTTGATTTTGTTTTTGCCCAGGGATTGTCGTATATTGCTTTTTTAGATTCATGTCGTCACTAATTTCTTTTGTTAGTTATTTTCCATTGTTATTTCTTAAGTGGTTGAATAATTAATAATCAGCCATGAAACAGTACAAAGACGTAGCTAGGCTACTGAATCAATATATTTTGTGCGAATATAGTTTGTAATTATATGTAATTTGCATTTAATAATTCTAAATTCTGTAATAAAATTAAAACAAAATGTCTTGTTTCAGTGGCCATAATAATAGGCGGGTACTCTGAAGTTTTCCCACCGCTGCTGTGTAAATATGATATGTATTTATAAAAAAACGTTGACACTGGCAGCTTCTTATTACTCTGTCTTATAAAAGATACAAGGTTATAATAGTAATATTCTGGTGCCTAGATAAATTTAAACGGATTTTGTATCTCCTCAACAATTGTTGATGAATCTCTAACTCTATTGAGGGAAAACGTTGTTATTATTATTCACTAACTAGACAAACTCCAACAAAGCAGCTCAGTTAACTTTCGGCGATTCCGATATAAAATTAAAGTTAAATGACTTCTTTTCAATAAAATCTATCAAGGCAGAAGAACTGTCAACCTAAAAATGCTTTCTATCACTTCAATAATATTGGTGTTCAATCTAGATTATTGAATAATCTTAAACAGTCGTTTATTGCTTTTGTTGAGTTATATCCATTGCATTTATAGTAACAATTAGAATACAATTTACCTTATGTTATTCGTGTAAGGGAGAATTCGTTATGCCTTTTATATACTACATTTGTTAAGATGTTATTAAAGACATAACTTATTTTCTATTGCATAATTCAAAAGAGGCCCAAATAAAAATTGACTTCGACATAATGTTTAATTTGAATAATAATATGTCGCAGTTGACACTGACTTCGAATATTTTTATATTGAAAACAATTTTGGAATGCTTTCTAGATAAATGAGCGTGTTTAGTCGAATTGGTTGTGTATGTTTAGTGTAGAGAGTGTTGGTAATGTATTCGGGATTAGAAACCGAAATAGGAGGCTTGAAATTATGTAGACATTCCGAGGTACAGAATTTTCACAAATTGTTGTTAGTACTTAAAATTTCATCACGACTAAATATTCCGACATTTCATTTTTAATTAAAAAAGTAAACTAATTATAGTTCACTCTCAAATTTTTTCTTAATAATATTACAGAAATCCGTTTTCCAAAAAGTTTACACCCAATATAAGAATAAAAAACCGGAAGCCTTGCTTATGCGGAATTGCCTATGTCGAAATATTGTGTGATTTGATGAAAAAAGGAAAAAATCGGTTTTGAAAAACCATAACCATATTATGTACCCATATAAAGCATGAAACGTAGATGCTAGTATTAAAACACACTAATATCAATAATTGGAAAAATAATCACAAACTATGCCAATTTATATATAAGTTTGTGTCAATTATACATTTCACTGCCAATATTCAACATTTATATGCGGTTCATTTAAATGGGTAAGGCTCACCAATGAGTTTTTTACTGGTGGTAGGACCTCTTGTGAGTCGGACGGATAGGTACCACCGCCTTGCCTATTTCTGCCGTGAAGCAGTAATGTGTTTCGGTTTGAAGGGTGGGGCAGCCGTTGTAACTATACTGAGACCTTAGAACTTATATCTCAGGGTGGGTCGCGCATTTGTCTATGGGCTCCAGTAACCACTTAACATCAGGGGGGCTGTCAGCTCATCCACCCATCTAAGCAATAAAAAAAAGAGTTGCATTTAAACGCAATAAAGTATCTTTTAACTTGTGACGTTCATCATGATTTGGTCCGTTTGAAATATGTAATGATTTACGTTAAACATATTTATATAAAAAGATAATTCTGCAAGAGAGAAAACCATGTAAAAGACGATTAAAGAAAATTTTATTTTTTTTATACTTTTTTTTAATTGCATCAACTGTTTTAACGAAAATCAGAAACAGCATTGCATTTAATTAATTTGGATTTTGAGTAAATGTTCTTGTGTATATTTGTACAAACAGTGCAATTTTGTAACTGCGTAACGAATATTTTTCAAATTGCTTTTGTACACATGCGCTAATTAACAAATTAACACCAAATTAATACATTTATAAAATAATGAACTGTTATTTTTATTAAGATATAGAGAGAGAATGAATTTGGTCCTCGAAATTAATAGGAATGGTCAAAAATTACCGACAATTTTCAATCTCAAAGCAGTGTTAACAAAGTAGCTGTAATTTTGTACGTATATTAGTGTATTTTTCACTGCCAGTATTTCAACATCCAATTAAACATTAAGTAATAATAATAAGCATAGTTTAATTTAGCTATTACATTGCGTTACTTAGAATGATTTTTAATAATATTTCGTAATAAAAATTAAACAAACACAATTTGTTTTTATTTATTGTAAACAAAACAATACGCTCCGATGCGCGACTGGAGTTTCCTGTAAATGCGATTATTATTGAATATACAGTAGGCAAAGGGAGTAAATGTAAGCATCATTATACATATTTATTCGAAAATATTCACCGTTAAACATACATACAAAAATAATCACATTACTAGTACATGTGTTGCTTTCCATCATCAGATATGGTCGTTTTGCTGTCGTATCAAAAGTCATTTTATTTTGAAAAAATCTACTTAAATAACGATTACAGGATTTAACATGCCAGAAATTTAATGATTTTAACAATGTTAGGTATGCCTGCAGTGTTCATATATCACTATCACTATGCCTAATTAGCGATTCCAATAGTAATAGTCAATTGTGTATTTATTGTCTATGCTTAATTCTATTTAACTTTTCTCATAGAGTGTGTTTTTCTGAGTGAATGAAAAACAATGCCTTTTGCTAACGCTCGATTTAACCGTCCATTAAATGAAATTAATCCCTAATGAGTAAACTTCAAAAACACGAAAATATTGAAGTCGTCGTGGCCTAAGGGTAAGACGATCATTCGCAAAGCAATTGCTCTTGAGTTGTTTGTTAGGTATCCTTCGGAGGCGCTCGGGAAGTTGTTAGCAAATCCCACTCCTCCTGGCTGAGCCTTTGCTCGCCCACCTGTCCTGGTGAAACTGGAAAGGCCTCCGGGCCACCAGTAATCTTTCAATCATAAAAAAAGGGTAAGACGCCCGGTGCAGTCGTATCAAGCGATGCAACGGTGTTCGAATCCTGCAGACGGTTATCAGTAAACGAAATCCCCAATGTTAAAAAAAAGGTGGGTACCAATTTTTCTAATGAAATGCGTACTTAACAAGCATTCGCAACTGACTTCCATGGTGAAGGATAATAAATCGTGTAATAAAAATCAAACCCAAAAAATTATAATGGGCTGTATGCTGGTCTTCCTACAAGGGCAATAAATAAAACAATAATGAAAAATTCGTATAGTTACAATATAATTTAGGTTCAAATAGGAGGTGCATAATCTCAAAACTTGCAACTTCACTATTTACATACTTAGATCAATGTTTTTTTCATGTGTTGTGTTAGGATGAGCCATGGAGTTAATAAGTGCCTAAATAATAATAAAATACTATACTATGGGATAAGCTCAGTGCCTTAGACTATTTCCATTTCTTTGTTTTCTCCAATGAAGTAGGAAACCTATGGAAATGAAACGTCAACCAAAATTTCGTGCCACTGTGACGTCATCTGGCCACAAAACATGGCGGCTTTAGTGCTGTACAAAAGATTTCAATGTTATCAGGTTTTATCGATAAACGTTCTTGGCTCATTTTATTTTAAATATTGTTGAGTATTATTTATTTGTAGAATTTATACTTTAATGGGAAGTAAGTAGGTATATTGTTATGTGCAAATATGATATGATTTAGATGGGTGAAATCTAAGACAAGTTCGTCCTTCGAATTTGCNATGAAGTCGATTTCACGCGCCGCCAGCCAGTCTTGTGTGCTCTTCGCTCTATGAGCTGGCGCCGAATCTTGTTGGAATACCCAGTGCCTTTTATTGAACATGGTATGAGAAACAGGTTCCACAAGGTTCGTCAGGACTGTATTTTGATACACAACTGCATTCGTTTTTACACCTTTCTCACAAAAATGTACCTCTGTTAAACCCCAATAAGAAACTCCCAACCATACCATGAGCGAGGATAGAAAATGACCTCGTTGGACACGCGGAATACGGTTGCTCGCTTCTTCACTACTGTGTGCCTACACCTTATCATTTTGTTTGTTGTAGCTCTCTTCTACGGTAAAAATTTTTTCATCCGAAAAAAGAATTTCCCGATATTTTTTTCCCGCGTACCGTTTCAACAAAGCGCGGCATCTCTTCAGTCTCAGGTCCATTAGACGAGCATTCAAACGATGTTCTGTTTTTCTTCGATATGCTCGAAGCCCTAAGTCTTCATTTAACACCCTTTTCACCGTGGTTCTGCTTAACCCCATCTGAAGGGCCAACAGTTTCTGCTTACGTTTGGGATTTCTTTGAATTCGCGCCTTCACAGCTTTTATCACTGCTGGAGTCCTAACAGACCGAGGGTGACCACTTCTTGACCTGTCATCTACACTAGAGTCTTCGTTGTATCGTTTGATGGTACGATAAGCGAATCTTTTGGTTATATTCAAATTTTTCAGTATGTTAAAAATTTTAATTGGCGCGTAACCGCAACGATGCAACGCAATAACTGCAACACGGTCTTCTTTAAGCGTCCACTCCATATTTAAAAAATTAGTAAAATTCTAAAAGTATACATTTTTATTTTCATGAACAATTCGAAATTCGAATTCAATAAACTTTTTTGTGGCCAGCATTCTAAAAGAAAAGTTTTTACTGTGTGACAATACTTATGACCTGACTAGGTATTTTCAAGCTGGGAACACTTAATGGCCCACCGCCTTTTTGTGTGTTTTAATCTGTCACTCGCAACAAGACGGTTGTGCTATATAGTCACTCCATTTCTGTTCGCTGAGTTTTTTCACATCAAAGGCATACTACACATGGCTAAATTTAGTCTACTGAATTCAGAAGCAAATCTAGAAGCAAGTTAGAAGCTTCTGATTACACTGTTTTAAATTCAGTTACTAAATCAATTGTCATTTTAAGCGCGACGAAGTAGGACGTGTCGTGTGTGTAAGAGGATGGCCCAGTATTGTCAAGACAACAAAAAATTGGCGTAGCCCTCGCTGTCGGCTCAATAGAATCAAAAATTTATTAGCTATTTATAAAATGTCTGCCACATTAAATAAAGGTAACGAAAATAAATACTTTTTATTCGGAAGTAAAAAACAAACAGTACCGTCCTTACGCACGGAGAGCTATGAGACGACTCATTCATTAAGTAACTAAATGCGATTACAACTTCCTAAATGCATTTTTAATTAGGCTTAGTTGATTTACTCAGTCACAAACCATCCTTGCTACTGAATTTAATAGGCTAGCTTAGTGAATGCTATTACACTTCACTGAATTCAGTAGCGACTGAACTCAGTCGACTAAATTTAGCCAAGTGTAATAAGCCTTTTATCCATACGATTGCCACCCAGCTGTCAAATATCAAAATGCAGGATCTGTTCTGAAAAGGGAAGTGAGAGAACTGGTGATCAAGGTTCATAACTACTTTGAAGCAATCAAAAATGGTATCAAAATGATGGCCCGCTATTAGCATTGTCGCAAGTGTGAGAGCGTATTGTGGCCGACTTAGGAATTAGTGGAACTACTGTTTCAAAAATTACTACAGAAGTTTACGGTACAAGCGGCATGCAGGAAAATAAGCTTCGTACGCCGAAGAAAAAACGCCAACCACGTCGTGTGACATCGGTTGACAACTACGACATTGACGCTATTCGCCGTCATATATATTATTATGAATATTACTTGCGCAAAGAAATTCCAACACTTAAAAAACTTTAAGCAAACTTTACCTACCCCCCTTTTACGGCAAACAAGATGTTAGATTTATTACAAAATGCATGTGCGGAACTAACCGCCGAACACTGGGAAAAAATTGTGAGAAGAGCCAAAAACATTATAGCGTCGAATTGGGAAATTCATGTGGCATTCGATAATATAGAAGTACAGAAACTTATAATACATGTTGGGGAGAGCTTATCGAGTGCCAGTGACGATTCATCAGATTTTGTTAAAAATAAATAAATAAAGAATCAACACAATATAATTAGATCTGGGACGCCGCCTTGGGTCCTGGAGGCGGAGGCGCTCGCCGCTGACTATCAGTGGCGGGCTAACCTTCGTGCCCGGGGCGTGGCGCGTCCCAGCCCCAGTGTGGTCAGAGCGCGGAGGGCCCAATCTCGGCGGTCCGTGCTGGAGTCATGGTCCAGGTGGCTGGCCGATCCTTTGGCTGGTCGTAGGACCGTCGAGGCGATTCGCCCGATTCTTGTGGATTGGGTGAATCGTGACAGAGGACGCCTCACTTTCCGGCTCACGCAGGGGCTCACTGGGCACGGTTGCTTCGGTGAGTTCCTGCACCGGATCGGAGCCGAGCCGACGGCAGAGTGTTACCATTGTGGTTGCGACTTGGACACGGCGGAGCACACGCTCGTTGCCTGCCCCGCATGGGAGGGGTGGCGCCGTGTCCTCGTCGCAAAAATAGGAAACGACTTGTCGTTGCCGAGTGTTGTGGCATCGATGCCCGGCGACGACGAGTCGTGGAAGGCGATGCTCGACTTCTGCGAGTACACCATCTCGCAGAAGGAGGCGGCGGGGCGCGTGAGAGACGCACAAGCCCGCCGCCGTCGAGTGGGGGCTAGGGAGGTGGATCTCACCCAAGCCCTGGCCCTCTAAGTGTTTCGGGTCCCCCTCATATGTCGGTCTGGGGCCCGGCGAAGGGGGCCTAAGAAGACGACGTGCAAGCTGCTCTGCACGCGTTTTACGCAAGAGCATCCGGGTGATGGAAGGCCGGCTATCCTCAACCCACGCTGGTTCTGACCCAGCGGGGTATTTCGTAGGATAACCCATTCAAACCGGCGCCATCTAGGCGGGCTTCGGACAGCCTGCCGACCGAGAGGGCTGGTGGTTGTGGCGCCGACGATCGCTGGCCCGGCGTCCCGAGGGGGAGGGTGATGGCAGAGATGTGCTCCGCACTAAAGACGTCGTGGCCTAACGGATAAGACGTCCGGTGCATTCGTGTTGAGCGATGCACCGGTGTTCGAATCCCGCAGGCAGGTACCAATTTTTCTAATGAAATACGTACTCAACAAATGTTCACGATTGATTTCCACGGTGAAGGAATAACATCGTGTAATAAAAATGAAACCCGCAAAATTATAATTTGCGTAATTACTGGTGGTAGGACCTCTTGTGAATCCGCACGGGTAGGTACCACCACCCTGCCTATTTCTGCCGTGAAGCAGTAATGCGTTTCGGTTTGAAGGGTGGGGCAGCCGTTGTAACTATAATTGAGACCTTAGAACTTATATCTCAAGGTGTGTGGCGCATTTACATTGTAGATGTCTATGGGTTCCAGTAACCACTTGACACCAGGTGGGCTGTGAGCTCGTCCACTCATCTAAGCAATAAAAAAAAAAAAAGCGCTTCACTCTCCTCCCCTTGCCTTTTTATGAGTTCTGTCTCATGCGAGGCTCGGACGTGGGTTGTTGAGCGACAGGAGGTTTTAGTCGGTTCGACTCCGACATGCCCCGCCCTCCATCCCCAGTGGAGGGTGGGAATCCAGCGATTTCCTCCTGACCAAAAAAAAAAAAAATATAATTAGATCTTGTAATGAAATGTAATATTAGTTAATAAATTTGTACAATATTATCCGGTAATAGCTTAGTTTCTTACACTTTGTATAAAAATTTCGGGTCTGTAATCGTGTTACGTTTATCGATAGTTGCATCCTTATGTTTCTCCGACTCTGCTATGACCTTGTACGTACGTAAGCGTCATATTTTTATTAAATAATGTAAGGCTCACTGAATTCGTCCCCATATATTTTGATTTTCGGCTTTTTTTATTTTTAATTATTTAATTTTGTCCGTCGTTTGTTCATTAATGTTCGAATGTAAAAATCGTTTGTTCGTCTTTTATTTATTTATAATAAATTATACAAATGATCACCCTTAAGTTGGCCTACCCTTACTAGATACATTTATTTTTATCGCTAAGATTAATAAATTTTGATCAATTATCGTTTGTTCGACGACTATTGGTGATTGTTCGATCATAAAAACAATTAAATTTGCAATTATTAATTATTTTATAACTAATAAGCAAACCATCAACTCGCGCCTACATTGCGCATGCACTGGTTTTGTCAGTCAGATGGCAATGGCCGTATTTACTAGCGTTTTGTTAACAAGTGCGCTTATACTGTCTAATTATTTCTTATGTAGATCAAAAAAATATTGAAAACTTCAACCAACTTCAATAATAGTTCAACAAAAAAATGTCAGTGAAGACGGCCAATTAGTCGTTAAAGTACGACAAAATAAAACAAATCACAAAGTTCACTCCTTGCGTTCCCGCCAAAAAGTCGTAGGATAAGTTCATTATTTATTTATTTTCAAAGCAACCGATGAATCCCAAATCATTATTTATTACTTAAGGTTACATTCAATTCATTACATAATAATCGAATCTCGAATTTCTACTGCCTGAAATCGTTTCCTTGGTTAATAAAACCAATTTGTTATAGAAAAAATTCGATTCTTCTCGATCTAGATTGCATCCGTGCTTGGCCTAATGATAATACCCATAGACCTAGGTTTCCTACTTCAGTGATAATACCATATTAAGTGTATTATCTATGCTTATACCATAGACAAGACATATATGTTCATACTTCATACCTACTCATACAAACAAATTTTAAATCGCGCACCTACCTGTGTAAAAAAACAAAGATTTTTAAGAAGAAATAACACACTAAGAATTGTAGTTGCATTTAATTTAATTTGAAAATGTCAACACGTGAGATACTGACCTTACAGTTTGGTCACTATTCAAATTATGTTGGTGCCCATTTTTGGAATATACAAGAGCTCAGTTTTGATTACAGTGGTACTGCAACTACCGATCTAAATCACGATATTTTATACCGAGNAAAAACAAAGATTTTTAAGAAGAAATAACACACTAAGAATTGTAGTTGCATTTAATTTAATTTGAAAATGTCAACACGTGAGATACTGACCTTACAGTTTGGTCACTATTCAAATTATGTTGGTGCCCATTTTTGGAATATACAAGAGCTCAGTTTTGATTACAGTGGTACTGCAACTACCGATCTAAATCACGATATTTTATACCGAGAGGGTCAAACGTCGAGGAATGAAGTAACTTACACACCCAGATTACTGATAGCTGATTTGAAAGGGGCTTTAAAAACTCTACCACAAAGTGGTGGTCTCTCGGATGACGCACAGGAAACAGATTTACAGTGGGATACAGTAGAAAAAATAGAAGAACCCCCGCCAGAAAAAAACCAATATCTCGCTGCTATTGATTCTGTTCAAACAACAGTAGCTGATGGAAAGAAAGATTACAATCTTAAAGAGAGTGTAATCACTTGGACAGATTACCTGTATCCTCGTTTTCATTCTAGAACTGTGAATGTAGTGAATGAGTATCAACACGGAAGTAATAAGGCAAGTTTTACAATTTGTACATATATACATCTTGTTGTTACATTACATTTATTGTTATATTAATGTGATTGAAATCAGATCTAATCTGGATAGTCTAGGAAAAAAGGCTAAAAGGCTTTTGTGTACCAGGTATGATCGTACAGAAGTGGAGGTATGATAAGCAGTTTCAGACCATTTAGGAGTTACCATTTTACCAAATGGAATGTGGCCCAAGAGAATGTTAAAATTGTAGTAATTACAATTAATTACCAACAATCAATGATCGCTGCAATATTAAATTAAATTCACATCATTTCATACATTCAACTGATTCTTTTAAAATTCAAATGAACTATGTATTTAATATAATATAATACACATATTTATTGTATTCAAATACAATTCATTGTAAAATTTTCAGGAAGCTTTTGACATCTATCCCACTGGTAGAGGAGTATGGAAATCTGATTATGGTGATGTATTTAGTGACAATATCAGAAAATATGTTGAAGAATGTGACAGCATGCAAGGTTTTCAAATAAATTTTGACTGCACAGACGGTTTTGCTGGCCTAGCTCTTGGTTGCATAGAACACCTTTCTGATGAATATACAAAACCTATTTTAGCCTACCCTATTATAGCATCACATTTTCCTGACAACAACTCCAATACACAAGAAGAAAGAGATATATCAAATTTAAGAGATTCCATTAGATTAGTGAACATTCTTCTTTCAATACAAGAATTATCTGAGCATGCCACTATGTATGTTCCTTTATGTACAGGAGAAAAGGGTTGGAGGAAACCTGGTAATGCAAGAACATTTGACTGTCTAAATTATGATCCAAAACTATATTATCACTCATCAGCTATATTGGCATCTGCTATTGACACGCTCAGTCAAAAATACAGGCATAAAAGTAATATTCATACAATGTCTGACATTTGTGCTGATATGACAGGATATGGACGGAAGATGACTGCAGCATCTTTGGGTATGCCAATAGCAATAAACGAATCCCAATATCTTATTGACTATTTAAATGAACGAATCCAACCAATATACAGCTGTATAACGCCTGGTTGTAAAATTGCTAATGACAAACTTTTTCAACTGATTACAATAAGGGGTATACCAGAAAGTTATTTAAAGGCACCACCAAAAGAAGCAAAGGCTCAACAAAATTTACCAGCATATAGGTGTAACAGTGTGAAAGAAATGTTTGAGTTATATTTTCAAGCTAACAATTTCTTGTCTGCTACAAACTTAACAGTTAATGAACAACCTCTGAATTTAAAAACTCCATTCCCACAAATATTTACAAAGAACTTGAATAAATATGGATTTATTAAAAATGATAACCGACTCGAGGATGTTGAAAGTTGTGCTGTGATAGCAGGTTATCATAATGGAACTTTCCTTGCAAATATGATAGAAAAACTTCATAGAGATGTCAGTAGAATAAGATTTGCAAAATTACACAAGTTTAAAGAAGAAGGCCTTGAGGCTTCAGAATATACAGAGAGCTTGGACAAATTAGCAGAATTTAAAGACAATTATGAAGATGATTTTGAATTATGATTGATTCTACTCCTTTTTCAACAATCACACAATGGGTCTGTTCATTTTTGTAAAGATATCATGTGAGGATATTTCTTAACAATTATAGTACCAGTATTGCATTTTATATACGTTGTGACTGTTGTTAAATAACATGATTTGGTTCACCAGTTTCAGCAAACTACATACATTATTACTTTTTCACATCGTCGCCTCGTGCAGTACTCTAGTGGATGTGGGACACAATTAGCATCACCTTCCACTATTTGTTGCGAATTAATCACGACAGTTGGATCCTACTTATGTGAACAAGGCAAGGAACTGCATCCCATACAAGATCATCATCAGCTACTATCACATGCTATCACATACCAGAGCAACAATGCCTTATACCTCTTAATGTAAATGTGTGTTCAATGATCATGAAAAGAAGTTGATTATCCACTAGAAGTTTTAATAAATGAATGAAATAAAACTATTTTATCTTTATTTAAAAGGTGATTTAGGTAATAGAATTCATTTCATCCACACATAACCCATTGTACACATTTACAAAGTCTTAGCCTGCGGGAATCATGAAGAACGTTCAAGGGCTCTTTCCTTCATTCTGCTGATGAACGCTGCACCTTTGTTTTTTCTGAAGTTTTCATAGGGATCATTCAAACTGACGCCAACACCTATAAAAAAGATCCAGTGCTTTAAATTTTTTGTTTTTTTTTATTGCCCTTGTAGGCCGACGTGCATACGGTCCACTTGATGGTGAGTGGTTACCGTCGCTCATGGACCTCAGCAATGCCAGGGGCAAAGCCAAGCCACTGCCTACCACTTAATACTATCCAGAAGTCTCTTTTGAAGAAAGACATGTCATAGCGCTCGGGAAACACCGTGGAGGGGAGCTCATTCCATAGCCGGATGGTACGTGGCAAAAAAGACCTCTGGAAACGCACTGTCGATGAACGCAGCAGTTCCGGATAATATGGATGAACTCTGCTCCGATGGCGGGAGGTGCGATGATAAAAAGGAGATGAAGGGATTAGGAATGAAGTACCTAATTTGAAAAATAATAATTTTAACAAAACATTACAAACATGATTATTGGAACGAAGTTTCTTACGGCAGGCTAGGAGAGGATAGAGATTTTGCTGCGCGACCGAACTGAAAAAAATGTGATAGTAAAACCGTAAGAAAAAATCCGTGGAAAAAAGTGCGTGGAATAAAACCGTTAAATGAGACTTGCGCAGGCGCGAGCGCGACAGTCGTATACACAAGCGAGTAGTGTATAATACCTTTCTCTTTCTCCTTCTTTTTTTTGCAAATTGTGTCGATTATACATTAGCCGAAGGAACTTCGTTCCTACCTGGTGTCCCGCGACACCACATTTTAGTTTTTTTATTACCTTTATATTGGTCTTGTCTATCTCTTACGAAACCGCCACTGATAGGTTCTGCAATACCCTGGCCTGAAGCACCAAGGCCCCCTGCACTCCAACCCATCTTTTGTAGCATTTGATGCCCTTTATTTGTAGAATCTATACCTCCGGAAGTCGTGGGATATGCTCCACCACTATTTAAAAAAAAGTTAATGCAAAAATATTTTTTCAATATAATGACCAAATTATATAGTTGTCTAATAAATATACATATATATGCTATTTTATTTGATAATTGTCTTCTAGATGGGTAATGTACTGTACACTGTACTATGACTGAACCTTAGAACTTATGTCTCAAGGTTGGTGACGCATTTACGTTGTAGATGTCTATGAGCTCTGGTAACCACTTAACATCAGGAGGGCCGTAAGCTCTTCCACCCATCTAAGCAATAAAACAAGTAATTTATATCACAACTTCAACTGCTATATGAGTCGTCTATTATCAAAGGTGGCATTCTGTGCATTTGGACAAAAAATGTTATTGATATGTCAATACAGATTGATTTGAATATAATCGTCTCCTTCAAAGAATACGGTTCAAAACCTGCATTAAATAAAGTATTAACTTAACCTGTTATTTATCTAAGATGTCGTTCAGAAGAGTTTTGTGACTGCTAATGGAATACAAAGTCAATAATTCGTTTTTGTGATTTACCAATAACTAGAGGTCCCGCAGTAGTCGAAATTCGACTATAATTAATTGGAATTGTAAGTTTGTACACTATTATGATTGTATTTTATACTTCTATAATCACAAATTTCGCCAAGGTTACACTATAAAAATATTAACAAAGACAAACAATATTTAATCTATTCTCGATTTGACAACAGACGTCAAGAACAAAAGTTTGACAATAAATAGTGTGCATGCGTGTGTGCGTCAAATACATGGTATGTAGTGTGTGTAATGTTTTCTTTATTGATCTAATGTATCTTTTATGCATTGCTTAAAAAAAATATTAGCTTTGTGCACTTCTTCTCTATATTCTCTATAAGTGTAAAAAATTTCATACTCCTCCGTCCGCACAATTTTCGTAAAAAGGGATACAAAGTTTTTGCTTCACGTATTAATATATAGATTGTCCAAAAGTCACATTGCCGGCTTTGATAATAGTCGACTCATATAAACTAATGTAGAAGGCTTTCTCATCAAGACTTTTTCGATTCAAGATTATTATTGTCTCTAACATAACGTGAATTATAAATTATTAATTTAAATATCTTAAATGAAATAATAATGAAGGTTAAATAAAAATTAGTGCTTAGCAACAATATCTGCTTCGCTAACAATACCGCGCAACTCAAATTAAGTCAAGCTTTTTTAAATCCCTTCGCATCGAACGTTAGCTATAGAAGGCGTCTGCACAGCGACCTATGTAATATACGAGCGTCGACGTTAGCGCTGTACGTCTTTACCATCAGCCCCGTGATATTCTTGTTTTTTAGGCATACATATGAGGTATGCCTAAAGATGGTAGGTACTTGTTCTATTTTCTTAATTATGTATTTGAATTATTGATAATTGTAATTTGACAGTAATTACTCTAAAAACTTTTGTTGTATATATGCACACTTTCCGGTGTAGTGCTCCGCCGTTCAGTAGCCCTACTACGGGGAATTCGTGAACCATTAAGCCGCGTCATTCTTACGAAGCGCACTGCCGCAGCGAGAGTTATAAGATATACATTTTTAATTGACATACGATATGCTATATTAGCTATTTATGAATGAATCACAAACATCTGATAAAATTCTCATAAGATATTCTGTTCTTTTTATCTGTGCTAAAAACGAAGAAACGAATTGATTCGCGCGGTATTGTTCGCCAACACAATATTATATTAAAGAGATAAAATTCTCACAGAAAACTAGGTGGTGTTGGCGATCTAGAACGTTCCACACGGCGCGATCTTGGTGAGTCTCTGTGTCTTTCTCGTTCGCGGGAATTACTACGTGATTTTGATCTTGACCTCGACCGGGTACGTCTTCGTCCTGAGAATTAACAATAATAGAGAAACTCAACTTGGCATAATATAAAACGATCGAATTAAGTAGTTAAAATAGACTTAGTGAACTTTTGTATTGACACATTATTATTCTTATTATTTATTGGACTGATAGAATAGAATAGAATAGAAAAAAGCTTGTTTACTGCTAAACATAAGCTTCTTCAAGAAACGCCAAGACGTCCTGTGCTGCCTACATCCGGACATTTTTGAGATCATCAGTGAGTTTTTGGGCCACATTGTGAAAAAAATACTTAAGCCTAATATATTTTGAAACATTTTACACACATAGACAATATATGGGTACTTTTCACAGGTTTATATTATACTTCACTTTATATTATACTATACTAGCTCAGGCAAGTCAACCCCGTTAATTCACACGCTTGTGTTTTTGTGAACGTTTGCCAAGGCTAGCATGCAAACGTAGTATTATTTGAAACATGTATTATCTATACATTAATATAGTATTATAAGAGACCAGCTGTAGCCGTCCGCTTCGCTGGGCATTTAAAATTAACATTATTATTTCTCACCCCCACAAAGATTCTCATCATTAACGCCCCCGCAACTGGTGTAGGGAGTCCAACACTCATATAAATATTAGTCTATGCATTAAGTACATGTATTTTCTACGTGGATACCAAGTTTCAAGTCAATTGGATGTATGGTTCAATAGTTATAACGGAACATCCGTAAAAACCATTGTAGATTTATATATTAGTATAGAAGTATAGATTATTCATGTACGAGATAAAATTAGAAATTGTATAAACTTAATTCAATAACCAGAATCGTCGGGTGTAATGAACAACTAAATCTCTACTACCTCATAATATTTGAATAAAAATTACCTTCTCTTGCACTTTCTCTCTCTCTTTTCCACATATTGTGTTTTCTTTTAGGTGACTGTGAACGTGATCGTGACTTCATTGGTATATTAGGTTCGGGTGTTTTACTCCGTGATCTAAAATAGACAACACAAAGTTATTTGGATCAAGAGTTGGGATTATAATTATTTTTCATATAAAATTAGTACACTTTCAATTGACACTATCTTTAATGTGTCTTGAGTATATATATTTTACCTGTATCTTCTTCCTGGTGGAGTAGGTTGTTTCTGTAAATCCTTAGGAATGGGACTGGGTGATTTCGATTTTTGTCTATAACCTTGCGCTATAGCGTCTTCTTTCATCTTTCTTGCTGAATTTTTTGCTTTGTAATACTCGTATAATCCTAATTTCTCCCACCCTTCACTGCAAATTTATTAAATATAACACATAATATTCTTCTTCAATATTTACCAACAGTGAGGTTATATCATGTTTTTATTGCCATTACTGGCAAACAACCATCATTATTCTGTGAAATCACTGTAACTATATCATCACCAGTCTTTACTGCGATGGACAGTTACTATACTATGCCTTAAATCCAGTGTATATTTAGATGCGAAATATAATTTTCTGAATTCAAAGGAATATATAATAGAATAAAAGCTATTTGAAAATGAGACTCACTTATCTCGTGGACGTTCATGATTCGGCGAGGCAAAGAATGCATCAACGGCTGCTAAAAGTCTATCATTTGGAGGTGCTGGTGGTGGTAAACGAATTCTGTCCGGGTCTAATGGTTTATAGTTGTCATCTTCCAACTAGAAGACAATGAAATTTAGCATGCAAATTAATTATTTACATGTATGATAAAGAAAGTATGAAAAAAAAATTCCTTAAAGTAAGAACATAATTACCATAATAAGTGGAACCATTAAACCAGCGGGGAGTTCGAAGTATGGTACTGAAGGCATCAAATCTTCATTGTTAATTTCAGGAATTAATGGTGGAAAACCTGGTGGAGGTTTGCTAAGGTCAGGAAGACCATTTTGGAAAGCCTGCAGTGGTGCATTATCAAGAGGCTTGAAGCCTGGTGGTGGTATGGAGAAGTTTACATTTGGTAGATTAGATAAATCAGGATCTTCAATATTTTCTTTCTTTTGCTTTGCTATTTGTTCAAATATTTGGCTATCATAACTATTCTCATTTCCACTGATACTGTTGTTTGTTGGGTAATTATCCCCACTTTCACTACCATATTGCTGACTATTTGAGTTTGCATTAAAGTTTTGATCATAGCCACCCATCTGTGGATATCCTATATCACTGAAATTACTATTATGAAAATTTCCCATATTACTTTGCTGCTCATTTTCATTGTTTTCTTGAGTTTTTTGCATCTCAAGGGCATGTTTTTGCATTTCCAATTGTTGTATTTGTTGCATTGTGTGACCAACAAAAGCTTGGTGTTGTGATTGATAACTGCAATCAAATAGAATATATTAATTTTTTAGTTATATTGAACACTAATCTGTTTTATTCTTGCCATAATTTACTTCTCAAAAGTAGATTTAGTTTGCTGTGTCAGATGCGAAATAGCATTCGCATGCTGTGAGATTAAGGCGTTCTGATAATCTTGGTAGGAGCTGGTGGGACTCTTCATTTTTTCAATTACTGCTGTCTCGAAATAGTTAGACTTGGACTCCCAAAGACGAAGTAACTTGTTTAACTTAGCTTCCTGCTCCTCTGTCACCGCTGAAACAGCAGAATAATGAAAAAGTTGTCATATGGGTCAGCGTGATACTAAGCAAGTTACCTGACTGACGAGAGAACCACAGGTGGAGTTCTAAAGATGCTTTGAGCTGCAGATAAGAATTTGCATTCGACAATAAAGACAAACCTAAATCTCGAGGGCATTATTATAAATAAGTTACCTATACTGGCATTGCAAAACATTGGAACCACCACATTTTCCAAATTTTTCTTGAGATCTTCTGCGTTTTTGCGTGCACTGTAATTAGGAATAATAGTATCATAGACACCGAATTGACAATAAAAAAGGGACACAATACTTTATTAAAATATGTTTATGTTTTGCTTAATAGCATAGTACAAAAAAAATACATTAACATTTAGTACTTGTTGTAATTATTACTAGATATATTTTATATCCTATTCAATATCCCACAAATAATGACAAATACACTTTACAATATTTAAACATAATCGTTTATTAAGCACAACCAATCAATAATTACCCAAACCATTCTAAATGTACACTTTAAATATCAAATTTGTTTTTGGTACTAACCAATGATGGAGTACATCATTTACAAGGTAAATGATGTGTAGTTTCTGAGTAAAAGCAGCACCAGTTTGAGTGACTTTTCTAAGCAGGTGTTGAGATATGACTTTGCCAGCATCATGGGATGTAGCATGTTGAAGTATCCAACCCTTTCCTAATGTTACATGTAAAAATAAAATACAGATTCAAAAATACAAAAAATAAAACTGTTTGTTCCCACAGTAGCAGTTAGCAGTATTTCGAGTATTTCTTGAGTTTGGGAACATGATGTTTGGTCAGTCTGAATAGACAAAAAAAAATTGCAAAATATTAGCTAAGATTTAAAAACGAAAATAATATAATTGTATATGGGTTGATTCAATATTACATACAATATTCAAGAATGTAGAGCATACAGTTGAGTCATAAGTTATTCAGTTGAATTTAAAAAGTACCTGAAGAAATACTGTCCTTAGTGCAACTGTCTATTATTGGCTGTAGAATATTGTCAAGTTCACTAAGATTGATGTTGTTCTCATCAGCCATTATCTGTAAAGACTCCATCTGTGCCTTGCTGACAAGCTCATTGATCTTCACTTGCTGCTGTTGTATCAAAACCTAGAATGCATATTATTTAATTCATAGGAACTTATTGGGATGTTTCATATGAAATATTGGAAAATAAACAATGTGTACAAATCTCAAAACTTAGTTTGAATTTCTAAATTCCAATAGTTACTGCATATATACGATCTATATAAATAATTAACTTATTTGTTGTTTTCTTTAAACAAAATATCCAAATAGTGTCTCTATAAAATATATCAAATTATTTCAGTGTACTTTTCTTATTGCCTTATATAGGTGAATGAACTGGCATTAAATGGTAACCATAATATAATAATATATCCTACCAGCCACCTTGATACATGAGGTAATAGCTATCACATCATTAAATCCAGAAACTCTTGCAGCAGAAATTAGTAGAAAGAGTATGGCTTATAATACTACTGGTAATTTTATTTTTATAATACAATGTTATTCCTTGGCCATAGAGGTACTGTGTGAACATGTGGTATTATTTGAAAAATGGTTTGATCCCAGCACAATCAACTCATTCAATATGAATGCACTTGGGTGTATTATCCATAAGGCTATGATAGCTTATTATGTTAATACCCCACTTTTAATGTAGGTAATGCAAAAACAAAAATCTAATCTATGCCCAACTACTTTTGCATGAGTAGGTACTGTAGTCATAATAATAGTATACATAATAATATAGTCTTAATAAATTCAATTTATAAACTACAATGCAAAAAAAAATGGTATCAAAAACAATAATCTTTAGTAACAAAATATGTTTTCCTTCTAGACCTCTATTTTACAGGTGGGAAGACTTGTTTGGCTTGATGTAAACTTACTTAATCAAACAGAAACACTATCATTACATCACACCACCAAGCAATTAAGATCATACGCATATTTTTACTAATTTACTGTACATACTTACAGCATGTTGAGCATTTAGATTATTTTCTGACTGAGTAATCTGTTCTTTCAGCACATTGATCTGTGTTGTGATGCTGTCGATTTCTTGTGGGTGCTGAGGAAGGGGAGGCGGGGCAGAGTTGACTGCAAGCCACTGCTGAAGTACAGGTGCCGCCGCCATCGAGGCCGCTAGACCCAGCTGAGCAGGCGTCGCGCTGGCCTGTTGGGGCATTACATATTGCCTGTTCTGTGCCATATAGGCCCCGGCGGGAGCGGATGCCGCCTGCCCACCGGCCGTTTGCTTTAGAACTATAAACAGCGGAGGTTCACTTAGATTGGTTAAAACAAAACGTATCAGCTATCATTGATTATGGTGGATAGCTTCTGTCATCAGTTTTGTTATGCTTACTTGCTTGTTCTGTCGTCACTTTGTATTGATAGTAGTTGAAGTACTCGCCGCCATACAGGAAACTAAATTTTGGGTTATTTTTTTGTTTGTTCTTGGTCATCTTCTCAAATTCCGGTCCATTTCTTGCGACGAATTGCGCTAATTTGTCGATTATGTTGCGGAGATCTTGATCTGAAAATATATATTTTATAGTAATTAATGTTTATTTATAACTGGATTTACTTGAATGCAAATATATTGTTATGTGTGTGCGGTACCTTGCGGTGGCTGTGGCAGTTCCATTTTTATCGTTTACGAGGTTATTGCTTGATGTAGCTTAGTGTCTTAAACTAATAGACTATTATTACTTTAACGACATTTTAATGTCATTTTACCAGAAAATAACGATCTAAAAGAGATGTTATCACTATTTTAATTCTTTATGCGATTTATATATTGCTGTATATGATTAAAACACATCGGCCATTTGTAAATTGTTGGCTTTAATATTTTATTACTAGACTCAAATACTAGGTGTATAATCTATGCTTACAACTGTCAGTGTTTCATAAATATTATGTGTAGTGTCTATGGTCACTATTTAACTCCTAGCGCATTGAAGATCTTGTATGTGTACGGTAATAATGTTATGGTTGTAGTTTTACAAAATATTTGGTTTATACCTACAAAATTGCTGTTTAACATATAGAAAATTATAATTTATATTTTTATTATTTTGTTTTTATTTTTATCAAACAAATTCACCCATGTCAATATACGGGAGTGAATAAACTATTCAAAGACATTTTGTACAGCCTCTCGGGAATTGATATTTTTTCCAAACCTTGGTAAAAATAGATGTCTGTAGGCGCAAGGTCTGGTGAGTATGATGGATGATGCACAACTTCTAACTCCAATTCTTGTAGCTTAGACACTATTTGTTGTGCTGTATGAAGTCGAGCGTTGTCGTGTAGGAACAACGCGGTCGTGCAGTTAACTAAGGCTGGCAAGAGATTCCCGAGTTTCTTCATCTTTGTGTCCAGTTCACATCCGCAGTAATTCCGGTGCCATTTGGTAAGAAGCTATGTTGAATTATATCAGTAATAAACCATCATATAGTGACCATGACTTTGTTTGCATCATTAATGTTGGGATCAGTTTGTGCGACATTGCTACCGCGACGGAACTAGTGTTCCGTAGTTTTATGTATTTTTAGTCGCATCCATATTGATTAAAAACATACCAATATAATGAAAGCAAAACACTATTAAATAGACAAATGACTGATTTTGAAAATAGACTTCCATATTTTTTTAATTAAATTCTTTTGTATTTAAAATTGATTGCCACACAATTGGGCAGTGTTCGACAATTCAAATGGGCAGTGTTTGATGATTTAAATGAGCAGTGTTTGCAAAAGATAAGTTATAAGGTAAGGACCTATTAAATTGTAAACGATGTAAGGTGACAAAAGCGACGTATTAGTGTACACTCTACGATAGCCACGCCAGTGAAGAACTCCCCCGGGTTAGTATTATTGTTAAAGGTGGAGAGTAGTTAAAGTGGTTTTTTCACTTGTTACCGCAGAGATTAAATTATCTCTGCGATTACAAGTGAAAAAACAAAAAAGTGAATAAAACGACCCCATTATGATTTTTTCAACAGTAAATAATTTACACTATCTACAGTCCGCGCGCGAGCTCCGAGGATTTTTTTTAAAGGAATGTTGACGTAATGAGCTATTGTTGTAATTAGTCGATATTGTGCTATCGATACTAACACATCTTAAGCCTCCGTGCGAGTGTAAATTATAAAATATGAGGGTATTATGTACTTGAAATAAAAAAAAAACAATTGATCACGTATGAATTTAATTTAATGTACTGATACTTATTGAACAAAATGAACGTGAAATCTTATTAATTACTCTCGCAATCAGATTAATCAGTAGTTGAAGAATTTGATGTACTCTCCTCTTGATGTCACTCTCCTCACGTACTTCAATAATAAATGATTCGACAACATCCTCCATTAAGCCATCCTTTTGCCAGTAATATTCCTCTAATGCTAAGATATGTTTAATATGCTAGTGCTTGCCATTCCTTTTTCATCAAATGAAATAGCTATTTGTGAAAACAAAAATACTTATAAGTGTAAGACTATTTATATTAGAAATCACACGTAATTAACACTGTTATCGCAAAATTAAAGACGAGTCGATAAGCGTACTCTCACGTTAAGGTCGACACTAGTACTGGGAGAGTGCTGGGTATGAAGCGACGGTCGGGCGCGGTGCACGCCCGCCCGCTTCCTCAGCCCCCGAATCCTCGGAGCTCACGCGCGGACTGTAGGGTGCCTTTAAATAAATATATTGAAAGGACCCATATTGTGAGGCTTGGAAAGTATAATTTGGACTATGTCTATTGGCTCCGGTAACCACTTAACACTAGATGGGCAGTGGGCACATCCAGCGATCTAAGAAATTAATGGAAAAAAGAAGGTTAGGGCTCAAATTACTGAAGTGCCCATTTTTTCATTAGTTATTGCAAATATTATATCATTAGGAATTATTATATTGTAAAAACAAAACATACTAGGCTTTTCAAAATTATAATTTACACTAGCAGACCCGGCAGACTTCGTAGTGCCTCAATCGATAAATAAAAAACTTAAACTTTTGTATAAAATAATACTTAAAACAAACAAAAGGAACCCGTCGGGCGGGGGACACATCAAAGGGAAATTATAAGTGTTATTTTTATTTAATTCCGAGCATTTTCATGTATCCTATGTATAATGATATGTATAATCTACCTTTTAAACCTTTTCTGAACTTCCACAAATTCAAGACAAAAATTAACTAAATCAGTCCAGCCGTTCTCGAGTTTTAGCGAGACTAACGAACAACAATTTATTTTCATATATATAAATTACTTTTAGCATTTCTTTGCAAATTCGAATTTCAAAGATTAAGTTTTTCGATTTCTAGACTAAAGAGACTTTATTCTACTCTAAACTAACTCGACTTAACTCGACTCGACTCAATCTCCAATGTGCGTTTTGGTATAACTCGTAAAAATAAACTCCACTCAAACATGCTTCGAAAATTTTCGTCACCGGAGTAAATGAACTGTCAAGTCAACCTTGAACATTCCTCAAGACTGGTTTTCTTTAAATATCCAAACCTTTTTATCTATACTTTTAATATTATCATTATATAAAAACATATTTTTAATATTATAAAGCTGAAGAGTTTGTTTGTTTGAACGCGCTAATCTCAGGAACTACTGGTCCGATTTGAAAAATTCTTTAAGTGTTAGATAGCCCATTTATCGAGGAATGTTATATAACATTACGCTAAGACCAATACAAGCGGAGCACCAATAAATACTGTTTCAAAATGGGGTATTTTTTTCGTTTTGAGAGCTTCCACTGCGTGCGCTACGGAAACGGTTAAAGTTTTGCTAAAGTATAAGAGAATTGTCCCCTTTAAAAGATCTAAAAAAAAGTCCGCGACAGCATATGTCCATATGTTAAGGATGGCTCACTATAACGTTTTTTATGCTAACCGAATTTGTTCTAAAATAAAGTATTATTTGTGAAGGTGTTTTTATAAAGATGATATTAATCCCTATCCAAATAAATACGTTATTCATTACAACATTTTAAACACCCAAATCACTTCAAGATACACTTTGACAATTATAGAGTTTTCTGGATTTCTCCAAGATCCCATCATCAGATATTGATGTAAACAGGCGCATTCGGGAACTCTATCCTTTCGAACAAAAATAAAGAAAAAAGAATTATCAGAGTCGGTTGAAGCATTCTCGAGAAATCGGTGAACGTACATAGATAAATAATTATAGTCGAATCGATAACTTGCTCTTTTGAAGTCGGTTAAAAAGCGTGATTTTGGTACCTTAAATAGCTCTTTAACATTCTATTGTCCAAAAATATTTATCATTTTCAACGTTAAATGAAGAGGCGGGTAAAATTAAGCGTTATGCCATAGTAACTATTCCGCACTNGTGAAGCAGGCGAGAGACCAACTACAGAGCAACGAAACTCAGGTATAATGTTTTTAAATAATGTATATTCTTAGTTTTCTTTTATTTATTTATTTGGGAAACCAACAGTACAAACATAATATATCTATACATATAAATAAAATTGGAGTGTCTGTTTGTAATATTGAAATAACCGCTTTTTACTACATGCATATGAATATATATACGGTACATATGTCGCAGGCAATTTGTATGATTCCGCCGTTTACAAACGGCGTCGTCATTATAAAAACGCTCGCCGTTATGTAAAATGCCGAAGGCAAAATGATAACTCGTTCAATAATTATAATTTCGACATTGGTTGTAGTTTTAGGGTGACCATAATAAAATGCAGTTTATAATAATCAGACTTTATTTCCGTAATCAGGTACTAATGAAGATTTCAAGTAAGACTAAATTATGTGCTTTGGTTCTCTTAAAGTACTTAGTTAAAATATTTAAGTAACAAAACAACATTTGAATTACACACTTTATATATACTCATGACAATAATAAAACTTCTAAGGATAATATGACACTTTCAAATAAAACAAACAGGTCGTAAGTAAAACCATATTATTTTGAAGTTTGAAGTATTCATGGTCTTGACTCTGCTCATTAAAATCTCGAGATATAATCGGTTTAACTACGATATCTTTATTTGGTATGTTACGTTTGGATTCACAAACAGGACATAACGATACGAATAAATCAATCGCTTTTCTCACACTAATAAATCTATCCTTCGTTTGATACTGAATTTTGTCTTGATCACCATGTCCGTAACCTCTATGAATCTCTAACAATACATCGGAATATTCGTTCAACGGTATTACACGAACGGTTGGATCAGGGCTATCCTTTTTAAAATAAGGTAGTCCAATTCACTGATGCTCATGACCTCGTATTGTTTTGACCAGTAGTAATCTGCAGGAGTCCTCCGCGAACCAGATTCTGTGGCCACCTTAGCATTTTTTAGGTGCCGAATAACCTCAAAAATCTTACTATTTGTCCAAGGCTTTTTTACAGCTTCCATTTGAGAATTGTATATTTTTTTTAATTCACTATAATAATATATACCTTTAAAATCAGAATTCTTTCCTAAAATGTCTTCTCCACACGATATATTTGCACTGTTTTCAGTTATTTTTTGACGTGGTTGTTATTATTTTGATCAACAGTGGCGCGCGTGGTAAAAAATTGAACTAAGCATTTCAATATGCCGCGGCATTATGAAAACGGCGTTTGAATTGTCGATGCTATGTTGTGGCATATTATAAAGTGACACGGCAGTTTACATTTTGCCTTCGGCATTTTACATAACGGCGAGCGTTTTTATAATGACGACGCCGTTTGTAAACGGCGGAATCATACAAATTGCCTGCGACACATACACCAAAATAACATTTTTTACAATTTTTGTCTGTCTGTCTGTTTGTTCCGGCTAATCTCTGGAACGGCTGGACCGATTTTGATGAGACTTTCACTAATAGGTAGCTGATGATATAAGGAGTAACATAGGCTACTTTTTTTAGACTAACTTCGCTCCGCGGCGTCACCCGCAGTTATTGTCGTACCGCGCGCAACATGGCGGGACTCGGCTAACAATAATAAAATTTAATGTTTCCGAAGTGAAGCGAGGGCGGGTCGCTAGTTATAATATATAAAAAAACAGCTAAAACAATAACCAGACAAGTTTCCACCATCAAAATCACATATAAGTAGAAAGTAAACAAATGAAAACAGAGAAATTTATAAATTTAAGATTACAAAAACAAAAAAAAAGAGCAACACAATACGCACATATGTACATCCACCTTTATTTTGTGTATACATATGTACCTCACCTTAAAAATATTCCAAAATAGCATTTCTGTAAGTTACGATTTCTCTAAGCTATTTCTATATCTTATCAGCACATCCAATACATTCGTATGACCAGAGGCTATTTATTAAATGTCAATAAGTTTGTAGTGCCCTTGATCCCAATATGAGCGAACTCATTCTTCTCGACCTGCTCTTATCACTAATTCCCCGTTATCCGATAATAATTGCATCCTCAGGATAATTTTCATATCACTCTCTGTTCTTGTCGTGAAGCCATCATATATTTCCATTAAAAGCTTCTATCCTTGGATAGCTCTGATAGCGTTGAAGAATAAGTAAGATTTCAAACACTGTTTAGTTTTGTATTTATCATGGGACTCTTAAACTACCTCGATTTTAGAGCATACTAGAGACCCGCCCTCGCTTCGGTTCGGAAACATTAAATTTTATTATTGTTAGCCGAGTCCCGCGATGTTACCCGAGGTTATTGTCATACCCCGGGGTGAAGCTAGTCTTAAAAAAAAGCCTAAGTTACTCCTTATATCATCAGCTACCTATCAGTGAAAGTCTCGTCAAAATCGGTCCAGCCGTTCCTTGTTTAGCCGGAAAAAACAGACAGACAGACAGACAAAAATTGTAAAAAATGTTATTTTAGTTTATGTAGCGTATCATTCATATGCATGTAGTAAAAAGCGGTTATTTCAATATTACAAACAGACACTCCAATTTTTATTTATATGTATAGATATATTAAAAAAATGTTAATAAAAACTACACAGAAAATTAGTTAACGGATTCTCGCTACCACCAAACATGATAACAAAATAATGAAGCCCGACAGAGCCCAATTAAGTTTGATTATAGAATTTTTCACTTTGAGTTTATTATCAGTACAAGCAAACATTACATGAACTTCTCTCGGCATAAAGTCGTCCTAAGTCAACGCCCGATAAACTTAACCTCTGCATTGTGAACGTCTCTAATAAGAACGCCTGTAACAAGCAATCTGGCGGCAACAATGAAACAATAAAAAAAACAACTTAATTTTTATTGCTTAGGTGGGTGGACGAACTCACGGCCCACCTGACGATAAGTGGTTACTGAAGCTCATGGACATCTACAACGTAAATGCCGCCACCTAACTTGAGATATCAGTATAGTTACAACGGCTGCCCCACCCTTCAAACCGAAACGCATTACTGCTTCTCGGCAGAAATAGGCGGGGTGGTGGTCCTACCCGCGGGGACTCACAAGACGTCCTACCAAAAATAGTAACCAGGATAATCACTATTTTTTTTAAATAACTAATTACGAAATTTTAAAACCGTTCAATAAAATTTAATCATTCGTGTTACCTACTGGTTCACAAGACACTATAATAATATACTAAATAAGCAAATTATAATTTTTGTGGGTTTGATTTTTATTACGCAAAATTATTTCCCGTGGAAGTTCCTGAACATTTATTGTTGAGTATGTATTAAATTACAAAAATTGGCCTGTGAGATACGAAAATTGGCAGAGTCGCATCGGTTGATACGAATTCACCGGTCATCGTTTCCTTTAGGCCATGACTATTTACTTTATTTGCCTTTAGTTATTATTAAAATTTTACAAAAAAGTTAAAAATTATGGTGGTACTCACTTGTGTGTGCTTATAAGACACCCTATCAAAAGTGATTTATTATTATCATTAGGTCTTTTTTCACATTGATAACAAAACCACACTGCGATCTATTTTGTCAGTATTGTCAATTTATTAGTAACTAGCCGTACTCGCCCGCTTGGCATTTAAAATTAACATTATTATTTCTCACCTCCACAAAGATTCTCAATATTAACGCCCCCGCAACTGGTGTAGGGAGTCCAACACTCATATAAATATTAGCCTATCCATTAAGTACGCGTATTTTCTACATGGATACCAAGTTTCAAGTCAATCGGATGCATGGTTCAGTAATTATAACGGAACATCCGTAAAAACCACTGTAGATTTATATATTATCTATATATTAATACGTGAAGCAAAAACTTTGTACCCCTTTTTACGGAAATTGCGCGGACGGAGGAGTATAAAATTTCCCGCACTCGTAGAGAATATAGAGAAGGAGTGCAGAATAATAATAGTTTTTTTTAAATTATGCATAAAAATACACTAAATCAATAAATAAAGACATTACACACACTACCACTATGTATTTGACACACACACGCATGCACACTATTTGTTTAATGTCAAACTTTTCTTATTGCTTAAAGTCTGTGGTCAAATTAAGAATAGATTAAATAATTGTTTCTTTATTAATATTTGTCTAAGGTGTATTTTTGGCGAAGTCTATGGTTATAGAAGAATAATAGTTTTTGAAAATATAATCATAATTGTGTACAAAGTTATAATTTCAATTAATTATAGTCGAATTTCGACTACCGGGGGACTATTAGTTAGTATAGATACTTCACTTTTCCTTTTTTAAATTTCAGGATGAAATAAAAGAAGTATTCGAGGGTTCGTGCAAGTTGATTCCCATAAAGTTCGTAGCAGAGGGATGTATGAAATTGGCCGATGAGTTCGTGGTCGAGCTGATTGAGACGCTCGCTTCAGAGATGAACCCCCAAGCCGTGTGCTCTGTCGCTGGACTCTGTAACAACGCTAAGATCGATCGGCTGCTTGTAGACTACGTAAGTCAAAGACAGTTTAATTCTTTTAAAGCTACCGCTGGTTATTAAGCATCTAGTACGAACGAATCTAGTAGTCGTCGTGGCCTAATGGATAAGACGTCTGGTGCATAAGTGTTGAGGCGATGCACCGATGTTCGAATCTCAGGCGGGTACCAATTTTTCTAATGAAATACGTACTCAACAATTGTTCACGATTGACTTCCACGGTGAAGGAATAACATTGTGTAATAAAAATCAAAACCGCAAAGTTATAATTTGCGTAATTACTGGTGGTAGGACCTCTTGTGAGTCCGCAGGGGTAGGTACCACCACCCTGCCTATTTCTGCCGTGAAGCAGTTATGCGTTTCGGTTTGAAGGGTGGGGCAGCCGTTGTAACTATACTTGAGACCTTACAACTTATATCTCAAGGTGGGTGGCGCATTTACGTTGTAGATGTCTATGGGCTCCAGTAACCACTTAACATCAGGTGGGCTGTGAGCACGTCCACTCATCTAAGCAATAAAAAAAAAAATCGCTCCGTGCGCTAAAGACAATGTCAAATCTCGAAAAAAAAGAAAAAAAAATGTGAGCCGTCACGGGACGCCTGGCAGATGTGAAACATCGACATTATTTTGTAAAAGTAATATGCAGAAAAGAACAGATTGTGATAGGAACTAAATATGTCATAATGATAAAATAAAATATTACGAAAATATAATTTGTTTTCAAGTAAAACACAGGTTATGTGTACTGTAGTAAACAACACTGTATACACTACGGAGTATACACTATAGGTATCCGAGCTCAGTTTAGCGAGAGAGATGGCTTAACGCCGGATCGAGTGGGAGAGAATCGCACAGTCGATTGCGCATGGCGACGCGTCGCCACGCCAGAAATCGGTTTTACGTGCGGCTATAGATGTTTCACATCAAAAAATGCTTCTCTTTTTCAATGTACTCACAATAATAATAATAATAAAACTTTTTATTTGACACCACATCTACAGAGTAAACATATAAAGCAAATAATAGACGGTGACATAAATTGGCGGCGCTGAAAGCGATCTCTTCTAGGCAACCTTGCAGGGAGATGCTTAAGGGTAGTGCATTCCATAAAAGGACTGCTTCAACCGCAAAGGAATGGTCATAAAATGACGTCCCGTGAGCCGGAAACTTCAGCATTAAATTCTTAAACTTATGTACAGTTTCATATTTTAATTATCGAGATATTAAAGATAATCGGTTATTTATTCCAATTAAATTAAAATTCTATATCAAATAAAATTATAAATACTAAATTATTGTTAAATATAAATAGTTTTACTAATCAAAGAAACACTATGAGACTCTGATATTACTTAAATGACAGAAGTAGTTATGCAGCGCATAAAATGCAAATGATTGTTTGTTTTTAATTATTTTGCAGTTATTTTCTTTCCGGTTTAGTATTAGAAAAATATGATTCTAGTTTGTTTCGTCAACTATCCACTAATGTAAACTTTCTCATATTTATTTAACAGTAATATATATGAGGCGCACACATTATTAACATAACGTAAGTATTCTATGCCAAAATCCAAGGAAAGAAAAAAATTTGCTTTAAATAAATTTAAACTATAAAAAAAATTCCCAGTAGCTTTATCACACCACAGTCATAATTGGCCACTGAATAAGCCGTCTGCATAAAAATATTGTAATTTAATATCTGCCGTAGTGTGTTTTGTGACTAATGTTCACGATGACCGGGTTATCTTTGTCGATAACTTCGTATTATTTATGTCGCTCAATGACCTTAAGTCATGTTATTTTAATAAATGTTACGTACATATGTAATTATTACTTATCGTTTTAATGAACGTCTAGAATACGATAGAACGTTTTTCTTTGTATTTATCCTGTTGTGTTTAAAGTAAATAAATATGGAAGGTTAATAACGTACTTCCAATCTTGATTGAATGAGTTAAATAATTTGAAATTTATTATATATACAATGTGTCCGGTTATAGACTAGCGATAATCTAGATACTTATAAAACAACTATTTTAATATACAAATACAGCATAAACTTGGGTCCAACCCGCCTCCACGATAAATGGCAGTCATTTTGTTTTTTTTTTTAATGAAATTTCTCTACGTATGTATAAAAAACATCATATCAGTAAAAGTTTGGGTTTCACTGCGATAAAATAGGCTTATTCGAGGGGTAATAATACTCCTGTATGTCATTTACACTATAAAAGAATGTGTTTACTATCATAAGTAAAAAAATACGTAAATTAACAAATTACTGCAAAATCACTACCCGTAGTCGTGACCTACCCATAACATTTAGCGTGCAGGTGGGTGGTTGGAAGTCTGTGGATTAAAAGAAACAGATATTAGTTTAATAAAAATTAGATAGCATATTGAACGATTCCTATTTAAATTTTGATTTAAAAACTAAAATACTTAATAGGTTTTTTTCGGCATCAACTTAGTAGAGAATTTTAGTACTACCACTACTAACTTGTAGATATTGCCTTGTATACAAAATCCAATGTATAAAAAATAAATGAATTTTTTTTAGTTCAAATTGCGGGAAATAAAACTCTCTAGTTACAATTGGACATGCCATATGTTTATTGATGGGAAGAGCTAGAAGATGTCATAAATCACTTAAAAACCAAAATAAACCAGAAAATCATATTCAAATTAATCATTTTTTGCGGAATATGTAAATTTAATGTAATGCAGCTGTGCAAATATTTAATTAGTCATTTGGGACACCACACATTTGATCTTGTGTGGAGACGATTTTTTTTTTTTCTTAGGCAAATGAGCACCGAATCAACTGCCACACAAAATTCCAAGGACTCAGTGAAGTCTGAATTTCTTGTCGATTAAATTAGAATCAACAAAAAATTTTTTTATTGAACAATATACACATGTATTTAATTCGAAAATTTGTACACAGAACGCACAAAGAGAACTAAGGGCCGGTTGTTACAACTGTCAGAAGACCGTCGGTGTTGTCAGGAAGAAGTTTGACGAGACCAAGTATGAAGACTTTTTAGTGGGACTCCTGCAGGTAACTTAAAAAAAAAACAATATTAACTAAAATGAAATGCAATCGTCCTAGTTTTTGAGTCGTGTGTTTGTTATTCTTCACAGTTTGAGGGTTAAAATATTGGTGAAATATTTTGAATAAAGAAAAATTAAAAAAAATATTGTTTATGGCCCGTAGGCCGCTTAAGTTTCTGAGCTATGCGTGTAGTTTCACTTCTACATAATTCATACATAAAAAAAGTTTTAATGAAAATTTACCACTGTGTGTATTTTAAAATCCAAACATACTTAAATTATGAAATAGAGATAATTATGTATATTCCATTCAAGGTATGCCGCAACATGGACTCATTATCCGACTCTTGTTCGATGCTGATATTCAAATACTACGAGAACATTTTGGAAGCCGTGAAAAAGGATTTAAACCCCGAAGGCATCTGCCATGTCAGCGGACAGTGTTCGTACAAGTTCCATAATCACGATGAGTTTACGTTCCCTGAACAGATGGTCCAGTATTCTGCGACCGAGTAAGTATTATCCAGTTATGTTACTATACTTGAGACCTTAGAACTTATATCTGAGTCGACTATTATCAAAGCCGGCAATGTGACTTTTGGACAATTATTGGTAAATCAGAAAAACGAATTATTGACTTTGTATTCCATTGGCAGTCACAAAACTCTTCTGAACGACATCTTAGATAAATAACAGGTTAAGTATTAACCTTTATTTAATGCAGGTTTTGAACCGTATTCTTTGAAGGAGACGATTATATTCAAATCAATCTGTATTGACATATCAATAACATTTTTTTGTCCAAATGCACAGATTGCCACCTTTGATAATAGACGACTCATCTCAAGGTGGGTGGCGCATTTACGTCGTAAATGTCTATGGGCTCCAGTAACCACTTAACACCAGGTGGGCTGTGAGCTCGTCCACCCATGTAGCAATAAATAAATAAAAAAAACTTACTATAGAACATTTCAATAATATTTATATGGTCAAAATAAAGTAATTATCCTTTAAGGGATTCTTTACTGGTTCATACAGGCAGAATATTGTGCACAACTGAAAGATATACTACCACTGCTACTAAAATTGAGAAGAGAAAAAAACAATTGTATCAAACCTAATTTGATACACAAGATACATCATAATTATTATAGGGAATAATTGAGGAAATACTTTGGTTCATGAATTAATCTGCCAAAAATATCATATTCTTTTAACACGTTAAACGCTAAACTGGAAACCATGCTTAATTAAGTGGGCCGCATCGGACACCGTGGGGCTGCCATTTGTCTTCTCTCTGGAATGTCGCCCATTATTTTTGAGTTATTTCTTGACAATATTTGCGAAAAAAACAAACATCTCAAGAATTTTTGGACGATTATTGATAAATTGATGCGGCTCTAGGTCAAAATATGTCCAGATACCCGTCATGGCGTTCTACGTGCTAAGAGAAACATTCAAAATATCTTCAAAATCCGTTTTAATACGTACTGTCGACATTGTGAATTTTCATGCAGGAATTATAGTCGATAAAATAAAAATTTGTATTTCTTAAATGGGTGGACGAGCTCACATCCCATCTGGCGTTAAGTGGTTACTGGAGCTCATAGACATATACACTTCCACAGTTAAGGATCGTGTAATCAAGCCCGCAAAATTATAATTTGCGTAATTACTGGATTTCTGGAGGTAGGACCTTTTGTGAGTCCACACGGTTATGTATCACCACCCTGCTTATTTCTGCCGCGAAGCAGTAATGCGTTTCGGTTTGAAGGGTGGGGCAGCCGTTGTAACTATACCTGAGACTTTAGAACTTATATCTCATAGGCGGGTGGCGCATTTACGTTGTGGATGTCTATGGGCTCCAGTAACCACTTAACACCAGGTGGACTGTGAATTCGTCCACTACTGCTTCACGGCAGAAATAGGCACTATATGGCGCTATAAATCGGTTTTCTAATGCTCACAGCGATGTTCCGTGCGAATTTTGCGAACAGCTGGTCAAACATCTGCGAGACGTTCTCGTCGCGAATACTACTGAACTCGAATTCTATAAAGTTCTTCAAGGTATTTATTTTTGGCTTTCTATTCGGATATGCGATCCAAAGTATTATATTCATTAGTATTATTTTGTTTCCAACTAAATGATCAATATTTCCTATCTAGGTTGTTTGCTAATTTCTTTAGTGGTGCTCCTCACTCCACATTATCGATAACGGTTTTTGAACAAGACAATTGAAATTTTATAAAAATCATCACTCAATTGATTTTCGATTGTAAATATTTTATAATGTCTATTACATAGTTCTAATTTAACTTTTTGTTTTTGTTGTTAATAAAACTTCTATGTGTTGATCTGTACAACAATGAAATATATTTAAAGATTATTGTAATTTATAATATAATAGTTCCACAAATCAAAGTAGAAATCAATTTCGCAACACTTTTTAGTTCATTCAACGCCATATTTTTTATCTATGTCATCGCTGCTTTATAACATTCCATACCATTAACACCCCTCCCAACTACTTCAGAGTAAAGAGAGAAAGTACACTTATCTTTACATCTATTTAAAGATTATTTAAATATTAGACCATTTTACAACAATGAAAGACATTTAAAGATCATCTTATCGTAATTTAGTTCCACAGTTCCTAATACAAATTAATTTCACAACACTATTTAATTCACTGAACGCCATATTTTTTATCTATGTCACCGCTGCTTTATTCACATTAATTTTGTATCTATGCCACCGCTGCTTTATTCACATAATTTTTTTATCTATGTCCCCGCTGCATTATTCACACTATCCCCCCGTCCCCCTCCATTTATTTAAAGATACTACAATTTTCCACACAGGCCTCTGCAAGCAAACCGGAAAATTCAAGGACGAATGTCTACACTTAGCCGAACAGTACTATCCGGTCATCTACAACTTCCTAGTGTCCGATTTGAAACCGGCTGAAACGTGCAAAATGATTGGGATCTGCGGTAACCTCACTAGCGCGCCGATCTCGCCGCTCGTGGCCAGGGAACTGGTCGTTAAAGTGCAACCTAAATTGATTGGCGCTGAAGAATCAAAGGTAAGAACTCCTTAATGTGGGAACGGACTTAGTTTAAACAGACTAATTCAAACAGCCAAATCTTAATTATAAAAATCATCAGAGGACATAAATCCGATTTCGAAATAAGAAAAATGTTGAATGTTTCATTTGGTTCGTGATTTTGGTAAGATCAAACCGGTTTTTTTATTGCCTTTGAAGGCAGACGATTGTACGGCTCGCCTGATGGTAAGTGGTTACCGTCGCCCATGGACTTCAGCAATGCCAGGAGCAGAGCCAAACCGCTGCCTACCGCAAATGTAATTGTAATATCCATCATCATCCATCCCAGTACATTTTTGAAAATTTGATGTATGTTCGTAAACATATTGAGAAGTTTCCAAAAAAGTCTGACTTACATAATAGAAATACTAGGAACAAACACAACCTTGATGTGCCGATGAGTAGGTTACATAAGATACGAAATTCATTCGGGTGTTTGTCTGTGCGCCTGTACAACAAAATCCCACAAAATGTTCAGAACCTACGTATTACATAGGTTTAAGAAAACTATTAAAGAACATCTGTGCAATAAAGCTTACTATAAAGTCAATGATTAAAGCAATAATTGCAATAATTGTTACGTTATAATACATCTTGTAATAATGAATATTTAAAAAAAAATTATATTTGAAAAAAAAAAGGCATGCCCGCTGAGTTTCTTGCCAGTTCGTCTCAGGACGGGGGCTAGTTTTTATGAATTGGCGGTAGTTCTTTTTGACGTTCAACAAGTGTGTACTTTCATTTAGTTGATTTTTTTTTTTATTTGATTTGATTTGATTTGATTTAATAGCTTGTTAGGGTACTAAAGATTAGGTAGAGCAAAAAAACATCCTTCGTTCAGTGTTCGGGATATCGCTACTCAAACGCGAGCACACACTCCCAGTGGCTGTCCTTTCCAGATCGCTCGTGTACCGTTAGCAAAACAAATGGAGCCGGCGAGCGCGGCGGTATCCGTACTGCCGCTGGAGCGCATGTTCGTAGCGGCGCCGCAGAGCAAGGCCGCCTGCGCGTTCTGCCAGTACTTCCTGCACTACTTGCAGGTGCAACTCAGCGACACCAGGACCGAGGTGAGTCTCACGATACGGTCAACCGGTACAACGCGCTTGAAGTTTCGAGATAACCGTTGTAGATACAATTGAGATTTCGTCCTTGTTTTTTAATTGCCCTTGTAGGCAGACGAGCACACGGCCCACCTGATGGTGAGTGGTTACCGTCGCCCATAGACTTCAGCAATGCCAGGGGCAGAGCCAAGCCGCTGTCTACCGAACCTCGATGTCTGTGGGCCACGGTAGCTATTGTACACCGCATAAACTGTGGGCTTTCCGTCTTAGAAAATCGACATCAGACTGGAGTAGTATTGATGGAGCTTTTATTATTGTTTTTTTTGTACATAAAATAAATTGTCTTAAATATATGTCTTAACGGTCAATAACCTCACATTCTCATGGTGCCCATAAGTTTTGGCAAAAAAATGTATGACATGCCTGTCGTCAACCCTCCTTGGGAATGCTTCTGTTGACCTTGGGCCTTAGTTGTATTGGCTTTGGTCAGGTTTTCGCACTTAGCCGCCTTCTGCCAGACCCATGAGCTAAGTTTGGGTTGGAGGTATTCTTAGGCTCCTACCAAACGCAACCTTAAGCGCCCACCACACGCAACACGAGGAAGAGGTATACCTAAGAAGAGATGGATGGATTGCGTGAAAGAGGATATCTGTAAGGGGGAGTGAGCGAAAAAATGTTATATGATAGAGGAGTATAGAAGGAGAAAACATGTTGCGCCGAACCCACCTGACTGGGAGAAGAGCAGGAGAATTATGATGATGATGGTCAATAACGTCACACTGGTTACGTTCAGTAATTTTTTTTTTTTTAATTTTTTTTTTGCTGAGATGTGTGGACGAGCTCACAGCCCACCTGGTGTTAAGTGGTTACTGGAGCCCATAGACATCTATAACGTAAATGCGCCACACACCTTGAGATATAGTTCTAAGGTCTCAGTATAGTCACAACGGCTGCCCCACCCTTCAAACCGAAACGCATTACTGCTTCACGGCAGAAATAGAGCGGTGGTACCCACCCGCGCGGACTCACAAGAGGTCCTACCACCAGTAATTACTTTAGTCCTTTACCGTGGAAGTCAATCGTGAACATTCGTTAAGTATATTTAATTAGAAAAATTGGTACTTGCCAGCGGTATTCGAACACCGTTGCACCGTTGCTAGATACGAATGCACCGGACGTCTTATCCTTTAGGCCACGACGACTTCAAAATATTTGTTGACAGGACAAAGTGAAGGCCGCAGTACAGGAGGCGTGCGACGCGCTGCCCGACGCCCTCAACGGTGAATGCAAGGAGTTTGTAACGCAGTACGGATCCGCCGTCATCGCTTTGCTCGTTCAAGAAATCGATCCCGCCAGCGTGAGTTGAGTTTATTAAGAACTTTACAGGCAGACTCAGAGGGTCGCGTTTCCGATCCGGTGGTAGAACCTGCGAAGCACTGCTCTTGCTAAGGCCAGTGTTAGCAACACTGGCTTGAGCCTCGAGAGCTCACCTACACGCTAGGGTAACGCTGATATAGCCTCTCAAGGCTATCGGAATAGGTAGGGGAATAAAAAGATAACTATAGTAGAATTATTTTGTCGCTGCAGTTTGGGTCATAAAAAGTCGGAGCGGTGAAGCGAATATTTCGCTCTCTTTGCCACTCACGAGCCTTATGGACGGGCATAGTGATGCGCATTATTGTTGTCGATAAGCGTTATCGATAGTGTATTTAGTTTTGTCATTTTGTGGGCTAGTGATAAAAATGAAAGAAAAAATCACTAACGAACACTTACACCACATGTCGCCGCAGCAAGTTAACGAGAACGCAGAAATTAACACTTTGGAACTTTTCGAGATTTATTCTTATTTCAGTGAAAATTTTTAACACATTGTTGATAACAACACGTGCAAATATTATTTTGAGTAAATTCTGCCGTTTTGATACAAAGAAAGGAGCAGCCATTATGTCACTAAAGAAATTCAGAGAACGAATGCATAAAAACACATTTCTCTTCGACATAATATACTATAACTTGCAGGTAAATACAAATTACTCATAAACATAACAATGTCTCACCACCCTTCGTATACCACCCCGTCGCCACGTACCTGCCTTCGATGACTCACTTGTTTTTATCGATAAAGGCGTTGCGCCCGCGCAACATGCTCACCGCCCTAGCCGGGCTATGTTTTATGACCCAAACTACAGCGACAAAATAATTCTACTATAGTCGAATGGTTCCGCTGTGACGAATATTTGATAAAAAAAATATATTCGAGCGCCACCTGCTGTACCTTTAAAGTACTATGGTAAGAAATTCTCAAAAACTCCAACGACAAGTGAACGAATGTAAAACTTAATCGTATAAAATATGCGCGAGCTCATTATTCAAAAACAAATAAACACAAAATTGATACTAATGATACCAATCGTGTTCGAAATTTTAGATGAGAACTGTAAATATATTGACACAACTGTATTTGCTTACTTACTAATGATTATTGCACTCCACGCAATGTACTACAATTAATGAAATCAGCTGTTGCGTCCGATATTCACTGTTCAGGGAGTGCGAGGACGTTTTCCATTGCGGCCTAATGTAATGTGACTGCAATATGAATGTGCATATTTTAGGCTCCTGGGATGGTCCTCATATGGGACGGAACCATCTTAACTAACTCGTTTCGTTTATGCTTATTTTAATAGAATGTAAAATGACATACGTACATGTTAACCCCTTTGTAACTCATGATCATAACGTTCTAAGATAAATTACCTTTAATTAACTATAATGAAACACGTATTTTAAAAAAAATCCATATTTTTATTATTCGTTTATTTATTTCGAAAAATAGGGACACACAAATCTGTGACATTGAGCCAATATTATCATATTCTTCTATGTGGTGTGGAGCTATTTGAAGCAATTATTTTTCTTATTATAGCATAGAGCCACACCACATTTATCACATAAAGTTTGAGAGACCTGTGCATTTAGGGAATTTGCACCTCTGATCCTATTTTCTGACCAAACGGGCCAATGCCCGATTTGATCTAAATAAACTTTCAAGTACATAATAGTAACGCTATCTCTGTGTGATGTGATGTATTATTTCCTTAGTACGGTATGTAACAGTGAAGATACAAGGAATTAAAAGGAAATAAGTATAGTCTGTGTGAATTTTTTAGGACTTTTTATATTTGTCACAAAAATGTTACAAGGGGTTAAGTGTTTTTGTTTTTATTGCTTAGATGTGTGGACGAGCTCACAGCCCACCTGGTATTAAGTGGTTACTGGAGCCCATAGACATCTACGACGAAATGCGCCACCCACCTTGAGATAAGTTCTAAGGTCTCAAGTATAGTTACAACGGTTGCCCCACCCTTCAAACCGAAAAGCATTACTGCTTCACGGCAGAAATAGACAGGGCGGTGGTACTAACCCGCGCGGACTCACAAGAGGTCCTACCACCAGTAATAAACGGTTATTTTGTTCTATATTATTAGCGAAGACGGTTAAATTTTATTGCCATGAGTGCCGTGCCTGCGACTCTATGCGCGGGAATTTGTCAGAAATCAAAAATCTTCATCTATTTACCTGACTAACTAATTCCTTCGGCTCCCGATTTGTTTCTTAAACTACAATAAATGATTATATTATTTTATTTTATTGACCTGTCTAATTCGGCAAGAAGCGATCATACGTTTGGGCTTGAAGGATCGGACGGCCGTAGTATGAATGCAATTTTGATTTCAACGTTGCGTCTCGTAACGTAACGTTACGTTACGCATAGTCTTTCGGACTCTGGCAACCGCTTAACGTGAAGTGCGCTCTGAACTCGCGTGTTCATCTAAACATTTCCATGTATTACCGCAGGTATGTCCCGCTCTTCAAATCTGCCCTCAAACAGAAGAAATCCGCCGAGTCGACGTCAATTCTGAAAAATCTAACTGCCCCCTGTGCCTCTTCGCCGTTGAACAACTAGAATCGGTGCTCAAGAACAACCGTAGTGAGGTATGTACGATATTATGGTAAATGTAGTTTGTGAATCACTGAATACACTTCTTGATGATTTTCGCTTGAACTTCTTGAACGCCCGACATCGTCTTCAAACTAAAAACTTGCTTCGTAGCAGAAATACAACGATGGCACGTAACTAATTATTTAATCTCTTCACAAGCACGTGCCTTATTTATAATATCAATATATAGATATCAGCTATAATTCCTGATACCAGATACCACAACACTAAAAACGTTGTAATTCACTAATTTACAATATACAAGTCGATGTATTTTTTTTTAAAGACAATTACACAGCAATTTATAAAGTTAATGACCGAAATACGAATTACATATTGATAAAATTATGAAATATGAATAATATTAATTTTAAATAAGATATGAATTGAATTGAATTATGAATTTTCGATCTTACCGACAGAATAATAATAAAATATGAACTGGCTGTTTAAAGAAATAATCAAAATTATCGATAAAGTTGATTATTGAAAACACGAATAAAACATTTTCTGAAAATAAATCGTAGCTAGATCGATTTATCGCACCCGAAATCCCCTGTATGCTAAATTTTATGAAAATCGGATCAGATTATACATATTACTACATAGTATAAAACAAAGTCGCTTTCCCTGTCCCTATATCCGTATGTATGCTTAAATCTTTAAAACTACGCAACGGATTTCGATGCGGTTTTTTTTAATAGATACGAGTGATTGAAAAGGAAGGTTTATATGTATAATAACATCCATTAAATAGTGGAGAAATCAATAATAAATAACAGTTTCCGAAGCGAAGCGAGGGCGGGTCGCTCTAGTGTCGCTAGTGTTTATATACAAGAATTGCTCGTTTAAATATATACATATTGTGATATAGATTGTCCATATTTAAACATACATATATAATTTGGAAAAACTTTTATAATTGTTATTTTTCAACCCTACTCTTTAAATATATACATATTATGATATAGACTGTCCATATTTAAACATACATATATAATTTGGACAAACTTTTATAATTGTTATTTTTCAACCCTACTCTTTAAATATATACATATTATGATATAGATTGTCCATATTTAAACATACATATATAATTTGGAAAAACTTTTATAATTGTTATTTTTCAACCCTACTCTTTTAAACTAAGAACTTATTCAATTATATTTGAAATTTAAAATATTAAGTTCTTTTTTTAAAACTTAATTTGAAATTCGTTTGTTCCAGGAGAACATTCGCAAGGCTCTGGACGGTCTCTGCACGCGGCTCTCCCAGAAACTGCAGAGCGAGTGCATCGACTTCGTGGACACGTACTCGAGTCAGCTCGTCGAGATGCTGGTGGCCGACATGAACGCGAAGGAGATCTGCGTGTTCCTGAAGCTGTGTCGGGACCAACTGCACGATCCCCTCAAGCTGACCCACTCGTCCATAGACAAGTTCCACGCGAAGCCGACATTGAGAGGCGACAGGAACAACCACAGGAAGAAGTCGCTTCTGCCCAAACACATGCTGGTTTCTGAATTCAGTGACGTCGGTGAGTTTACTACAATTATATAGAACATTAACGTATCCGTAAAATAGACGCATACCACCCATCATACTATGACTTTTATGGCATATACGAATAAACCTTGTGTTGCGAACGAATAGTTTACAAACAAACAAACAAACAAAAAATTTAACATGGCAGATTACAAAACGCTTATAACATGCGGTCGTAAAACTAAACTGTGGCGGTAACCATCAGACAGATGCCTGAATCTCGCTTACGACATTTTCAAGATAAGCTTACATATATATAAGTTCTAAACAACAACATTTTGACCGTCGGTCTACCGAGCAATTACACCCGCTCGGTGGAAGATCTTTCCTTTGTCGTTAAAAATTCCAAAAAACTTTAAAAATGTTACTTTTTATAAACCTCATAGTCAGGTATCGGCTCTTCGGGTTAGGGCATGGATGAAACCGACGTTTATTATTAACCTTTGACGAGCTTAAATTCGAACAAAATGTTTTCGTTGAAAGAAGTAACTAGTTTTTTAAACAATTCAATGCCGTTTTTCCTCTGTTTATTCGATTTCCTTTTTGTTGTTGTTTTAATAACTCTTTATGAGCTTTAAAGCTAAATATTAACAATATAATAATAATACTATGTGCCTTGAAATATAAATTTAATCTATATAATAATTCGAAGTCATCGTGGCCTAACGGATAAGACGTCCGGTGCATTCGTGTTTTGAGCGGTGCACTGGTGTTCGAATCTCAGGCGGGTACCAATTTTTCTAATGAAATACGTACTCAACAAATGTTCACGATTGATTTCCACGGTGAAGGAATAACATCGTGTAATAAAAATCAAACCCGCGAAAATTATAATTTGCGTAATTACTGGTGGTAGGACCTCTTGTGAGTCCGCACGGGTAGGTACCACCGCCCCGTCTATTTTTGCCGTGAAGTAGTAATGCGTTTCGGTTTGAAGGGTGGGGCAGCCGTTGTAACTATACTTGAGACCTTAGAACTTATATCTCAAGGTGAGTGGCGCATTTACGTTGTAGATGTCTATGGGCTCCAGTAACCACTTAACACTAGGTTGACTGTGAGCTCGTCCACCCATCTAAGCAATAAAAAAAATGAATTGCTGTTCATTAGTTTCGCTAAAACTCAAGAACAGCTCGACCGATTTGGCTAATTTTGGTCTTGAATTATTTGTAGAAGTCCAGAGAAGGTTTCAAAGGTCGATAAATATGAAAATGCTCGGTATTAAATAAAAATAACAATTTTGTTTCTCCTTTGATGTGTCCCCCGTCGTCGGACGGATTCCTTTTGTTTGTTTTAAGTGTATTTTATACAAAAGTTTAGGTATTTTATTTGTCGATTGAGGCACTACGAAGTCTGCCGAGTCAGCTAGTTATTTAAATTAAACTTATAATCGCATTGACTTTATTTATTAGGTAGTAAGCAAAATATTACTCTTATGTAGGTAAATAAAGGAGTTTCAAAAGTCTAACCTCGAATTATTTTCTTTATTAGTAAAAATTATCAAAATTAACAAATCAAATTTAATCAATACTTTTTGCATTACAATAATGGTAAAGCTGACAATAAATAAAAATCGCTTTATTATTTCAGAAACGAACGAGATCCCGGACGACACGGTGAACGGTCGCCGCGTCTCGCACAAGTCTCAGAGCAACGTCTGTGTTCTTTGCGAATTCGTCCTGAAGGAAATCGACGACCAAATAAAAGACAAACATAACGACGTAAGCGTTGTCCCTACGATACATGCGATCACCGGTACAACCTGACCTAAGACTGTGTCATGAAGGAGTCCAAACATTCTAGTTTACTGGTTACTTACTTTAGCTTTTACTGGTGATAGGACCTCTTGTGAGTCTGCACGGGTAGGCACCAACCACCACCCTACCTATTTCTACCGTGAAGCAGCAATGCGTTTCGGTTTGAAGGGTGGGGTAGTGTAACTATACTGAGACCTTAGATTTATATCTCAATGTGGGTGGCGCATTTACTTTGTAGATGTCTATGGGCTCCCGTGACCACTTAACACTAGGTGGGCTGTGAGATCGTCCACACATCTAAGCAATAAAAAAAGATACGAATTACCGCTACAACCTGACCTAACTCTGTGTCACGAAGCAGTCCAAATATTCTGGTCAGCATAGTGGAATTATACCTCAAGGACCAGGCACTTCATGTTGACCACGGTCCTCAATAACCATACATCCCTACCCGAGTCGTGATCAAATAATGCCAAAACAATACGAATAAGTAAATCTAATAAAAACTAGTTAGTATATTATACCCAATATCTGGAATACGTTACAGTTTTTGTGGTCAAGTGACATCGAAAATAATATAGTGCAAGATTAAACCTTTTAATTGATATCGGTTACTCGCGGAATAGAAAGCCATTTAAATAATATCGGAATCGTATGACATATTATATTAATTAATTAATTAATAATTAGGTAGTTAATTGAGTTATTATAATTCTCAAAACCTGTGCTTGTGTGTTCGAAATTTATATTTGTATCGAATCTTATTAAACTGTTCTATTGATCATCATAAAAATAATTTGTAAATATGTATTTAATTAGTTTTCACATACTTTTTTACATTAAATGTGACAAATTACTTTATGAACTTTATAACAACTAATAATATGTACTAGTGGTGCCCCAGTAGTCAAAATTCGACTACAATTAATGGAAATTATAAGTTTGAACATTGTTATGGTTCTATTATCAAATACTATTTATTATACTTCTATAATCACAGATTTCGCCAAGACTACACTATAGACAAATAATTTTAAAAACTATATTAATCCACACAATAAAACAATTTGACCACAGACTTTAAATAATAACAAAAGTTTGACAATAAACACAGAGTATATATGTGTATATGTGTTGTGTCAAATACACGGTAGTCGTGTATCTGTATAAATACACTGTAATGTTTTATTAATGGATTTGGTGTATTTTTATCCATAATTTGAAGAAATATTAACATTCTGCACTCGGTCTCTATAATAATAATAATAATTATTTATTTATTAACCTTGAAAACATTTACACATAACAGTTAGCTAAAAACTCTATAAGTATGGGAAATTTCATACTCTTCTGTCTGTGCATTTTTTATAAAAAGAGGTACAAAGTTTTTGCTTCACGTATTAATATATAGATNATCGCTTTACAAAAATCTGTAATAATTGACACCTGTTCCATAGTGCGACGATTCCTTACATCCACTACTCAAACCCCTACAACACTACACAATGAACCAACTCACTTGGCGTAAGCCCGTGCTAGGTTCACACTTACCAGCATTAGCTGAGAAAAAAAATATATCCATAACCCATAATAATAATAATAATTTATTTATTAACCTTGAAAACATTTACACATAACAGTTAGCTAAAAACTCTATAAGTATGGGAAATTTCATACTCTTCTGTCTGTGCAATTTTTATAAAAAGAGGTACAAAGTTTTTGCTTCACGTATTAATATATAGATTTCAATACTATACTGAATTATTGTTTATCCATAGACAAGGGTCCCAATAATCAGTTATCTATTTGCATTCAGTCAGCGGAAAGTAATAACGATCTAGGCTGTAACATTACTCTTTAAATTTCACAATACAACAAACTTAAATAGTACTAGGGTAGACTAGGATTTTTTTGTTTTAGATCGTTCACCTTTTGTTTTTGTTTTTTGCTTAAACTGGTGGACGAGCTCACAGCCCACCTGGTGCTAAGTGGTTACTGGAGCCCATAGACATCTACGATGTAAATGCGCCACCCACCTTGAGATATAAGTTCTAAGGTCTCAGTATAGTTACGACGGCTGCCCCACCCTTCAAATCGAAACGCATTACTGCTTCACGGCAGAAATAGGCAGGGTGGTGGTACCTACCCGCACGGACTCACAAGAGGTCCTACCACCAGTCACCTTATTTAATTTCATTTTGTATTTTTAAGTTACATAATTAACATTGTTTACATAATTTGAATAGGACGAAATCAAGAAAGCTGTTCACGGCATATGCAAACACATGCCGAAGTCGGTCAGCGCTGAGTGCGACCAGTTCGTCGAGAAATACGCGGATTTAGTCATCTCTCTCCTCGCTCAAGAATTGGACCCGAGCGAAGTCTGCGAAGAATTGAAATTATGCAAACCAGAATCACTGAAAATTAATAAAATAAAAAGTAATTGTTTCCTTTTTTTTCTTGTGCTTTCATCATTATTAAGTGATCGACGATCGTGGAGCATTGTATTTCACTACAATTGTATATAATTTAAATACAATCTTAAATAATATCCAGGTCGGTACTAAAGACCAAACATGGTCTTATACTAAACCTATCATTGCAAATAATGCGAAATTCTAAATTTAATAACGTGTAATCCATAAAACCGAACACAATTCCGCTCGTAAATCTTTAACGAAAGAAGATTAATTGCGAAACTATAATAAAACATCATTAAATTACCCACAAAATATATTTAATCAAAAAATAGCACCCTGTATATTATATAGATTATATTGGGACCAATTGCGAAAGTCATGTCTGAAAAGTTGCATGTTCTTTATATTTCACACAACGCAATTCAATTTAAACTGCGTTACATTGCGTGTTCACAAAATAATACCTCAACAAAACCACCAATAAACATGTTTTATAAAACATTAGTTTAGTAACGGGATAATGTTTTGGTTGTGGTAACCCAGTTATGGCCAGTTCCACTTCCGAAATGATTCTGAAGCGTACGAGACTTATAGTGAGAGGCAAATGAGCCTTCAACCTCATGACTCAAAGTGGACTATGACCGTCACCTTGCGGTGGTAATTGACGATAACCGTTCACAAGGGCACAAAAACATAACCGCATAAAAAGGCCTTTGGATTGACTATTTATTAGCTTAATCCTCCGATGCTAATATATAATTTAATTGACCTTTGGATTATCTATTAGCTAAATCCTCCGATGCTAATATATAATTTAATTGACCTTTGGATTATCTATTAGCTAAATCCTCCGATGCTAATATATAATTTAATTGACCTTTGAATTATCTATTAGCTTAATCCTCCGATGCTAATATATAATTTAATTTCGTATAGAAGACATCCTCGACTGCGCCGTCTGCGAGACAGTGGTGATGGCCGTGAAGAAGGTCCTCAAAAACGAGAAGCTCGACCGCAACATCGTGCACATCATCGAGAAGTCGTGTGGACTTTTGCCCGCCAAATACAACGCTCAGGTACGTGTTTATAGCGTTCAAAATCACTTGCAGCTCGAGTAATTATTATCGTAGGTAAGGTACGTGAGTCACGCAAATATGACTCCTACCGATATAATCATAATGAACTCAGCCTAAGAAACAATAAGGTTTAAATGTAAGTCTATGTATAATTAGCGGACGCCTAGTGGTCGAAATTCGACCATAATTAATTTAAATTATAAATTTTAACCTTATTAAGGTTCTATTGTGAAATATTATACTTCCACAAATTTCGCTAAGGCTACACTATAGACAAATAATATTAAAGACTTACAATATTAATCTATTCTCCATTTGACCACAGACTAACAATAAACAAAAAGAGTATATATGCGTGGATGTGTCAAATACATGGTAGTGGTGGTGTAATGTTTTTCTTATTGATTTAATGTATTTTTATGCATAATTAAAAAAAAATTGCATTCTGCACTCCTTCTCTATATAAATTATAAACGTGGGGAATTTCATACTCCTCCGATCGCGCAATTTTCGTAAAAAGGGGTACAAAGTTTCACAGAGAGAGGGTGAGAGATGGATTCGTGTGCGCTAACAGAAGAAAGAAAACAACTACGAACTGAATCTGAGCGAGTTCGCCATATCTGTTTATCTCTCTCTAACTCGGACGCTAGAAAGGGATGAGTGATCCGTGACGCTTCACGAAACTGCGAACCGTGAACCGTTCGCGTTGATGATTTGTTTGAGTCGATTTCGATTTTCTTCGTAAATGCATCTGAAGAAAAAGCCGTGCCATGTGTTTTTAGGGAAACTTCGCTTCTATAGAACGGGTATTTGTCATCAAGTTTCCGTATCTCTCAATCGGAATCGATGCCACATATTTACATATCGAGGGTTGAAACAATATTAAGCTTAAGCGACTTTTCTAACTTTACACGAGAGGCATTTAATGTTGGAAAAAAATATTATACCAAAACAAAACTTCTTCAGCTATTTGAATGGAGTAAACGAAATTGAACGAATCGAATTAAAAACATTGAATTATTCGTACGAATATCAAATAAAAGGCACCTTTAATTGCAAAATGTCGTATTAAGCGAAATTTCGCTTTAAGCATGCACGTGAGGAGTCGCCCCTATTGTGACGATTACTATCTTCACTCTCACAGGATACATGCGTGCTATCTGTGTAGTCGTTAATGTTACATACTATGTAACTTCTATATGATTTATGACATAAATCTTAAAAGAGGTTATAATATGATATACAGGTGACATAAATGGTGTTTTGAATATTTGAAACATTAGAAGAAAAATTAGAAATATTAAAACATTTTTGAATTTTGAAATTTAAAAAGACATAAAAAAAAGGTGAAGCAATAGCTTTAAATGTTGTTTATCTTTATAGAGCAACTCGGTTTGGGGCTATAGTTTTACTGGGCTAAACTTTATTTTGATGTGAATTCAATAATACATTAATACATATTATTATAAGTACACTTTTCAGCAAACACTTTATTTTTCAGTGTTACGCAATGCTGGAGGTTTACGGTGAAAGCATCATTCACCTCATCGAAGAGTTTGGCGCGAAGGGCGTCTGCCAGAGGATCGGATTTTGTGGTCGGACCGAAACCGCATACGTGCGCATGTACCGCGAGAAGAGGAACTAACGCGTTAGTATTGTTTATAAACTTTTTTTTTTTTTTGTTACCTTCGTAGGCGTACGGCCCACCTGATGGTAAGTGGTCACCGTCGCTCATGGACGTCAGCAATGCCAGGGGCAGAGCCAAGCCGCTGCCTACCATAAATAAAACTATATTTAAAAAAATACAAAAGTATAAAATTAGTTAAAAGGTAGATTCTGAAATCGGTATTTACTTCAATTGTATATTATGTTTCAAAGGTATTTTAAATATGTTTTATATGTAAATTGCTTTTTTTATGTGTAAAAAAGAAAAATTATTAATAATTATTATTACATTATATTACATTGTGTATTTGTATGTATATTTATGAAAATACTAGCCGTACTTAAAATTAACATTAATATTTATTGTCATTATTATTAGAGAGTCCAACACTCATATAAATATTATTAGCCTATCCATTAAGTACATATTGTATTTTCTACATGGATACCAAGTTTCAAGTCGGGCTTGTCAAGTTCAGTAGTTATAACGGAACCTCCGTAAAAACCACTGTAGGTTTATATATTAGTATAGATATAGATATGTATGCAAGTATGTGTGCGTATGTATATATATATATATATTTCACTGGATTGGTACTGCCGCTCGTAATTCGCTTCCAAATTATTCCATCTTTTAAATCTAAATGTGGACGTAAAGTTGCGCAAAAACGATCGTAGGATTTTACCAATCGATTTAATGTTAGACAAAAAATAACCAAAATGTATTTTTTTTTTATTGCTTATATGGGTGGACGAGCTCACAGCCCACCTGATGTTAAGCGGTTACTGGAGCCCATAGACATCCAAAACGCAAACGCGCCGCCCACCTTGAGATATAAGTTCTAAGGTCTCAGTATAGTTTTATAAAGTAACGAACACATTCCTACGAATTCGTAGTAGTGGCATCGTTTTCTTTTCTTTTTTATTTACATAGCTGTAATATATTAATCATTCTATTAAAATAAGATTTAAAAACATCAAAAGTAAAAAATATTATTCATTATTAATTTGACAAAAATATACTTTGTTTTCAGGTACCTGTTCCATCTACAATATAAATATAGATAGAATCGGTAATCTCTTCTTGTAATGTATGTAATCCTTCGTTTTTTTTTTTACCAAAAGTGTTTATTTTTAAGTTTATTTTTTTTCATGATTGATCAACATAATTTTGTAACCATTATAAACAACAAAAAAAAATTGTATCAAAAGTGTACTTATTCATGGAAATAGACTTATCATTTCAGTGTGTTTTCTATACGTTGCTTATTACTTGATTTAGAATAATCAAACGAAACAATAATATAATGTAAATGAATAATAATTATTTTTAAATACATATTCTACAGTAATACCGGTTTAATTTATCATAATACATATTTCCCCGGTAGAAATTGGGTTAAAAGTTTTTCAAATACTTAAAAACCGCTAATCACAGTATCTGGGTTTTTTTTGAGAAATCCGATCATCGAGTAGACCGCGTCGATGCGACAAAACAGTCGCTATGACGTTTTTGAATTCGATCTAATATAATTTCATTGACGGCTACCAACGACAACTACGTTGTAGAAATAAACTGTTAACTTGTAGTACACTTACCTGTATAATATGGCCAATTTTAAAATGTGTTTTTATGAAAAAAATATTAAAATATATAATTGCGTTTTATTTATAAACTAGCTGTACCCGTCCGCTTTGCTGGACATTTAAAATTAACAATATTATTTCTCACCCCCACAAAGAGTCATCCTTAACGCCCCCGCAACTGGTGTAGGGAGTCCGACACTCATATAAATATTAGCCTATCCATTAAGTACATGTATTTTCTACATGGATACCAAGTTTCAAGTCAATCGGATGCATGGTTCAGTAGTTATAACGGACATCCGTAAAAACTACTGTAGATTTATATATTCGTATAAATGAAAACATTACCACTCCCACCCAACGATTTCTGTTTAAATGTGACTTTTATTAGGAACTTTTGTTAGGACTATGTTCCTACATTTCTTCTTGTCCGCGGAGTGGATAGCGACATTGATGCTGGAGTCCAAAGTCGTATTTTTGCTATCAACCATCAATCATGCTCACCATCAACATGATGGAAGAGTGACGGATATTTGAGGCCGTCAGCGTAAAAGTGGCCTAAGCTTACCATAGTTATTATGGAGGCAATTAGGTTTGAATTTGAGTAGGCCAAAAAAACAATACGCGCAAAAATAATGTTTACAAAGCTATATGTTATCTACGGGCGATACTATGGATAGGCCGGTTTTGCATCAAAATTTATTAAAACTTTAAATAAATTCCAATATAAGCTTGAATATAAAAAAATGTGGGTTAGGCCACTTTTGCGCAAATGGCCTCATTTCACCTTTAAGACAACGGGAATCCACTACAGATTTGTAGCAGATTTACGGAATCGAAATTGCTCGTGAATATCGTACTAATATTATAAGCGTGGATTTTTTTTTTGTGAATTGGATGTTAAACTTTCACCCAAAAAAGCAACTGGACGGATTTTGTTGAAACCTATCAGATGGTTTTTATAACATGGGTTGACGCAAACCACTTTTTACTTTATGGCAATTAAATGATATGACCCGGGACATGCCAACCTTAATTATCTCCGACATTACATAAAAGTATGTTCACTGAACACAAAACTGTTTTTCAGTTACAATTTTACCGGCCGTATCAGATATAACTATACTGAGACCTTAGAAATCATATCTCAAGGTAAATGGCGCCATTTACGTTCTAGACGTCTATGGGCTCCGGACCCAAATAGGCAATAAAAAAATATAAAAAAACGATTTTGACGAAATTCTCCATGGGAATAGTTTTAATCCTACGAAATAATATTAGGCCATTTATCAAGTGCTCAGTGCTTAGCACGGGTCTTCCCTCGTGCGATAAAGGATTATCCATGCAGGCGATGGTATATGAAAAGCTAGTATGATATAAATGTGTGTATATAAAAAATACACTACGTCTTCCCGGCGTTCCTAAACCAAAATGGTGCGGCTTGCGATTTTATTTGCTGGTTGAGAGGCTTGGTGAATTTTGGTTTTCGAGAAATAAAACTGTTTTGTCTGTGGCGTATTTTTTGTAGTTATAATGTTAGGTGTTTATTGTTCAAACTTTTTTACATTATTGAAAAGGTGTGTTACACAACTCGAGGATTGGGGGGTAAGGGAACAATATGGACGACCAATCGCATTACTGCAAATTTGCATATCATCGTCCTCTACTCGTCCTACGATCTCGAACAACCATACATCGGAATTTGTTAAAATGGTTAATGTAGCCGTTTTGATTGATTTTAATTTCATATGAATTATAAAGTCAAACATTCTTGTAACAAACATAGCTTTTATGTAGTTCTTGTCTTCTCAGTACCTCGGTTACTACACTTTCGCATTTCTATTTACTTTAAAATACTCTCTTCGGATGGCATGGGAGTGTAGCAGCGCTGTTGTTCGCGCTGATGATTTATCTTATCGGCTAGTTTCGGTTCATTGGGATTGTGACGTTGGAGAAACTCTGCCAGCCATAATATTGGTTCAGCGGGTCGCTCGTGAGCCAGAGCCGTGAGGCCAGGCAGCAGCCTGGGAGTAATGTACTTCTGCATATAATCGTTTATTTGCCAATTCCGAAGTAAAGGACCGACTATCACTGAAATAATAACGTTATCACCATTTTAACTGGTGGTAGGACCTCTTGTGAGTCCGCGCGGGTAGGTACCACCACCACCCTGCCTATTTCTGCCGTGAAGCAGTAATGCGTTTCGGTTCGAAGGGTGGGGCAGCCGTTGTAACTAAACTTGAGACCTTAGAACTTATATCTCGAAGTATGGCGCATTTACGTTGTGGATGTCTATGGGTTCCAGTAACCACTTAACATCAGGTGGGCTGTGAGCTCGTCCACCCATGTAAGCAATAAAAAAATGCTTAATTGATTTTATTTGTTTAATAAATGAAAAAATTCTGCTCATTTAAAATAAAACGAGTTCCGTTTCTGAAAATTATCATATGATAATGCAAGCTTGGCCTTCAAACATTGTACAAGCATATGGCCCAGCTACTTAGGAAATATCACCATTGCTTTTAAATAACGCCAATACCAGGAACATAGCCAATGCTGCTTACTGGCTAAGAACCTATACAAGTGTCTGCCACGGGGGCTAAGAATTTCCGTAAATAGCATAAAGTCGACAATATTGGCAAATAATAGTGGTGGTGGTAATTACGCTAAATTCGAATTTTACGCCTTATTTCCTTAGAAAAAAAAAACGGCAACTGTGGCGGTATTTGAACACCGGTTTTATACCGGGATATAACCAGGATTTCTTTTAAAAAAATTAATTTATATCGCGGTAATCTCAGACTAGTAACATCTCAACTTACTGTTAGGAAAGAAGAAATGTATTTCTCTCACAGCCTCCGCGAGGTTCTCGCTGCCATGGAGACCGTTAAAATAATCTCCGTATTTAGTGCGACGACCGTAGCATGCCCGTAGACTATCTGGCCAGTATGCTTGAGCTTCGGCGACCCTTAGGAATTAAAACAAATTTTCGGTTTGTTTTTATTGCACTCGAAGATAAATGAGGCCGTAGCGTAAAAGTGGCCTAACCCACAACTTTTCATATTCGTGCTTACTTATTGCAATTTATTTAAAACATAATAAATTTTGATGCAAAAACGGTTTATCCCTAGTTTCACACAGTCATATATAACAGATGGCTTTGTAAACATTATTTTTGTCCGAATTATTTTTAGCTACGAAGTATGTAAATGTAAATTCTAACTATGGTATGCTTAAGTCTCTTCTTTTACGCTGACCGCCTCAAATGTAAGGTGGATGACGTAGGTAGGTAATAGACATATTATAGACACTATTATTCATATACATGCGCACGGGTAGGCACCACCACCCCGCCTATTGCCGCCGTGATGCAGTTTCGGTTTGAAGGGTGGGGCAGCCGTTGTAACTATAATGAGACCTTAGAAGTTATATTTCAATGTGGGTGGCAAATTTACGTTGTAGATGTCTATGTGCTCCGCTTAACACCAGGTGGGCTGTGAGCTCGTCCACCCATCTTAGCAATAAAAAAAAAGAAAAAAAAAAAGAAAAGTAGCCACACGATAAATTACGTTACATCTACTGAAACTAAAATCAGCTCACCTGGCCGGGCCCATAAGGGTACGCCATTTTTGAATGCAATCTCGGGCAGCTAAGACCAATACCACTATTGGACCGCATGACATTTGAGCTACTAAATGAGGAAAGTGTTGTCGCCCGTAGTGACCTTTGTAAAGCTCCGCTGCTTGCTCCGGTGTTAGTTGAACTACGCGCTTCTAAAAAAACATAAAATGGTTCTCAAACTTTCGTCTGATCGGAATTATCAAGAATCTGAAGCGCCGTATGGAGTCAAATTATGGATCGGATATTGTGTTCCAAATATGTATAATTAAAAAGATTAAAACAAGCAATTCAAAGTTTACTAGGAAAAATAATTTTGATTTATAAATTTTAAACAAAAATAAAATTTTGTTTAGTTTCAGTTAAAACATAAAATATCGTAAAACATAAAAATAAACAATAAACATAGAACATGAAATAAAATACTTATGACTCATTCGAAAAAAAAAACAGATTGCCGTGAAGTAATTATAATTACCCCCCGCCCCGTAACTATAAAACTAGTAATTGAATAGAAACGCGTCCTTCACGAACACTGACCCCTCGAAACGTCGACAATTTTATAAGTTTTTTGTATGGTTTCCACAGATAAGAGCGGTGACCGCCGCGGAGCTGGGGTGTGCTCCAAGATCCTTGAATCATTCATTATGGTAGGGTTGTTCATGATGAAATTTAAAATATTATAAAATTATTACCAATTTCAACATATGTACATACAAAAATCTGAGAACAATTAATAAAAAAAAAAAGGTTTTAGGTACAATTTAATTTCGTGTTAATATTATATATTTTACAATTTATGAGCTTCTCGCCGGATCTTCTCAGTGAGTCGCGTTTCCGATCCGTTGGAAGATTCCTTCTTTTTTTTATTGCCTTTGCAGGCAGACCAGCATACGGCCCACCTGATGGTAATTGGTCACCGTCGCTCATGGACGTCAGCAATGCCAAGGGGCAGAGCCAAGCCGCTGCCTACCATAAAGTACTCTTGCTAAGGTCAGTGTTAAGAACACTCCAGTTTGAGCCCCGTGAGCTCACCTACACACGTTAGGGTGAAGCTGAAATAGCCTCTCAAGGCTATCAGCATAGGTAAGAAAAAAAAAAGTGGTCCCTGATCAAGACTTTAAAACATTAGTCCAACACACCTTTGAAAATAAAATATCAATCTGTCAAAAACTTGATCACTATTAAACCTGTTATATGGTATCTATTAGCTGAAGTGTCCAATTCGAAATTACAACAAACAATATAAAATAATGTAAACAAGGGTTCCAAAACATTTATTGGAAAATTCATACGATCAAAAACGCCACAAAACACGAAAATAAAGTATCATTTTTTAAGGAATGTTTATGAATATCTACTGATTCTATGACTAACGGAATTTTATTGTAATTACGTGAAATACATTCGCATTCCGTACATACAGTAAGTAACTTACCTTTGACGTTATTGATGCGTGTGAACAATGGTGGTAATTAAAGATCAAAGCATTTGCTCGTTTACTTTTAAAGTAAACTAGTCAAAGATGTGCTAAATAAAAAAAATTGTACCAGAGCCAGCCCTGTGAAAATAAGGGTTGCAGCGTGCATATGACGGGCTATTACGAAGGGTTCCTCTCTGCACCAATGTTGATACGGAATTTTGCATATCGTGCACTAGAGACGAACCCTGATTTCGGTAAAATAGCTTCATATTTTACTAATTTAAAGCTTCCACGTTTTTTTTATTAAAATAGGCGTTCTAGGAGGTAATAAAGAACTTTTCAAGAACATTACAGCATTTGATTTCTAAATTCATAATAACTACTAAGTAAGACGCTACAGGTATAATATCGAGGTCTGAATTACTATGTGTAAAGGACAAGAGTTTCAGCAATGAAGACGATTCAAAACAGGTGGCTGTTTTCACTTATTGGTCTGTAATGGTTCCGATTCTGTATCAGGAGTAGCGTGAGGTCATCTACCCATACTTTAATAAAAACCATCATACTCGTCACCGGAATTTGTACCAATAGAACATTATATAAGCTACCATTGCACCATTCACTATTAGTTACATAAAGGTAGGTTAAACATTTACAATACACTAGAGGACGACCAAGCTTTGCTCGGATTTTTATTTATTTTGATATGTTGTGTTTTTTAAATGCGAATTACATATTGGTATTATATTATATGTTATTTTCTTTCAATAAAAAAAAAATTTTTAAGTTGATTATAAATTATCGATAAAGTTGATTATTGAAAACACGAATAAAACAACATTTTCTGAAAATAAATCGTAGCTAGATCGATTTGTCGCCCCCGAAATCCCCTGTATACTAAATTTTATGAAAATCGTTGGAGCCGTTTCCGAGATTCAAATTATATGTTTATATTTTATACAAGAATTGCTCGTTTAAAGATATAAGATATTACATACAGTATCACAATACCGAGTCGTGCAGGTAGCAAGTAGCATTCCGGATAAGGTGTATAAATGGTCTCCAGAAACCTTACAGATGCTTTTTCCTACTTAGCCTCGAGGGGCTATGCCGGCTTCACCTAACTGATAGGTGATCTTACGGGGCTCAGCCGGAGAGACTTTGCTAACATCTTTCTCTAGCTAGAGCAGTGCGTCGCTGAATCTACGATCAGATCGGAATCGCGACCCACTGAGAATATCCGGAGAGAAACTCAGTGGCTTGGGTCGGGGGGTTAAGTTGCACGTCGAACTCTTAGTCGTGCTCGACGAGTTTAAAGATAACGGTGACCGGTGCTTAGAAAGTCTAAAAGCACCCAGAGTTGATCGGGAGGATTCGAAATACATACACAACATAGCTTTACAGCAGGTGGAACGTGGTAAAATTTTATATGTATTGATAATTAAGTGATATTGCGAAAAAGAGACAGCATATCAAGAATAGAGAAAAAATGGAACTCCTGATTTTTTATCGACCACAACGATGGTGTCCAACCATAATCCGTCTACAGATGTGTTATATAATTATTTTTTTCTTAATTTTGTCCCATTCCCTATAGTATATCTCGAAGTCAAAGCGACGGAAAGCTGTGAGTAGTCAGACAACGATCCTACTCATCTCCTTTAGTTGTAAAAAAATAATTTAAGTTATCGAACAAAACTCGATGCTTATTGCGTTATACATACAATGCAGAACTCGTTTAAATAATTAATACAGATGGTCAGTGTCCCATCTCTATTCTGTAAAGATACACATATTACGCAACCCTTCGCTAGATATAGCACAGGACACGCGTCATGCAGACATGCGTATTTAGATTCAACGAAACCCTTTGAGATGTAATCAACGAAGTTAAAGCAGATAGCTCGTTTATCGATTTTCAACTCTATCTGATACTGAGCATGTGCTTCAGTACAAATAGATTGTTGTGGTTCTTTTTATGACCGATAATGCACAGGAACGCGTAAAAGTAGTTCGATAATAAACCTGAAACACAAATTACTCAATGATTTTTTTTTATTTACCACTAACACAAAGTTTCGGCTCCTAATAATTTGATATTTAAAAATTATTCCAATTTTCAAGATACGTACCCGTATTAATATAAAAAAAGTGATTAGTACATTAATAAAAATGTTAAGTTCCCTCTTCGAGTCCAGTTACATTTTAATATGTGAGGTGGTTCTTAAGTATGGCAATGTCAGGGACACTGTCCAGCCGCCCCTAGCTAAACTAAAGTAATAGAATAAAAGTACATACATACATATCTTGATATTAAAATGAACGAACAATTCTGCACAATTTTAAAACGTTGATGGATTTCGTATCGTAAAGAGCTTTGATAAATATATGACTGCCGATTCCATGACTAATGCCACTTCACGTAATTCTATGCATAATTATTATGATTTAATCACTTCTTACTTAACATAGAAATAGTTTTTTTTTTCCCTTTATCGACCATACAAATGTAATTACATTGTAACACATTGCGTGCGTTGGCGTCATTTGTATTTTACGATCGGACCAGGGAATTATTATAGCACAGAGGTTGGTTTATACTGTGCTTAAATAATCGTAGACCTTATGCCAGGGAAATTGGGGCTTAGAACTAATGTTACCAAATGGGAAATTTGATGACTGTGTGATGTTTCTTCCACAATCTTGTCAGATCGAATCAAATAATATTCTTTTTTTTTTATTGCTTAGATGGGTGGACGAGCTCACAGCCCCCCTGGTGTTATGTGGTTACTAGAGCCCATAGACATCCACAACGTAAATGCGCCACCCACCTGAGATATAAGTTCTAAAGTCTCAAGTATAGTTACAACGGCTGCCCCATCCTTCAAACCGAAACGCATTACTGCTTCACGGCAAAAATAGGCAGGGTGGTGGTACCTACCCGCGCGGACTCACAAGAGGTCCTACCACCAGTAATTACACAAATTATAATTTTGCGGGTTTGATTTTTATTCCACGATGTTATTCCTTCACCGTGGAAGTCAATCGTGAACATTTGTTGAGTACGTATTTATATTAGAAAAATTGGTACCCGCCTGAGATTCGAACACCGGTGCATCGCTCGAACTTTCTTAAATAGAAATAGAATAGACATATGATACGTTACAAATAGGAAAATGAAATGGAGACATCACATAGAATCAATCAGAAGTAGCTGTAAGAAGACGAAATAAAGATAGCAGCAGAACCCTAGGCAACTAGACAACCAGGACAAGACTCAGAGAAGTAGGTGTGAAGAGACAAGATGTATAACAGAATAAATTTAGAAATGTATTCCTTTGTCTGCATATGTATGCAGAGTATTGATATTTCATTCAGTAAGCTATTTAAAAAAAATCATTATTTCGCGTCCAATACGGAATTTTCGAAAGATTTCGGAAACAAGTCGGCACGTGTACATAGAGTTATTGAAATATTGATAAAATTACCATTTAAATATCATCAAATAAACCATATAAAAATTATAAATAAAATAGTAATTGACATACACAAACACAAATAGGTACATACACAAATATAATAAAGTTATGGTCAATTTCGTAGTCTAATTTTAAATAAATTAAAGGCTGTTTAATTTATATAACTTAGCTGTTGACGAGGTTCAATCGTTAAATATTTTCGAAATATAACTTTTTTTAAACATTTTAAATAATAATAAAAAATATGTTTATTACATATTTAATGAAATAATAAGGAATAATGCACTACTTAAATAAGCATAAAATAATTCAAAATTATTAAGTGTCCGTAAAGTTGAATTTCTATTACTAGGCGAACACTAATTTAATAAAAATAATAACAATTTTTTTTATTGCCCTTGTTGGCAGACGAGCATATGGCCCACCTAATGGTGAATGGGTACCGTCGCCCATGGACTTCAGCATGCTAGGGGCAGAGCCAAGCCGCTGCTTTCATGCAAGTTTACCTATTGTAATGAATCGTGCATATTTTTTTATTGTCCTTGTAGGCACATGAGCATACGTAATTACTTTGCGTAATTACTGGTGGTAGGGCGTCTTAGAGTCCGTACAGATAGATTAACCTGCCTATTTCTGCCGTGAAGCAGCTTTTCAACCTAGAACTCGAGTGTCAAGGGCTCCGGTAACCACCTAACACCCGGTGGGCCGTGACCTCGTCCATCGAAATTAGCAGTAATAATTAAAAAATAAAAATATTTAAGAATCTGAAAACAAAATTGACTGATTTATTATAAATGTTTTAAAATTTTGAACGTATTCATTGTGGAATTTCTAACAAAAAAATTATTAAATACAATATAGTATAGTAACATTGATTAGTTACAAAAGTTGAATTTCACTTACAGCTAGGATAGTGAAGCCATTGTTTCTTATATGATCTTGAATAGCTTCTGAATCCTGGAATGCTTCCGGCTTTATCAATGCAAGGGTGCGTTCGGAATACGCATGACTAGGTGCTTGTGAGTCCGATGAAGTCACGGACATTTCTTCCCTTCAAATATAGGCGATTATCACTTTATAAAATAAATTAATCAGTTCATGTATTTATAAGTAGTTTTTTTTTAAACGTATTCTTGGTAGTTTTTATGTTACTAGTTAGCAGATTTCTAAATGTTGGTGTAGTGCCTAATTGACTTATCGAAATGACATGCGTGTTTATATTTAAATGCAAAGAGGAGGTTGTATTTCGTGACTATGAATTTGTGTGTTTTTATCTGTGTTAAAAGTATCATGTTGTTCATTTCCCTGATTCATTAATATTTTTTTACAATAATATATTAGGACTACAATTATTGGTAAAACTAATTATAATCTCTTGTTTATTATGTATATGTTTAACTTTTAAGTTTTTATTTATTTGGTATTATAAACAATCTATAGTATATAATTTACGGTAAAAGAAACTGTAAGCAGCATATACATTTGTATTGTCAAAAAATAGTATTGAGAAATATCTGGCTGCTTTAATTAAATTATTTCAATCATAATATAAATTAATTAAAATTTAAATATGCAATTCACGCGTGAATCATTTCATTGAGATATTATGAAACATTAAAAGCAAAAAAAAAAACACGAAAGAAACAAACACGCATCATTAATGAAAATCAATTGCGACATCAATAAGCGTCACGTAGGAGATTTTAAGTGGAAAAACTGATACGCGTTTTCGTAGCGCGCGCCACCCCTCTGGGGCGGGGAGCGCGAGGGGGTCGAGGGGGTCGCGAGGGGCGGACGGGGGCGCGCACTGGCCCCAGTGCCCCCCGGACGCAGTGGCGGCGCGACGCCTCCCTGACGCCTGCACCCGNTAATGAAAATCAATTGCGACATCAATAAGCGTCACGTAGGAGATTTTAAGTGGAAAAACTGATACGCGTTTTCGTAGCGCGCGCCACCCCTCTGGGGCGGGGAGCGCGAGGGGGTCGAGGGGGTCGCGAGGGGCGGACGGGGGCGCGCACTGGCCCCAGTGCCCCCCGGACGCAGTGGCGGCGCGACGCCTCCCTGACGCCTGCACCCGAACATGCGGCGTTGACCCTGTCTCCCGCCACCCGACAACTACCGCCGTATACATGGACAACTCTTGCCTCCTTGACCTCCTCATCAGGTGCTTCGCTATGACCGAGCCCGAGGACCTCAACTTCACAGCATTCACAGACCTATGTCGGTTGTGCTCGTTGAAGAGCGGTCCGAGGCTCCACATATTCGATAAGGAGTCGGAACAAAGGCAGATCCTATTCAAACTCAGGACCTGCTTACCGACTATGGTAAGTCTATCATGTTTATTTCATATCTTTTATCGTTTTAATGTGCACACCTCTTAAAAGTAATGAATAATGTAAACTTGTCACTATGTCATCATAATGTTACGTTGTAACATGAAACTGATTTAGCAATAGAGAGTTTTTTTTCTGATTAGATGTAAACATAAAGCTTTGCCGTGAAGAAAAGATGCACACACTACGTCTGCGTAGCTGAGACGTAGGCCCCGTAGACGCGTGCGCTCTACGCACCACCGCTGTGGGTTACGCCGTAAATTATGGTGTTTCACGATACCTGTTGAATTTTCTACGACTCCAATTTTAGCCCTTGGTAACAAAATAAATGACATGTGTTCCAAATTCATATAAAAAATCTTTTTTTTTTTGTAAAGATAGAAACGCTCAATTTTCTTTGTAAATAAAAATAGTAAAAATACAAGTATAATAAGTGTATACATATATAATACATTTCTAAACCCAAGAAACGACAGAACCACATTAAAAAAATATGCTCTTATCTTATTTATAGATATCTATTTAAGTGATAAGGCTGCATTGGATATGAAGTGTTAGATAGCTCTTTATTGAAACATCACAAGCTCACACAGAAAAAATATATAAAACAAATACTTAGTTTTAGTGAAATAATTTTCGGCCTTGCCACTAACTTTCACGCGACACTTTGAAGTTATATTAATCTTAAAACAAATCCCATTCTAACCCAATAAGAGATCTCTCTCCCAATCGTCCGAATTCGACCACAATTATTGCAACTTCAAGATTTATAAGCATTTGTTTTTATTCATTTGATTTTTTTTTTCTTCCATTTATAAGGTAATTTCATTTTTTTCTTATCGTTGCATCGGAAGATTAGGCGTTAGCTTGACAACACCTTACGACGTTCCTGACCACGAAAACTGTAAAAGTAATCAAAAAAAGTATACAAACGTCGAAAACAGACAAAAAATGAAAACGCGAGATTAATCAGTAAAAGTAGTTTTAATTCTGTCTACGACCCGCACAAAAGCCGTAAAAATTTTATAAATACACAAAAGTAATGAATAGCTTACAAACTAAAACAACGAAATCTGGTAACAAACAGAAGAGAAAATGGCATTGAACTTTTTGGCTTAACCCATTTTTATATTCTACTAGCTGACCCGGAAGACTTCGTAGTGCCTCAATCGATAAACAAAAGACCTAAACTTTTGTATAAAATAAACATAAAACAAACAAAAGGAATCCGTCCGACGAGGGACACATCAAAGAAAAAACAAAACTGTTATTTTTATTTTATTCCGGGCATTTTCATATTTATCTACCTTTTAAACCTTCTCTGGACTTCCACAAGTAATTCAAGACCAAAATTAGTCAAATCGGTCCAGCCGTTCTCGAGTTTTAGCGAGACTAACGAGCAGCAATTCATTTATATATATATATAGATTACAGAGAAGTTTAATAGTCGGTTATTTTTCTTCTAGATTCTATACGCGAAAAAACCAATAGTATGGTATTGTTATAGACAGAGTTTCCGTGTTTGCATGCACGCTTGATAAAACTACTGTTTTAAGTGATTAAAACTGCATATTCAAAGCATATTCGAAAATCGAAATTTTTGAAATAAAGATAATAAATATTTCATTAAAAGAGTATAAAAAAACAGCTTTAAATCAAAGTGAACTAAACTAAAAGGTTAACTTCGAAATCGTAAACGTCATCAAAACGAAATAATAAATTAGCACGATATTCGGTAGTAAAAGTACGTATTTTAATCCTAATAAATTTCTCCACAAATTTCAGCCCTCTCAATACTGTCGGATTTCATATTGTTACTCGTTACCGTAGCAAATGTATCCAATACAGAAGTAAATCGAACGAGGGAAGCGATGATCCCTGACACGCGACTGACACGACGACACTGTTTTCACACGATAATAGTCGTTATTTCAACCAGCTTAAGTTGTAATTCTTACTACTAGAACACGTTAGGCTGAACTAAAGAGCTCATACATTATGTCAACTTAGACTGAATTATTGAGTTACTTATAGATTTTTTTTATCTTTCCGTTATTTTTAGCTTTTTTAGCTTTTTTAGCTTAGGTAGGATAAAAAAGGCTTGTCTATCCAATACGGTCCAAAGTGTATAATGAAAAATATTGAATTTCGAGTTTTTCGGCTTTTAGGAAGGGAATCCTCCTATTCTACTTAACTCGGGACATTCGTTTTTTGATAATCCAATATCCGTCAATATTCATAGTAAACTGCTTAACTCAAACATTATAGTTCATTCATTCATGCGTTGTAAAAATCGTAACAGATCTAATGTCTAACTATACAATTGTTACTTAGCAGATATCGAAAGACGACTTCCTCCCGAAAAAGATCTGCGAGCGATGCGTCACAAGACTGGAGCAGCTGTATGAGTGGAGACAGAGTTGCTTGAATACGGATTCTGTACTAAGAAACTATGCGGAGTCAATGCGGATCGTCACTTCTACAATCAATTTTCAAGTAAGTGTTATATTAATATTAATCACCTGTTTGGCTTTTTGATTCATTTGCATAATTTATACACAAAAAAACTGTGCCAAGAATATCTATATATTAATAGGTGAAGCAAAAAATTTGTGCCCCTTTTTACTAAAATTGCGCGGACGGAGTAATATGAAATTTCCCACACTTATAGAGAATATAGAGAAGGAGTGCAGAATGTTAATATTTTTTTAAATTATGCATAAAAAATACATTAGATCAATTAAAAAAAACATTACACAAACTACCATGTATTTGACACACACACACATGCATACTATTTGTTTATTGTCAAACTTTTCTTATTGCATATAGTCTGTGGTCTAATTGAGAATAGATTAATATAGTTTGTTGAAAGTGTAGTCTTGGCGAAATCTGTAATTACAGAAGTATAGTAGTCTTTGACAATAGAATCACAATAGTGTAAACTTATAATTTCAATTAATTATAGTCGAATTTCGACTATCGAGGACCACTAGTTATTATAAAAGTAATTAATTCATGAATGCTCACAATGATGTTAATTTGTTTGTAAATGTTGAATATGTATGTATAAATTGAATTTATAATATTGCTTTGTAATTATCGGCATTTATGTTCGAAAAATTAATTAAACTAGGAAGCCAACATAATCGACACAAATCAGAATCTATGTAGATATTAGTGTCGCGATAAGGAGCGATCGATTTTGCGGTACAAGCTCTCATTCATTTGAAAAATGTAACATTGCTTAATTTAGTTACAATCGGTATTTTTTATTAAAAGCTAATACCATTTTTAAAACATGTAGGTTCTGTTTCAATTATATTATTGTAATATTTAAGAACCTTTGACGTACCATTATTTATCTAATATAAAAGTTCTCTTTTAAATTATTTTATCAAATTCCAATCTATTACCGAACTTCAGCAGTAGCAGACAATGTATCCAATTCATAAAAGTCACTTTGATTCGATTAATTTATAATAATTAAAAACATATAACTACTACTACTGTTCGAAGTATATTTTAAACGTTATTTATAAAAAGAGATTGAAATCCTAATATAGGTTCACGAAGGGATTGACTTCCAGAGTCCTGGTTCTATTTCCGATCTCAATATCTTTGTAACAAAATATCTATATTCGGCCTATTGTTAAATTGTTATATCATATAAATCGCGTATAAGACTCCCGCACCTATTTTTAGACGAGAAATTAATAATTATATCATATAGGTACTTTCAAAATGCTAAATTAAACGTTTTATGTATCTCATTATTTATGTAGCTTAATATTTTTTACAAGATCTTTGATATATATTCATGCTACTTTATTAGAATTTATAGACTACTATGCCGATATTATATTGTACATATTTTAACATTTCATATCAGTCGGTTCAAAACTGAGGAAATACCCAAAACTACAAAGCGCCTTCTCGTCGAACCTGTCGCTTGTGACGAAGGGCTCAGCGAGTAAACTAACCCACAGACACAGCCCACTGAGTTTCTCATCGGATTTTCTCAGTGGGTCGCGTTTCCGATCCCGTGGTAGATTCTGCGAAGCACTGCTCTTGCTAGGGTCAGTGTTAGTAACTTCCGCATGTTTAAGCCCCGTGAGCTCACCTACTCACTCAGTGACGCTGATATAGCCTCTCAAGGCTATCAGCTTAGGTAAGATAAAAAAAAAGACAAAGCGCCCCCTGCTGTTGACAAATTAAGCGTTCTTATTTTGAGGAAGGTATTATTGCTTCGAGTGTGTAGGCACGCGGCGGGCGATGCAAGAAGCGTCTCCGCGCGAGGTAGCGCCCCTCCTCTATTGATCGGTGCGCGCTCGGGACTATCGACCCACAGCCACCCACCACCCGTCGTCACGTTCTCACCAAACTCAACCTTAACCACGTGTAATAGCCGACAAAATTCGAAATCACACATCGGCGTACATTTGGACGAAAGCATACGATTTCGTACCTAAGAAAATTGTAATAAAAGCGATAATCGAATGTCGTTATTTCGATATCAAACAGAATTCAAGTAAATGAATTATCCGCTTTAAAGCAATGGGTATAAGGTCGTCATGTTCTCTGTCTGCGCAATATGACTGGTATAAGTTCAAGCATTGGCTACGCATGTCCGTAGACTTGTTGTTTTATGCCGGCTGAAACGTACGTACAACCAATAAAGCTACACGACAATAAATCGATATCCTTTGTCTATGACGTCCGTGAGCTGGAATGCTTATTCGCAGTTTGAAATTCAAATATGTATATGTTATTACATTAAGAACGCGTTAAATCTTCGATCACAAGATGCACATGAGAATCATGTTCATGGCGTTATCGATAAGTGGAGGCTAGGTTGCGGGGAGTGCATTACCGCACGCATCTCGTCCAAGGTCGAAGGTGGCTCACCGTCAGCGAGCTCGGGGGTACAGTTAACCCTGACCTAGCGCGGGAGGTGAAGGATATTCCTACTACGGCCTCCCGCCACCCGCGGGGGCCTGCACGACCCCGCTTTGCCTGAACACCACTTGCACTGAAAGCTTCAAACCTTCCCCACTCGTCACACCACGTGATGGAGGCTATACAGCCACGAAACACCTCGAAAATGTAACATAACGAAATAGGTACTAAGAACCACAATGCGGTTAGCGTAACGCCTCCAAATATATTTTCACGTACAAGAAATGTTACATTAGATTATTTATCATAAGATAATATGAGGAAATTATTTAATTGAAAACATGATTAGTTAGAAACACTTATATGGGTTTATCAGATTCGTAGAATGACATTGAGTGGTAGGGAACTTCGGAACGGTCTCTGTCTTTGGTGAAAACTGAAAAGTAAACATATTATTATGTAGAACTTGAATAAATTTCTGAATTTAGTTGCAAAACTATTTTTCGTTCAGTGGATGAATCAATGAATCCTACTAAAATAAAACTTTGGGATTTTGTATCTCATATTATAAACATTACAAAATTTCGGATAAAAAAATATAGGTGTAAAAAAACTAAATATACTCGAAAATCGTACAAGTGATAAGAGCTTGACTGTAATTAAATATCTTATCAAACAGAAGGGTGACGCCGTATGATATTACAGTTACTATGAATAAAAAGCTTATCTACCGAAGAATCGTGTGGCTGGGACGACATATATTCCACATTTGCAACCAATAACCAGAATTACAGGTATCTCTACTAATTTTGCTCTCAAGCAAATTTAAATTCCCATATAAAATACACCACACGGTGAATTTCGTTATCCAACTAGAGAAGTGATGTCCAAAGCTTCATTTTAATTTAAAATGGTTAGTCTATCACTTGATAAAAATTAACTATACATATGAACACATGTACAAATCACGTAAGCATCTATATCACGATACGTGAAGCAACTTTGTACCCCTTTTTACGAAGACGGAGTATGAAATTTCCCATACTTATAGAGAATATACAGAAGGAGTGCATAATGTTAGTATTTTTTTTTAATTTTGCCTAAAAAATACATTAAATCAATAAATAAAAATATTACACACACTATATGTAATGTATTTGACAAATACACCCACCCACGCATGCATACTATTTGTTTAATGTCAAACTTTTCTTATTGCTTATAGTCTGTGCTCAAATTGAGAATACTCTATAATTGTTTGTCTTTATTAATATTTGTCTAAAGTGTAGTCTTGGTGAAGTCTGTGATTATAGAAGTATTTAATAATACCAGGAGATCACTAGCTTAAATAATAACACATAACATAATTAGAAGACGCACTAGCTTAAATAATAACGCATAACATAATTAGAAGACGCAAACGAGAGTGATCTTTTATTTTTCAACCCCCGTCGAAGGGAAAGGGAAGAGGAAAGTATAATCGATCGGAGGGCCTTGCAGCCTATGAACTTGCACTTGTCACTTAGTGCATAGAAACGGCGGAGGGCGCCCGTCTTTGACCCGCCCAAGACGCGCCGACTGTCTACACCGGAACGATTTTAAAAAGAATCTCACTGTACACTAAGCACTCTGTACACTAAACACATTGTACACTAAAAACAAATTTCACCCAGATTTTGATTTATTTTATCAAAGTAATGTGGCCGATAAAATGGATATTCTATATCGTCGAGTGAAGTGTAAATAACTATAATGCAATTAAATAACGCCGGTCAACAATGGAACTTCGGAGTAAGAAATTTTTGTTTTAACTGAATATTAGATAACAAATACAGAAATAATGGTTTTTTTCTTTTAGATTATGAATTTCAAATTTAAGCTATAATGTATGTATATTAGATCAACAGTATACTACTACTATTTAGTTACAAATTACCCTAAAATAATAAAATCTATTTGGTAGTTTTTTTTCCTTTTTATCGTCCGATTATATAGGTTTAACGTCGTTCAAATTGTTCGTTGGATTGGATTGTAAAGAGCCTAAATTTCTCATTATTTATCTTAATTAAGGGATTCCCACAGATATGCACCACATGGGTAAGGGCCGCGTTCAAAAAAAACAAAAAATAAAAATAATTTTGATTTTAATTTAATTTTAATTTTGATTAAAAATAATTTCTACGTAATATAAATAAACAAAGCCACCAATATCAACCTCAAAACCCCTATATACGGAAGCTTATTTTTGATCAGTGCGCGATAAACCCCCTCGAGACAACTCCACGCTGCTCTGTTGTCTATGAAGGGCGCCAGACATATTGATATTCTTCATTAAAATTTGATATGATATTTTGTAATAAGAATATTTTTTTACTCTTGTTTCTTATATTTCCAAATGTAATTATATGTTCACACTTAAAACTGTCACGGTTACATGTCTTTATTTTTTTAAATAAAATTGAAATATGTTTTCTCTTACTCAATTCAATAGTTATACTATTTTTTCAAATTATTCTTATCCTTTATACTTAATAGTAAAATCTAACCTGCCATTGATCTATTTTGTAGAATAACAATCCAGGTCTAGAGCAGTTTTAAGAACAAAAAAAACATACCACTGTTTAACAAACATTCATTATAACTCCGGTAAACATTTCCCGTACTGATGCAATGTAATCCTTCGTAATCCGGGAGTCAATGACCTCTACATACGAAACTGCGAGGAAATCACATTCTGATGTGCGCTTTTCCCGAGAGATCCTGGGTCGTTGAACCCGCATCGCACCGAGTTTGGGCAATTAAGCATAGGGTGTTGGTCGCTACGTGTTACGGAATGAAAGTCGACAGTCTGCTCAGGGGGCCATTCTCACTTTCTGCGGGGTGAATGCACTGGCGGGGGTGGCCACCCTATTGCGACCCTCCCTCGAAGCCCTCCGTCGCATCAAAGACACTCAATGAAGCTGACGATGTAATTCCGACGAAGTCTACAAGAATTGAATATTTATTAACCACTAGGTGTACAATACTGTTTGATCGCGTTAAATTTCTGATTCTTAAATTAATTTACTGAATAAAAGTCGAAGTGTTTCAAATGGACAAACTAACAGGCATGTTGACGAAATAAAAAATGCAATAACAAGTCTGACTCAAATTCTTTGGAGAGTTCATTGCACTATTTAAGAGTGACAAAGACAAATCCTATTATCAATTAGACCCTAGAAAAAGTATTAATTCAGTGATAAAATAGATAATAGAATGTTTGTCTGTCTATCTATTTTTTGACATAACATCTGTTTTTTTTAACATATTTTTGAACATATTTTGACATAACATCTGTTTTTTTTAACATATTTTTGAACATATTTTGACACAACATCTGTTTTTTTTAAATAAATAGAAACTTAAACGTATGATGAACTTTAATAATTTATAAAACATTTATGTCATAACAGGATGGCACTGTGAATATGGATAAAATGACGGAAGCTCAGAAAACGGCGTACCTTGAAGCTCACGTGGCTGTCCAACAGCATATGGCTCAGGCTGCTGCTGCAGCACGACGCGAACAACAACAGCAGCAGCAGCAGCAGCAACAACAACAGCAGCAACAGCAACAACAACAGCAGCAGCAACAACAACAGCAGCAGCAACAACAACAACAGCAGCAACAACAACAACAACAGCAGCAGCAGCAACAGCAGCAACAACAACAACAGCAACAACAACAACAACAACAGCATCAACAACAACAACAACAACAGCAACATCAACAACAGCAAACTAATAATGCAAATAATCAGACAAGACATCATCAGGAATTGCAGGTACTAGCAAAAATAGATATTTTTTAATAAAAGCAGATTCAAGTCGACTTAAAATTAAATGCAAAGTGATGTATCGGAGAACCGGTATTTCTATTTCTATGTCCTTTATCTGTTTCATGGGAGCATCAACACAGATAAGTCGTAAACTCGTTTGTCCATCTCGGTGGATAAAACTATATTGCATTTTTTCAGAATACATATCACGTTTTCGCATAGCTTTAGCTTTTGCATAGCATTAGCTTTTGTTAAGAAATAAGGATAACAATTGACAGCGTATTTGATTTCCGCAGCAACAAGCCCAAACCAACAACGCTCACCCAGGCCATCCGTCCCCTCCCACCGTTAGTTCGACTCAACATCATTACGCCACTATCAATTCACCGATCAAGGTCCCACAAGTTAGCTCAAGTACTGGCGGACCTGACAGTACTTTTACCGTACCTGATGATGTTGGTATGGGCTTCGAAGGAGGAGTTCGGGTATTGCAAAGCTTGGGTAATTGGTAAGTAATATAAACTGTAACTTGGTCACTTTCATTTTTATTATTTACTAGCTGACCCGGCAGACTTCGTAGTGCCTCAATCGATAAACAAAAGACCTAAACTTTTGTATAAAATAAACTTAAAACAAACAAAAGGAATCCGTCCGACTGGGAACACATCAAAGGAAAAACAAAATTGTTATTTTTATTTCATTACGGCCATTTTCATATTTATTTAAGTTTTAAACCTTCTCTGGACTTCCACAAATAATTCAAGACCAAAATGAGCCAAATCGGTCCAGCCGTTCTCGACTTTTAGCGAGACTAACGAACAGAAATTCATTTTTATAATATATAGAGATAGTCTTTGGAGAATCAACGTAGAGAAGGAAGAAGTCAACCGAAGAAGACATGGATGGAGTGTGTGAATGACGATATGAGAGAGAGAGAGAGAGGACTAAGTGTCGAGATGACGGCTGATAGAGGAGAATTTGTAAAGGAAAACTCGCTGTGCCGACCCTACCTAGTGGAATAAGATGGAGACAAACAATTGCGATGTATTGCGATTATAGACAGAACAATCTCGATTTAAATATATAAATAAAAACGCCTTTATATTTCTTGCAAAAAGTAATATAGTAGGTTTATGGAAAAATATTATAGCTTTTTTTTTGTTTTTTTTTTTTCTAAAATCCCTCCACGGGTGAACGGGTGAGGCCTCCTCTGAGGCTCCTCCTCCAAGTAAAAGCTATATTAGATGTAATTAGATTTTTTATAAATATATATTTCAAACTTTATTGAATACAAATTATTATAATGACTTTTATATACTAAAGATAAATATGCGACAACTTTTGAAGCCGCTTTTCTTTGAAAAAAATCCTAAACATCCCACTTTATGCTTGCGATGTGTAGTAATGTAGCTCATTTTTGTCAATAACAGTATCACTTTCTATTGTTTAAGATCTTTTACAATCGGTCTAGTATTATAGATTTACCGATTTCTACATATGTATGTGCTTCTTACGAAAACGAGTAGTAATTTTCCTAGGCCTTACTCATTTTTGAGAGTCTTTTCAAAATGACAAGAATTCATACAGTTTCGCACTCTTTCAGGTCACCAGAAGTAACAAATAATATTCCGAGACCTAATTTAATACCATTCACGGAACCGTATGCAGAAGGAGGCTCTATGCACCCCGGTACTAGGCTAAAGGTTTTACAAGGGACGACCGTTAGAAAACATCCCGCTATTAAAGCGACTAGTTCTACTACTGAAGGTATACCAGATCTTTCCTTAACTCATAATTGCGTATAGCGAGTGGCTTTATTAAAATACTAGCGGCCCGCTCCGGCTGCGCTCGGGTATTTAACAAAAATTTCAATGATATTTGACAATGTTTTATTAAAAAAAAAAACACTTATTACGGCATAACTGTAATAGTTAGACATATGCTGTCCCAACACTTTTTGTAAATAATAATGTGTTCTTCAATGTCGTAGTACATTATTTTATTCTATCAGCAATAGCTCTCGCAGGGCACGCGATGTAAAGATTATTTTAGGTATTTTTTTTACACCTTGGGTATCAAGTTTGGAGTTGGAGTTTTAGTAAGAATCCCTAATATTTTTCAAAAAAGATTATAACCTATGTCACTCGGAAATAGTGTAGCTTCCAAACAGTGAAAGAATTTTTCAAATCGGTTCAGTAGTTTCGGAGCTTATTCAATACAAACAAACAAACAAATCTTTCCTCTTTATAATATTAGTATAGATAAATATATTACAAGACTTTAATTGTAATCTTAAAATATTGATGCTATTTTATATATTAGAGTAAGGTACAACAACTCATATTAAATTGATTATCTGTCATTCATGAATGATGTTTAATATTCCTAATTACTCCAGGAACGAAAGCTTTTGAATGCACCGTTTGCGGTAAAGGCTTAGCACGCAAAGACAAGCTCACAATTCATATGAGGATACACACGGGTGAGTAGAATACAAAACAAATGTATCGAAAACAAAAAATTTTACTTTACTTTTTACTGGTGGTAGGACCTCTTGTGAGTCCGCACGGGTAGGTACCACCACCCCGCCTATTTCTGCCGTAAAGCAGCAATGCGTTTCGGTTTGAAGAGTGGGGCAGCCTTTATAACTATACTTGAGACCTTAGAACTTATATCTCAAGGTGAGTGGCGCGTTTACGTTGTAGATGTCTATGGACTCTAGTTACCACTTAACACCGGGTGGGCTGTGATCTCGTCCACCCACTTAAGCAATAAAATAAAAAATTAAAAATTATGTTTTAGGAGAGAAACCTTACGTTTGTGAAGTTTGTAACAAGGCTTTCGCACGTCGGGATAAACTAGTGCTACATATGAATAAATTAAAACATATAACACCTTCTAACATTGCTCCTTTGGGGAAAAGAACCATTACGATACCACGTAAGTTTTTCTTTACAGATAATGCATTATTTCATACTTGCAATAATATGTAATCTACTGTTTAGAAATTATAATGAAATGAAATGACAGTTCTAGATTGTAGTTAGATATTAATAATTGGTCAGCGAATGTCCGATTTGAAAACAGGAATATTTTTCTGTTCAAAACATCAGAAATCAATAGAACCGAGGATTCTCAACCAGAGTACTTTGCAGCATTGAAGTTAGACGATGTTAAGCCTCAACTACCGAAGCAGGAAGATACGAAGCCAAGCCAGGCAGAGATTGCGGCGGTGGCTCAACAACAGCAGCAACAGCAGCATTCCCATCAGCAGCCGATACAGGTGTGCCAGGTACCTGGACACAACTTTACGGTAAATCCCAATGAGAATACAACGCATGGTTCGTAGAGTCACCTTTCATCTATTATTAAAAAAAAAACACTTAACTGATTATTTCATTAGTCATCTCTCATATTTCATTACTATTTTAAAGTTTTTTGTATTTTATAACTGACATAATGCGTTGTTTGACTCTTGCGTTCTGCCACCTGTTATATCCGCTTTTGTTTACTTAGCCGATCAATTATCATCTATTTCATGTTAGACTGCATCTGTTGAAATTATTAATCACTAAACAAAAGATGACCATTACTTTTCGCACGTACGGTGCTATAACATCACATAAGCAAATTATGTAATTTTTCAGGAGAAGCGTTGGAATATTCAATATCTTAATACAATAATATACTTCTTCTCGACGAAAGAAATAAAATGATAAAATTTAAACTACAACTTTAATAAACACTAGCGACCCGCCCTCGCTTCGCTTCGGAAAAATTAAAAAACACATGAAAAAAAATATATATATTAAAAAAGTAGCCTATGTTCATCAGGGACAATGTCGGCTTCTAATGGAAAAAGAATTTTTCAAATCGGTCAAGTAGTTTCGGAGCCTATTCGAAACAAACAAATCTTTCCTCTTTATAATATTAGTATAGATTAATAAAAGCAATCATCTCACTAATAACTATTAAAAAATGGACATTCTCAAACTCAGTTCAGTTTTAACAAGAATCGCATAAGTGACATTATAGCTCTGTGTGTGCGTTTTGGTCTTCCGATTAAACTAAAATATGTTTCACAAATTTCAATCCTAAACCTAAATCATAAACGTAAATTTGCTGATTTATTGTTACTAGTGGTCGCCAGGTAGTCGAAATTCGACTATAATTAATAGAAATTACAAGTTTGTACACTATTATGATTCTATAGTCAAAGACTATTATAATCACAAATTTCGCCAAGACTACACTAAAGAAAAATATTAATAAAATCAAACAATATTTAATCTATTCTCAATTTGACCACAGACGTCAAGAACAAAAGTTTGACAATAAATAAATAGTATGCATCGTGTGTGCGTCAAATACATGGTAGTGTGTTTAACGTTTATTTTATTGATTTAATGTATTTTTTAGGCATAATTTAAAAAATATATTAACATTCTGCACTCCTTCTCTATATTTTCTATAAGTGTGGGAAATTTCATACTCCTCCGTCCGCGCAATTTTCGTAAAGAGGGATAGAAAGTTTTTCGTTCACGCATTAATATATAGATGAGAGTATTCAATAAAAGAAAACCCTGTTTGTTACAAAAATATGATGTTATTTGCAAATATTCTAGAACACCAATTTGGTGCACACGAGTGCCACAACGGCGGCAGTGGCGGCCGCTACGGCTGGAATGGTGGTCTCGTGGTCCTGTGAGCTTTGCGGCAGACTGTTCGCAACCAGAGACGAATGGAGTGCACACGCAAAGTCCCATTTACCTGATACGAAGTTATTGCAAGACAAGATGCAACAGGCAACGCAACATCAGGTACGTTTTTTTTATTAGCCGTGATCAGAAAACACAACTTGAATGCAATTTCAGACGAATTATAAATTGGATCTATACAACGGCTGACCTATACTCTTCAAAATGAAACACATTATTTTCAGCAGATTTTTTTTTTGCCTTTGTAGGCAGACGAGCATACCTTAAGCCCACCTGATGGTGAGTGGTTACCGTCGCCCATGGACGACAGCAATGCCAGGGGCAGAGCCAAGCCGCTGCCTACCGCCTAAATAAGGATAACAGTGGTACCGATCGATAATATCCAGTCTGACGTCCCTTGCTATGAATAAAAAAAACGAATAGTTAAACCAAATTGTATTTTTTATGATTGTAACAAAGTGAAGCTTAGTGATTGATTGACATGACAAATAGAAATAGAAAATAGCTACAAAGAACCATACAGTACGTAAGCCCTCAGTTGAGATTGCTTTTGCTACAAATATTGAATATTATTCTTGAAAATACGTTTTTTAACCTCCAAAAAAGGAGGAGGTTCTCAATTCAACTGTATGTTTTTTTTTATGTTTGTTACCTCATAACTTTTGACTGGGTGAATCAATTTTGATGATTCTTTTTTTTATTAGAAAGCTGACGCTTCCCGTGTGGTCCTTATTCAATTTAGTCCAGTTCTGATAATGGTATCCATGAGGAAACCATATAAGTCTTAAATTTGCATTAAGTACGTGCGCGACAAATAGATGAATGGGTAACTCCATTACTCAATATCACGCCAACCGATTCGATGATTATTGTTTTTATTGTATATGAATTTGTTTTGGCTTTTTTTTCAATTTAGATCGGTTTTTGTTAAAGCATGTCTATTTACAATTATTTTCATAATGTTACAGCAACAAGAAAAGGTTCATTTATCGAACCAAGAGAAACTTCAGCTTCTACACCATCACAATCAGAACCAGCAGATACTAAATAGCCACGGCATCGCGACAGCGACCGTCTCCACCGCGACCGTCGTCAACGAGACTGGGGGAGGCGGAGGAGGGGGAACTTACTTCACTCACGGTCACACACACTACGCTCCAGAACGAACACAACACACACACGCACACCATTTATGTCTCATGTGTAGACAAGAGTTCGCCGGTAAAGCTGAGTTCATGTTCCACGTACGCGGCCATTTTGAAGGTAAAGTGAGTGACATAGCCGCGGCTGATGCTTTAGCGAGATCCCTGGTCGACAATTCGGGACTGTGTACCTGAGCCGCGCCGGCGCCCAATAGCGCATTTCAATCGGATGCCTGCGTTAAGGGCGTGTTTCAAGAGGAATCTGTAATATTAAAATTTTAACACAAACTAACGCCAAATAATGTTTAATACGAGATAAGAATTCGATTTTAAAGGATCTGGTATGAATTTCGAGCTCATCATCTCAGCCTGTCTACTGTCCACTGCTGAACCTAGGCCTCTCCAACTGATGTCCAGTGCGGCCGGTCCGTTGCCACCTGCATCCAACGTGACCCAGCCATTTTCGAATTTCGAGCTGTTTTATAGTAATTGTAGCTTGTCTGAGAATAAAACGAACAATTAAAAATGCACCGTAAAGCTATCGGTTTACGTTTTATTGTTGATTAAATGCCACAACAAAATTAAATTATCTTTCGTATATTCTTAGTTGGAAAAATGTAGGTACTTGTGGATGGAATTGAGGTCATTAACTTTCATACAACATGTCACGTATTATCATTTTATTTGAATACATACAACACAATTTAAAATTGTAAACCATATTAATTATACGTAAAAACAATAGACAAGAATGTCTTGACCTGAATTTATGAATTAGTTTTGATAACGCTTTCGTATTTATCAACTAATTAATAGTGTTAGACGCGCAGACGAGTACACAGTCTACCTAATGTTAGGAGATTGCGGGAGCCAATAGATATTACAAAGCGAATGGAGCTACCGGGAAGCAGGATAAATTTAAGAAGGAAAAGATAATCGATAACAATATTACTAGAGATGAACCGGGCAGTCAGTGTAGGATCCCCTGCAAATGTAACAGTGATATAAAATTTCGATACTCCTTTTCTAAATTATATTTTATAAAAAAAAAAAGTAATACAATATTTTAGTAGTTCAGTAATGCATAATTAATTATTACTGCTCAGCTAACAAATGAGAACAATAAATACATCGAAATATTAAGTGCCACATAATTGCCAATTTACTATTAAAAAAAACGTTTTCATTGAATTGACTTCAAAATTTTACATTTAAGGTTTTTTTAATAAAAAAAAATTGCTTCACATCACGTATTACCCCATATCATTTACTGATAAATCAAGATTTTTATGTCGAATTATAATTGTTTTTTTCTTGATTCAATAACAAGCCATCTTCTTTAAATGTCGCGTAATAATATTTATAACAATTGTTTTTTGTTTTTTTTTGTGCTAGGAATTAATGTAAGCTTATTTTTATTACGATCGATTAATCTTCTAATGTATTCCATTATTGTTAAGACACGCCATAAATATGAACCTAACTTGTGACGTATTGTAAAATTTATGTATCTCACATTCTAGGATAGTTTAATTAATATTAAAGTTACACAGAATCCAAAGGTAGCCGCTTTATATTAGAATTAAAGTGTACAATTATTTTCTACAATACAATAGATAGATAGAAATAGTTTCTAGTCAAAAGGATGAGTGAATCTAGTCTTTTGTAAAGTAAACACGTTTTGTATTTAGTCTAAATTTGAAGTTTAGCACGTAATTATGTCTCTAAATAGTTAATCATTTTAATTAGTTTTATAGGTACATAAAATGTACAGACGTGTATAAAATAAGATTAAAAAACCATAATTTTTTTTTGTTCTCGTGTTTTAGATTTAAATCTGCGAATCGTAAAATTGTTTTATAGCATGCACTTTCCCTTAGTCGTACCAGCTAATGATAAGTTTTTCAATTTGACATTTGACGGATGTTATTATTTATTTAAGGCAGTACCTTACTGATGGTAGGACTTCTTGTGAGTTCGCACGGGTAGGTACCACCACCCCGCCTATTTCTGCTGTGAAGCAGTAATGCGTTTCGGTTTGAAGGGTGGGGCAGCCGTTGTAACTATACTTGAGACCTTAGAACTTATATCTCAATGTGGATGGCGCATTTACCTTATAGATGTCTATGGGCTCCAGTAACCACATAACACCAGGTGGGCTGTGAGCTCGTTCACCCATCTAAGCAATAAAAATAAAGCTGTTTATTTATACAAAGTCCTAATAGTAACACTATAAAATAAACTATATATTAAAACTGTTTAATTATGTTGGAAATTTGTTTTTGAAGATTATTGCTACTTCTAACATAATTTACTTATTTATTCGTAATATGCGCTTACGTTTTCTTAAATTGAATATCAGTCCTATAAAATGGAAAAATAAAATAATAACATCTTTCAAATATCAACGAAAGATGTGTTGAGTTTTAGTAATTTTATGTGCCGTAATACCATATTATTATATATTAATTACATGCTTGTCATTCATAGCCTCGAAGCGACTCGTGACATCACAAAATTGTTCTTTAAAGTAATAAAATCTCATAAATCGTTATGAATACAATCTGTATTTACATTTCCGGAAAAAAGTAAGAGATGAATTAATTAAAGAATAATTCTTTTGATTGCACGTTATAGGTTGCTTAAAAATATGCAGACCTCACATGTTGAAATGTAATTTTCAATTGCTTAAGCTGTGATTTATTTAAAATAACGAACACATAATTCATTAAGCTTAGAATAAATGCACTTATATTTTACAATCTGCCATATTCTAATATAAAACACGTTTTGCACAACGGTATGTTAGCACTATTTTTATTTGGATAGAAGAAGTAGATTCAAAGAATGGAATGGAAATGATTGTAGTTTGTCTTTACGATGCAACTTTAAAAAAAAATCTTAATTATTCTTATCAAATGAAGTTTTATCGCAAACTATATTCAAGTTCTACTAGTAATAGGTGTAGCTGAACAAATACAAAGAAAACATTTGTTAGAAATATGATGAACGAATACTAATATCGACGCTAAAACTTCATTATTACTCTAATTTATTATCAGCAGCCTTCACTCGATCACTGCTGGACATAGGGTACTAATACGGGCCCCTAGATAGGTAATGGCTTACGCCATTTATTTAATATTAAATAATGTATCCCTGTTAACAAAACAAAAATAATTCCAGTTTGGTAAAATATAGAACTTGGTTTCACTATTAATAGTATTACCTTGATCTTGATAAATTTATTCAGTAGCCCGCTCTATTTGAGTAATAATTGTTAAAGGAAAAAAAACTTGCTGAAAAGATGCTGAAAAAATTAAAACTGATTTAAAGTATTATTGAAGCATCGTAAAACAAACTTTGATGTTTAGTTGTAAGGCCTTATATTTTATTCACATTCAGCTCATTCAGAAAAGTACATATTATTGTGAAACATAATGTTGTCACGAACACAATCTTTGCGTAAAATTTTCAAACAGAGATTAAGATATAGCGTAGATTGAGAGGGCTCACCTGAAACTAGCTTAGCGGCTTCCAGAACCCATAGACACCACAACGTGATTGACTCGGCACTGCCCCCTTGCCCCCTTTGAGGTATGATCTAGAAACCTCGATTGCATAAGATTAAACTATCTTACATACGTTTGTAATCAAAGAGTATAATCACATCTTAACAGAAATGGAATGGTGGTCCTAATATGTAGGAGTTCACAATAGGTTTTAGTTACGACCGTTGTATAAGCAAAAATATATAATATTACTACGGATATGACTAGCATTAGATAAGTACTGAATGTGATTAAAATATAAAACGAATTTGCCCCAAGCGGGCAGATCAGAGCACGATGGAAGTTACAAATTTGTGTAGGACTAGGTATGTTTAAGATTTGCGATGCGCAATCGTAGTAGGTGGGACTTTAATGCAATATTTATGTACATAATTTAGAGTAATGTTAATTATTTTATTACCTTTTATCGACATTTCCCGTAAAACATTCACGTTAGAAATAGAAAGCGTGAACGTAAATAAATTCTAACAAAGATTATAATACTTGTAGATATGTTCAAGGAAGCATTATAGTATGATTAACTAGTTTTATGAGTTGGCTTTTTCCAGTAATTAGTACTAAGATAGTAGTTGTTACATTAAAATTGTGCACATATTTGTCTTGATGTAATCATTTTTATGCAATGTTTGTTTCTTGATAAACATATATTCTGCGTATTATCTTTGAATACTAAAAAATATTTTAAAGTGATGTGTCATTTTGACGATCAGAATATTTTAACAATAATCATGTTGTATAAGTTGATAAAGAAAATGTAGAAAAACGTCAAGAATACCGGTCCGTTTTATTTTTACTTATGATTATAAATTTATAGTTTTTCTTATTGGATTATATCTGATAACGTGTATGCAAAAATGTTATCCTTATCGGTGGAATAATTAAGACGTGCAAGAGTCACATTCGCATTAATTTTTATTTTTCGTTGTCTTTTTTCACTAGACGGGTAAATAAGCTCGCGACCCATACTAGTAACAGTTGTGAGGAATGGTGTATCGTTTGTAAAAAAAAAAAACTACCAGACAAATTCCGTAATAGAGATAAAGCTTCTTAAAGTTTATTTGTTGCATTTCACACATACCGTGACATCAGGCGCATTTAGTGCTATATGCGTCCGATGTTTGTATATATAAACAAGTATATATATACTAAACATAGATAAATAACACGAATATACCTCTTCTGCGGAACGAAACCCCGTTTTGATATTGGCAGCAAGGTCCTGATTCAAAATTTGATAATACTATAAACTTTATATAATTAAATAAATAAAATAATAAAATACTGGTGGTAGGAGCTCTTGTGAGTTCGCGCGGGTAGGTACCACCACCCTACTTATTTCTGCGGTGAAGCAGTAATTCGTTTCGGTTTGAAGGGTGGGGCAGCCGCTGTAACTATACGTAAGACCTTAGAACTCATATCTCAAGGCGGGTGGCGCATTTACATCGTAGATGTTTATCTATGGGCTCCATTAACCACTTAACACCAGATGGGCTGTGAGCTCGTCCACCCGTCTAAACAATAAAAAAAAGAAAATTGAAATAAACGTGAACGAAATAAAGAAATACGAACAATACGATAAGACACAAAAACCGGCACAATGTACTCCGAAATAATATTAGGTATTAGAATTAACCTAATTAAGAATCTACATTTATTTATTTAATCAAACATTGATACTTGTCATATTAGTTTTCGGTTTTCGGTAGGCAGCGGCTTGGCTCTGCCCCTGGGTATTGCTGAAGTCCATGGGCGACGGCAACCACTCACCATCAGGTGGGCCGTGTGCTCGTCTGCCTACAAGCGCAATAAAAAAAATTGTTCAAACTTTCTGCTATCAGTTACTAGGGATGAGGCGCATTTTAGGCCCGCACGATGCTTGCTACCATCGTAAGGCATTCCAGCTTAAAGAGTAGGAACGTCGTTATAAAAATTGAGACTTAAACCTCATGTCTCAAGGCACACAAATTGCGATATCAGTGGACTCTGGCAACCACCGGGAAAATAGAGCGTTAGTTCGATCACCTATATAAGCAGGAAAAAAAAATATGGCAATCTAAGCCGTCTGACGAATGCCCGTCGTACTATTTATAACCATATGATGTTGCGTGGAAAGAACCAACACCAATAAATAATGATGATAGCAATTTTTTTTTGTTATCGTTTTAGGCATCAATCAACACCAGTCTTCGTTTTCAAGGATGATTTTTATATATCCATTCATGTAATGTATCAGACATTGTGAAATACATTTCAGTAGACCCTGTGCCATTTAAAAAAACTGTATGACTTCTAAGTGAAACTTAGGGTAAAATTTACAATTTTTTTTTTATTGCTACGTGGGTAGACGAGCTCACAGCGCACCTGGTGTTCAGTGGTTACTGGAGCCCATAGACATCCACAACGTAAATGCGCCACCCACCTTGAGATATAAGTTCTAAAGTCTCAAGTATAGTTACAACGGCTGCCCGACCCTTTTATATTATTTAAAACCTATTTAATCGTTTATACATACAGTTAATATTATAGTATTTTGATCTATTTCAGTAGACACGACTATGCAACCCTCAAAAATATACACAGTCTAACGCATAAGATTTGAGTAATTTAAAATCTTTCTCACTAATAATTATAATTTGCGTTATATCTCAACATAATCACATGTCACGAAATAATGATAATCAGTTTTTTGATGTATCATTTTAATTTAGTTGAAAATTTAGATAAACGGCCGTATCTTAGTTCGCTGTTTGTTTTTTAATAAAATTCGTACTCGCGAAATTAAAACCTCTTAACCTCTATCTTGTAGCTTAAATACCTCAATTAAAAAAGACTAGAGATAAATCGTTTCTTCTGTTTATTTATTTGAAGGTATTTAACGTATATATTTTAATCTTAAGGAAAGCTGTCGGTTATTGATATTTTATAAATTAACGTGACCTCGGTGGTCAGTTGACACGTGTCTCGTGAGCTTGTCTACCGGTCTAAAACAAATCAACTATAAAACAGAATAAATAGCTATAAAAATAGACAAGAATTTTACAAAAATAAATGCTTTAGCGAGAGAGAGTAAGAATAATACCTAAGAATATAAAACTGTAAATACAAATGTGGAATCCACAAAATATGTAGATATAACTTTAATTAGTAAATATTTTTAAAAAGAATGTAAATATAAATTGGCTTTCGAAATGATCTCAGAATCTAGTCTTTAACTTGTAAGACATGAAGCGTTCTCAGAAAACGGTTCAATATATAGGTACAGTAAGCTAGTACTATATTAGTTTGATAGTTTAATAATTAATATTTAACATTTGCTATAGCATGAAATACTCTGTCAATGTGTATAACTTATTCAGAGAAATGGTCTACCGCATCGCCAATTGTTTAATTTTACGATCCATCTACGCATCTCGTAAAGTCTGTATCATCATTGCTTACAAAGAATCTGATTATTGTAATAATATAATTAATACAAATATATATAATATATATAATGATAATCAGATACTTTGTTATAATATAATATAATCTAATAAATAGTATAAGATATAGAGGACTAAATCAAAACGAAGTCAATATCAAATTTAATTAACAAAAAAAAGCGTATTAATAAAGTATTTGTATTTTCATATTGCTTGCCTCATTCAAGACGCCGATAAAGATGCCTTATATTGATAGACAATCTTAATACTGCCTGAAGGAATTAATAAGAGAAACACTACGATAGAGATGCAGTTTTACGATACTAGTTACATAATATAGGTTTATACAATATTAATTTTAAGGATACGGTTTGTTTAAAATTCGTATAATCGATTGCAATATATTTAAGTCGGGTTTAATGACCTCAAAAATATATATCGGAAAATATAAGAAATGAACACGGTAAGATAAAATAATTAGTGGGCCTCCATCAATGTAGTTGTTGCCCCGCTGACTGCGTCAAAATCACGAATAACCAGTCTTATTGTTTACGAGCTGATTGATATACGAAGGTGCCGGCTAACCAGGAAACGTAACCACCACAAATGCTCAATTGTGCGTAATTGGTAATGTGGCGACTACATGACGGAAACAGTCCGTAATGACTTTTTTTTTTCGATTCAGTTATTAACACCTAATGAAATGAATGTTTGGTTAATTTGGTTTGAGTATTTGATAGTTAAGTTGTTAAACTATGATTAGGGCATATTGCCTATGGAAATTTTATTTTAAATAATAAACTTAAGAATAGTGTTTGTTCATAAAATGATAACATTGGTACGTTTTGGTTACAAATTATAGAATTACATTTTACTTTAAACAATTTCGTTTTATATGCTTATTTTAATTCGTCTTTCTTGCGTAAGTAAAATTCCATTAATTAAATGTATAGATTTAGCCGTAAGTAAACAATATGTATCAACACTATCTAACAATTTGTGCTGTAAAAAATGTTTTGTTGAATGATGCCTATGAGTTGTTTTTAAGCTGAAATAGTGTTGCTACAACGTCAGAATAAGAATAGAAATTAACAGATATTAGTCATTTCGTATTTATGATTTAAAAAATAAATAACCGTGATCAATTTTTCATTTTTAAGTGAAAATATCAATAAACATACGCACACACTACTTTTTTCTTCTTCGAATTATTAATTAAGATTGGTACATGAAGGAGCAATAATGCCACGTTGCATATCGTAAATAAAAGAGACAGTGAAGAATGTGTAGTGTAGAGCTTAGTAATAAAATATTTAATATACAATCACAATGGTTTTTTATTTTCAAAGTCATTCATTGCAATCGAACAATTGGTTCCAGTTGAACCCTTTATTTTAATTCAAGTGGTAAGTGGAAAAGATTAAGTTATATAATTTTGTATTTGTTTACTTACCGTCTTCTGTTGTAAATAGTCAATTTAAAGACTGATAGTAATTGGCGGACGCCATCACTAGCTTTGAGTCGGTATATCGGATCCAAATTATAATCTATTCTTCTGTTAATGAAGAGTTTAATCCCGTCAAGACAGAATTAGTTAATTAATGAGAAATTAATGTGAGATGACGCGGTACCGTTATAGAATAAATTTGGCTATCCGCCCCACAGAATGTCGTACTAACATTGTAACGATCGTCTCTCTAGTTGAGGACCTCACTGACCACAAGCGGTTAATGCTACACGGATGATGCCAATCCATCGCACGGTCAAAACTAGCGACAAGGTTTTCCATCCCTCTAATCACTCGTTTGCTAAAGTCATAAAAATATACGTAATCAACATAGAGAGGATTCCAAAATACTCATTGGGAAAGCAAATTGATGAACTCTGATCTGCGTCTGTGTTTGACTCGGGTTCGGGAGATGATTTGGGAGAAGGAAGCGCCTGTAGTAAATAGCCCTAATAAAATTAAATGAAATATTGTGGAAATTTACATTTCACTTACTAAAGATAGAATTTATTTTCGCACTTAATATCCATGAGATATACATTACCGCTATCAATAAGTGTGCCATAAAGACATAATGTCCTTAATAGTTCATTATCTTTATGATGCGGTGTTTGTTGCATCGCTGTCTGTAGTCATGAACAGTTTAGAAATTGCTGGAATATAAATTTTTCGCGCGACATTTATCCATCTATATCTTCTGATTAATAGCCTATCACTAATAAATGTTCACGATTGACTTCCACGGTGAAGGAATAACATCGTGTAATAAAAATGAAACCCGCAAAATTATAATTTGCGTAATTACTGGTGGTAGGACGTCTCGTGAGTCCGCGCGGATAGGTACCACCACCCTGCCTATTTCTGCCGTGAAGCAGTAATGCGTTTCGGTTCGTAGGGTGAGGCAGCCGCTATAACTATACTTGAGACCTTAGAACTTATATCTCAAGGTGGGTGGCGCATTTACGTCGTAAATGTCTATGGGCTCCAGTAACCACTTAACACCAGGTGGGCTGTGAGCTCGTCCACTCATCTAGCAATAAAAAAATAAAAAAATAAAATCAGATGATTACCACATCATCCATGCTCCGATCTCTTTTTAGATTTAGTTAAATTCGTTATTGATATTACAGATTACGATAAAATTTTGAATTTTAACTTATACGATTATTCATTGGCTATATTTCTGTATTTACTCTTTTTCTCACCCTAAAACTGCTAATAAAATGAGAAATACTTTAAAACGAGAAATTAGCCCGTTGATTTATATCGGTTTTCTCAGTAAGAGACGATAGTCATACTTATAAACGTTTTAAATTTCTATTAATTTTTTTATTATCGAAATTAACGCGGAGACAGAAAAGTTCAAGTAGATATAATATACAATAAAACTTGAACCGTGAAGAACTTAGTACATAAAATAGTTGAACAATGCCAAGTCGTACAGTGTATATACCTACGTATACTGCACTATAGTAGAATTATTTTGTCCGTGCAGTGTGGGTTATAAAAAATCGGAGCGGTGAAGCTCTAGTATTTCGCTCTCTCTTCCGCTCGCGAGCCTTACGGACGGGCATAGTGATGCGCATTATTGTTGTCGATAAGCGTTATCGATAGTGTATTTAGTTTTGTCATTTTATGGGTTAGTGATAAAAATCAAAGAAAAAATCACTAATCGAACACTTACACAGATATCGCCGCAGCAAGTTAACGAGAACGGCAGAAATTAACACTTTATAACTTTTTGGGATCTATTCTTATTTCAGTGAAAATCTTTAACACATTGTTGATAACAACACGTGCAAATATTATTTTGAATAAATTCTGCGTTTTGATACAAACAAAGGAGTAGCCATTGTGTCACTAAAGAAATTCAGAGCACGAATGCATAAAAACACATTTCTCTTCGACATAATGTACTATAATTTGCAGGTAAGTACAAATGACTCTTAACATAACAATGTCCACCACCTTTCGTATACCACCCCGCCGCCGTGTGCCTGCCTTCGATGACTCATTGGTTTTATCGATAAAGGCGTTGCGCCCGCGCAACATTCTCACCGCCCTAGCCGGGCTATGTTTTATGACCCAAACTGCACGGACAAAATAATTCTACTATAGCAGCATTGAATTTTGAAGTCGTCGAGGGCTCTAGCTAAGTAGGATCCTTCAAGCCGGTAATTATCTCGGTTGGGAGAGAACCGCGGGCCTTACAATGCTATTTAGGACCCTACTCACTAAACGACTCTTCTGCACTATCATTAAAACGTCGGATAAAAAATTCTGCATTATACGTTGCAAAATGAATTTTATTAACACATGTGATGAGGAGCAGTGAGCATAACTATAAAGTTCTAGAAGCTCGTAGAATATCACACGGTTATTACTATTTTCTAGATACAGTCAAAACCGTTTACTGCGACATCGTTTAATACAACATGCCGGTTATAATAACCTAGAACAAAGGTCCCGGCTGAATGCCATATGACCGCCTTATTAAAAATATTGCTTTCTACGACATTGGTAATAACGACATACCTAATAAAACGACCACATTTAACTAATATTTCGGAGAGTTAGATCTGTTAGAACGACCGGCTAAGCTGTATTGTAAACAATTTGAATAGGTATCCACATTTGTCTTTAATGGCTATTAAAATCAGGAAAGAAAACAATAGGATTTAGTTTAGTGTAGGGTCTTTTTTAATTCTTAGAAACAAAACACGTGCATGCAGTAGAGTCAAAGCCCGCTTTTTCATATCTCTTCAGTTAGTTTGTTACTTATCTATACACAAGACGCACCAAAACTTTGTGGAGTTATTCGTGAAACTTTAAAAATGTCGCAATGAAAAAGAAAACAAATTATTATTGAAGAAAAATCGCGTATTATATCCAAGCTAGAGAGCGGAATTTCAAACAAAGACTTAGCAAAGGAATATGGTGTATCACACTCGACAATTGCAATCATTTGGAAAGAGCGATGACGATACGATAATTAAAATCCAACGTGAATTATAAAATATCTATGCACAACAGAAGTGTTCCAAACAGACCAAAATTACAGATTTTATGCTCACAGAAAAATAATATGCATTGTACTTATGTGTAATAAACAAAATGTACATAGTTGAATAAATATATTTTTCCAATAATTCCCTATCGATTTGTTTGTACTTGCACGATACACATTAAGCATCACCGGTTGTTACGACTATCGGTTTTTACGACTGTGTAATATGAGCAGTCCCTTCAATGTCGTTATAACAGATTTTGACTGTATTAGTAATTATACACATTATAAAATTAAAGTTCTATTATTATTCAAGTAAACTGACACATAGATTATACACTTAATATATTCGAAACTGACCTCGTTTCGATTCCCAAAAAAATACTTTCCACAACATGACATTAAATACTGTCACTGCTAAACACTCTGTAGCAAAATTCTAAATTATGAGTTAAATTATAATATTATTCATTTTCGGTTATAATTTCGAATTAATTCATCTAAGAATCACAATCAGATACATAATAATTCGTCAGGTAAATGTAATTTTGGATTTTAATTTTCCAACCATAAACTTTAAAAATAAATAAACAATATAATTCGAAAGCTATGTAGTATTATCGTCGTATTTTTTATTGTTACGTTATTATTTAGTCATATACAAAGTAAATTCAATAGAAATTGCAATAATGTACGTTGATAATAAAATAATGCTTATCTACACGGACTTTAAACTTACTTCAATAAAGAAACCTAAATAGAAACAAAGACAAACAATAGACATAGTTTTTTTTTAGATTGGGGTATCAATGGATTTTACAAGCTTAAAGATAAAATTTAAACCAATCATGAAATCTATTCAGAGAAGCAATACAAAATGTTGCATAGAAATAATACCGCAAATAAAGAGTATTGAAAATTTTAATAATTTGAAATGGGATGAAGATCCGCTAATCGAATATACAATACCGATCACGTACAAAATTGTATTCAAGAAAGCAAACGAACAAACAAAATATACATATAAGGATGATTCTAACAAATTTTATTACTCATGCGTCGATTTACTCATTCCTTCGGCTTTATCAAATAATTACGAAGGCTCTGGAGATTTGAAAAGACATAAAAGTGACACAATAGTTCTTGACAAACATATTGTAGATGTCTTCTATAAAAAGATGGGAAGTGAATTTACAATTAAAGATTATAGAGATGATAGCACTAAAGAAATTAGTGATTACAAATTATGTTATGATAAATCTAAAAATAAGATTTCAGAAAATATTAATGAAACTACTTTAATAATTGATGATGAGACGAAACTTGGAAAAGGTATTCAATTTAGTATTTCTTCGTGAGCTAAAAACTAAAATAAAAATAATAAACGTGATATTAAATCTCAAAAATAGTTTAAGCTAATGTGACGAACAGTTTCACTATTCACAGAAAAAAACCGGATGAATATTGTTAGCTGATACCATCCTGCCTATTTCTGTCTCGTAGGATGATGTGTCTTACGTTTTTAGTTGAAATGATGAGGCAACCGTTACACAATTGAAATTTTAACCTCAGGAATCAAGATCAGTGCCGGCATTTACATTAAGAAGGGCTCAGATAACAAGTTAATACCATCTACGCAAAAAATACAACATTTTAAGCAATTTGTTAACAAAATTAACAATGAACAAAAAAACAATTAAAACAAGTTTTTCTTTTAAATGAGTTTCCTATAATTCATCAACTATTCTTTATTCTTATTGCTGTATTTTGTTTTTTATTTTTTTGTTTTGTTTTAGAAAATAGATTTGTCACTATAAACTGTGACAAATCAACAAGTACAGATATAATATTATTCAAGTACAAAAATATTGGCAACAAAAATACTTCTTATGGCAAGGATTTTTTCTTATCTAAAATAGGATTAGAACCAACAAACACCACTGAATTAGATAATTATACGATAAAAGCTGAAGAAATAATCATATCAAAAAGAACAATGGAAAATGCCAAAAGGTCGATCACAGGTTTATATCAGGAAACTGATTTGGTCAAAAACCTTCACGACAATAATAGCTATGCTAAAAACATGATACGTGATCAGGAGAACTTTGATTGCTGTCTAAACAAAAGAACGGTATCAAGGGCAACGCCACAACAAAGACTGGCCGAGTTTCTACGTTTAATGGAGACGGAGATGCTACCATTAAAAATAATGCTGAATGAAATTACTATTCAATACGCCAAACTACAGTCTTCTTGGGAAAAAAAGAATCGACATAGCACCGCCTATGAAAATATTGTCAAAATCCAAACGAATTTAAGTGAAAATAATCTATATTCGAATCGCGTTGTGTATTCAGTTGTGTTTAATGAATGAAATAAATTTATTTTTAAATAATATGAATATTAATTTATTTTTTGCTTTATTTATGTCTACTTCTCATTGATCATATTGTTTATTCTTAATTTATTTTCAGTATTATGGATCACGAAGAGTTGCTAAAAGAACTAGCTACGAATTTATATTTTCAACTCAAAGATGAACCACCGCAAATTACAGAAGTTAATAAAACAGAGAAAAAACATCCTTTACATTTAAAACTGAGAGTTCGTAAAAATAATAAATTGCACTTAAAGAAAAACTTAGCAACTGAGTCCATACAAAATCAAGCAAATTGTCACTTAGCAAGCAGCGATGATACCATAATGTCATTTAAACTATTACTTGAAACCGACAAGGATAAAGAAAATTCAAAGAAGCATCGCAATAAAATTACTAAAATGTTACGGCCAGGTTAGAATATCTGAAATGATTAATTGTAAATTTAATTTCAACTGTTAATTTAAGCACAATTTCAGGTCTTTGCTTAAATACCCAAAATAAAGAAGATAACATCCCATACATGCCCAAAAATCCTTCCCGTAAAAGAAATGAAATGAGCGAATTCGAAACTTTGAATGATTATGATTCGGGCCATAAATATTTTGGACTTTCCAAAAACAACTTTATTAAAAATTCACCTGCAGATCTAAAAAAGCATAAAATTTTCATTGGGAAATGCAAGCCAGGTGAGTTAATTCTAACATATATATTAAAATTGAACTGAACGTTAAACTAACTAACTACAATTGTTTTGAAGACTCCCAAAATGAATGAAAAGCAAAGGCAGTCGACAAAGCGTGATCAGACAAATTTGTAACCTCCTTATGACAAACTTATTAGTTTGAGATCCGGGGAAACACACGTACAATTTTCTTAATTTATTTGGCGAAATAGGTTTGTTGCTCTGTGACTGGGTACTTAATATCTAAATTTATGTAAATCTAATATAGCTTATAAGTATTAGGATTAGTCTCAATAGTAGTCTCACGGTACTAAAAATTCTAGCTAAGGCCTATATCATAGTTTAATATTTACGGTATCCTTAATTTTGTTTTAAATATATAACAAAAATTGCTGAAATTTGATCACTATGATTCGTAAAACGCCAATTTTTCCACTCTTCTTTTCCGGACTAAGAATTCTCAGTTTATCGGACAACGGTTCGTACCTGTCCTAACTTGGAAAGTCTATTTTAATATGTTTTAAGGTGGGTGTTTGGATCCAGCTTTTAGTGAAGACAATTATGAATATTATATATCGAAAAAAATCCGCGCCCCAGAAAAAACGAATGATCCCTATGTAAAAGATCCTGAATTCAATCATGGTAGCTGTATTAAAATAGCAAACACGCCTAATGATTTCGAAATCACTTCGTGGAATTTTAAAGAGAATCTTGAAATTAATACTATTCAACATATTTATGAAGCAGAATCTCTTCATAAAACTATCAGCAATTCCCATTCGAGCACTTTAACTATTTATCCCACATCACTATCTAACGAGGAAATAAATAATACTAAAAATATGAACAAAAATTCTACTGAAAGTAGTCCAAAAAATATGTATTTGGGCATATCAAATGGAACATACTTTACTCCTCCCAGAAATGTAAAAAAACTTTCTGACTCGAAGATATCTGTGAGAAATAATAGCGATGAAGTAAATACTATGAACGAAAAATTAAAAAGCATAGAAAGTGATTTTAAACAGGGATTAAGTAACAAAATTAGATCATCTACTGCAATTCTGGAAAATCAATCTAGTACAGCAGACAATAATACTAAACGGAAATTTAAAAGTCCTGAGTGTGAATTAGAAATGCCGGACGTTGATTTTACATTTTTACAAGAAAAAGTACATCAAAATAATAGCGAATATCCATTAATTCCAAAAACAGGAAGCATGAAAAAAGATTCCATTATTGTTGAGGCAAAATCAATTTCAGAATGCGGTGATATTGTTAAACATGGTAGGATTTCAGACATTATCACAAATATAGATACAAACGAAGATATAGAAAAACGGCTCATCCTTCCATCCCAAGAAACAAAACTGGAAACTGATAATAAAGTTAAAATCACAGAGCTTGATACAAATGGCTTGAATCGTGCTATCGACGGACTAGTTTTTCCTAAAAGTAAATCACAAACAAATACTGTTAAACCACCAAACACAATCTCAATAGAAAATGCTAATACTAACAATATCTCTTTTTTAAAAGCAGAAGAAATCCCAGCTCAAATTAGTGCAGCAGAAAATATTGGTACCGCCAAATCTGACCAATACAAAACAAAACAAGCCAAAATAGTGAGTGAAATCACAAAACATAAATCACTACAGGATGTCGAACAGGAATCTTTCCAAATCCGTCTCAATAATTACCAAAATATGTTCTCCCAAAATAGTACGACGCCTTCTCAAGATCGAGTGGCAGCTTACCCTGAAATTAGTAAACTTATCGAACCTTATATCGATAAAAATAACGCCAAAAATATGGAGACCAGGAATGATAATTCGAAATCTTCCCCATTTTTCTCCATAAGTAATAGATCGCTTAACCATAACCCGTTTCAGAAAAACTATGATCTTCAAAAGCACCAGATTGAAAATATGTCTTTAGATAAAAAAATGCGATCAGTTGATAATTTGATCGAAAAAGAAAACAATAATTTAATTCAGCACGATAATGAAAATGAATTATCATCAAAATCACGCGATGATATAAAAACAACTGATAATTTCTCGCATAACACTGACCTAGATCAAGATGATTATGATTTGTTACCGTCAACCTTAATCAGTTCAAGTCACGATAGTAAATACGAAATGGACACAACCAATACTTTTACAAACAAGGTTCAATATAGTAGTAAGCGAAGTAAACATTTGGAGTATAAAGACGAGCGTGATCTTAACTTCTCAACATCCCGGGACCTTATGATTAAAAAAGACATACAAATGCAATCTGAGAAACAAAAAGAAAACGAAAGTGTTCTAAAAATATTCCGAAAAGAACTAGAACAAACCAACGTTCCTAATGCTAAAACTATTAGTAATAATATTATCGTAACAGAAGATATTAGTTCGATGAATATAGGAAGTTTTGACGTGCCCGATTCTAAATTAGATAGTGTAGAAACTATCAATAATGAAACTAATGAAATCGAATCGAAAATAGATGTATCTCCAAACCAATCTCATGGAAATGTACGCAAAGATGTTGGAGATTTTAATTTTAACAAAGAATTGAGGAAGGACTTCAAAACGAAAAATCACGAAGAGACTCAAAATACTAAAGTGGAGTTGAAAGGTTCCATACTGGAAATTAATCTAGATTCTGATTCTCAAACTATTGAACAACCATTAAGAGAAACGTCACAAACGAAATACAAAGACAGATATAGCATCGAACCAGATATTTTAAGCAAAATTACAATTCCAAAAAGTAGCACTTCAGTGGAAAACCGACATAATATAGCTGAAAAACAACTTAGAAACGAGAAAAATATTTCCCATAGCCGTCATAAAACAGATAAACCTCACGCTCAAAATGAAGTATTTCACAAAATACAACAAGTAAATGAAAATAATAAATCAGACATCGGTGAACCATTATCTTATCCCAAGCCATCAGCTTCCCTCGCATTAAAAAACGATACATATTTAATGGACTTGGAATTTGCTATTTTTATGAATAACAATAACGAAAAAACTATAAAAACCTTGGATACCTCTCAAACATATGACGAAGATAAAAGCCAGAATCTGGCAACAATAATGATTAAATCACAAATGAGAACGTCTAACAAGGAAATACGATTCCCGGTCGATAGCGAAAACGATTTAATAATCCAAATAAAAAAAACTAGAATCATGAATCAAAAAGTCCAAATTAATAATACATTTGCTCGTGGAGAAGATGTTTTAGAAGGTAAAGATCAACGTAAGCGTTTACAATTTTTATTAATAGCATTTTTCTCGTACGATGAATGAACTATTGGCAAGAACAATTATAATTGATATAGAGTAATTTAGTAATCTGTAAATTAATTGGGTCACAGAAAACGAAGAGAGTAAGAATGAGACAACAGTAAACAACAATGAAGCTAGCAAATTACAGAATATTTTAAGTTGGATATACAATCACGAATTAGTTCCTTTACAAAACGTTATCAAAGAACTAAAAGACGATATAGATTTTCTTACTGAACAGCAGCAACATAAAGCTAAAATACAACAAGTAAAGAAAACAAAATCTATGAAATTATTAAAATTTACGAAAGATTGTACGTGTTTGCTGTAATCTATGCAAATCAAAGGTAAATCAAACTCTTTTACTATTTCAATCTATGCCGAACAAAAATTTCGATTAGGTACCACAATATTTACAATTAGAATAAAAGTTTGCTTTTAAGTTCATGTTATGTGTCGGTTCGTTTTACTAAGTTGAAACTTAGTGAACATAGCACTTCGACAATAATACAAATAAATGCAAACAACTTGTTTAAAAGTTAATAATGCTGACCACTGATAAAGCAATAATTTTTTCACATTAATAGTTCATATAAACATGCTTGTAAGATAAATAGCAAATGACGTGCCCAGAACAACGTCGGGTTTAACTGCTAAAAAAAGATGACACGATAACAGTGTGTGCACTGATTCGTGATTCTACGTAGCAACTAATTTACAAATAAACTGAAACTACACGGACTAGAAAGTGACACAAGCAACTCTTAAACTCATCAGTAGTAACTTATTCTGAAGATCGATCTAGGGCTTCAAATGTCCAGATAAGAGGTGATGTTTAATGTCCTGCCTATTTCTGCCTCAAAGCAATCATGCCTTTCGATTTGAAGAATGGGTACAAACAGCCGTTGCACAATTGAATTGAGAATTCGACCTCATGTCGTAAAGTGGGTTGCGGCATTCGCGGCATATCTACAGGCTCTTACAACCCCTTAATACCGGTTAGGCAATGAGCTCGTTCACCGATCTATGTAATAAAATAAAATATACAAACTTTACAGACAATATTGTATTGCTATTATTTTAAGCCAATGATGATTTTAATAAAATTATAATTATATGTTTTTATTCTTGTAGATTGGCAGAAGGAAAGCGGTTCTTTGCTAATCTATGTTAAGCGGTCACCGAAACTTATAGATACCGTAACTATACTAATTGATTACGTCACGGAAAATATAAACAGGATAGTGTAGTGAGCCTGCAGATCCCTGCATTCCTGTATGCTCTTAAAAATTCAGTGAAAATTGATGTCTTTGTGATTATTTTCGACTAACAAAAATGTTATACGTACAATAATTGCTTGTACATAATAATTTGAATAAAGAAATACACTACGTAATTCTTGACGTACAAGTCACGTGTGACTGACGATTTAAATGAGTAATTAACATTTTGGTCGTACGAGCTTAGTGCCAGTAGAAAAATTAGAAGGATTATATTTATAACTCAGTTATAGCTTCAATGAATTTAAAACACTGATAAAGTCTAGCGTGTTGATTTCAGTCCCGGCGCCGATGTTTTTTAAACGTGCGACTCTCGAGTAAGACAGTCGACTGAACAACGCTCGTCCGGGCGACAAACAATATATTTTTACATATTATAAAAATTCACTAATGTGTTAAAAAGTTCATGCAAAAACTGTTACAAGACCTAGTGTTTTGTGTAAGAACTTATAGTGCTCAATACTTATGAAGCTTTATAATGGAAAATAAAATTGGTACAGTAACGGAATTTGTCGAAAATCGTCACAAAAATCCGGTTGATTTGGATCAAGCTTTGGATGTTGTTGGTATGTCATAAAAATTAAAAGTTTTTTTTTCGACATCTTCATATGTTAATAGCCACAACGATGTCATTACAAGAGCTTTTGTGGACACAAGAAAAAATTATAAGCTAATTAAATGTCTTTTATAAATGGTGAGAATAAAATGAAAATATGAAAAACAGTAATAACTAAATAATCTTTCAAATTTATCAATTCATATAAAAATAAACAATTTAAATTTTTTCGTTAAATGTTTTAATAACTACCTACAGTAAATAAACTGCAGCTTATGGGTCATGTGCAATTAAATTTTTTTCAGTCTCGAGGGTGTAATGAAAATACAGCTTACTGCATACATAGTGCTTACCCAATTAGTGCTTTTAGTTCTAACGCTATTGGCAGTCACAACACGGATCACCGTACTCATCCAACTCGTTGAAGATGTGTCAATGTGACGTATGGCATACTTGGACAAAGCAACGCGACACGATAACCCTCTTATCGTGGCTGCCGCTAATTAGATATCCGACCAGGGCAAGGGGGCAACGCAAAGCCGCCATCACCCGAAACACGTCTTATCAGATCCCTGGATCCACTCTAGGTGCTGTTAGGCTCTTCAAGCACTATTCTCCGTCTTCGTCGAACTTTTGTGAAGTCGTCGTGGCCTAAAGGATAAGACGTCCGGTGCAATCGTATATAGCGATGCAACGGTGTTCGAATCCCGCAGGCGGGTACCAATTTTTCTAATGAAATACGTACTTAACAATTGTTCACGATTGACTTCCACGGTGAAGGAATAGCATCGTGTAATAAAAATGAAACCCGCAAAATTATAATTTGCGTAATCACTGGTGGTAGGACCTCTTATGAGTCCGCACGGTTAAGTACCACCGCCCCGCCTATTTCTGCCGTGAAGCAGTAATGCGTTTCGGTTTGAAGGATGGGGCTTGTAACTATACTGAGACCTTAGAACTTATATCTCAAGGTGTGTGGCGCATTTACGTTGTAGATGTCTATGAGTTCCAGTAACCACTTAACACCAGGTAGGCTGTGAGCTCGTCCACACATCCAGGCAATAAAAAAATTAACTCGTTTAAAGAGTTTGATGAGCGAAATGACTCACAGTCACAGCCCGCTGAGTTTCTCGGCGGATCTTCTCAGGGTGTTGCGATTTCGATTTGGTGGTACACACACTCGCGAAGTCGTAAGCTAACCCCACCCCACGTTCGCGTCCATAGCGGGAGCGACAATGCCCTCACGCTCCTGAAACAGCGGAACTGTTGACTGAACTCCGGAAACAGCGCCGAGACGATGTCCCGCAGCTGCTGAGGCTGGAAACGCTCCGTGATGGAGACGCCCTTGGGTGCATTGTATTGTGCACTATATGATAGGGTCGCCCCCACGGATCTTCATCCAGTGTCTCCAGAAGACCCTCCATGTCTTAAGGCGGTAGACGGCATTTAAGTTGTGATGTCCTAGGCATACCCATACGGTAACTAAAACATCAAGCGGACCATAAAATACAATATTTATCAGTAACACATAAAATCGCACCTCCCGCCATCGGAGCAGAGTTCATCCATATCATCTGGAACCGCTGCATTCATCGACAGTGCGTTTCCAGAGGTCTTTTTTGCCACGTACCATCCGGCTATGGAATGAGGTCCCCTCCACGGTGTTTCCTGAGCTCTATGACGTCCTTCTTTAAAAGAGGCTTGTGGAGAGTATTAAGCGGTAGACAGCGGCTTGGCTCTGCTCCTGGAATTGCTGAAGTCCATGGGCGACGGTAACCACTCACCATCAGGTGGGCCGTATGCTCATCTGCCTACAAGGGAAATATATTTTTTTTCTTTTTGGTTCGAAGTCCCTAGAAATGTTGTTTCAAGCTAGTTCTAATTAAAAAATTTAGACTATTAAATAAACTTTAGTTGATAATTGGAAATATATTAGTAAGTTACGACAGACTTTAATAATTTATTTTCTTCTTTTGACGTGACATTAGATTCTAACCTTATGTTTTTCATTGTGATAATTTTATTAATAATTTTAGAAAAAAACCCGACAAATGAAAAATTAAGAAGACACAGTCCACGATACCTTAATCACAATACAAAGTAATAAAGATCAACCCTGCAAAATTATTGAAAGATGCGTACTGGTCTGTGGGGCGCATTGTAACATTTCACAGGATGACCTATTACGATCCGAAAGAAAGTCTTTTTGTCTTACGTTAAAAAGACCGAAGACAAATAATGAAGGCAAACAACCATTTATCTATTGCTCCGAATTTGAACCGAAAAGAAGAATAACCATAGACAGGTCAGACTTGTCACGACTGTTGTTCTCCATACTATTTTATGGAACTGAGACTTGAACAGTAAAGGAATCAAAGTGATAAGAGTCGACAGCCTGGAGACGAGAACTGGGAATGCATGCTTCGCATTTAATGGACGAGCTGCTAATTATCTGTAGTAAGAGTTCGCATACAATGATATTGCGGCCATGCTACATGTCGTGGAGATAATTACGTAGAGAGGCATGTTATACAGGGTCGAGCCAATCCCCCGTACGCTGGGCCTATAAAGACCTCATCAACACTGCCATCCGGCTATGGAATGAGCTCCACTCCACGGTGTTTCCCGAGCGCTATGACATGTCCTTCTTCAAACGAGGCTTGTGGAGAGTATTAAGCGGTAGCGGCTTGGCTCTGCTCCTGGCATTGCTTAAGTCCATGGGCGACGGTAACCACTCACCATCAGGTGGGCCATATGCTCGTCTGCCTACAAGGGCAATAAAAAAAAAACCACTCCCTTTCATTCATGCATACGAGAGGCAGCAGCGCGAGATATTGGCGTATGTAATGCAACTATTAATCGTAACTGACCATGATAACTACTCTTGTCAAGAGTACCCGACTGAGAGAGGACCATCAACATACGATAAGAAAGGCGCGAGAAGTTTCAAATAATCCATGCTATTCATACAATTAACGTTAATTAGAGTCGAGCATTACCTGTTTTACTGGTTCTATAAAGAATCATCACATAAATCAGTAAAAGTCTTAATATGTTCATAATTTTTTTATACCTAATAAAAACTAAATAATTGGGGTTCCATTAAGCAATCCTGTTTGACCTTCGTTCACAAAGAACTGTTTATTTATACTGCTTTATTGAAAAGTTGTAAAATTAAAAAGTGAAAAAATCTTATCACTGTTTGGTTTTTTAAACAGGAAAATATTGACAAAGCAGTAGAGAGATACATAAAAACAAAAAAAAAAATACCTCGTAATATGTAAGAATATTCTTAATGTCCTCTTTAGCATATACAATCGGTTTAAGATATATTGTTAAAATGTAAATGTTTTTGCATATGAATATTCAAATTGCATTATTTATAAATTTGCATGAATGACGAGACTAGAGCATATTGAAGTCCGCAGAAATAGGTGCCACCATCGAATATATTCATATGACGCATTTGGTTTTGAAGAATCTAACAGGCAGAAT